TTTAAAGAGCTCTTTGAGCTCAAAGGGTTCTTAATTGTTTTGTGCCAAAAAGCTTTAGTTTTTAAACTTTTCTGGGAGTTTTGTTAAGTCTGAAACTCAAACCTTTTCTACCAAGTTTTCTATTTCAAAAAATCTCCAACATAAAGCCATTCTCCAGCCACTAAAGCTTCCCCCCAAGTGCCGTGTCTCCACCCAAAAAGCATTGAAATTGCAATTGCTGTTTGCATAAACTTTCAATTACCAATTGCCAAATCATCTTCCCCTCCCAGAAATTCCAGATGGCCGCACCCCATCCATCCGCATTGCCTGTTGTCCAGTGTAATCTTTTCAAAACTTCGTGTGGCATATGCTGTCTAGCATTTTGTTGCTGTGCTGGTGGTGCCGTCGGTGGTGGTGGTGGTGTGTCAGTTGCACGATTGCCAGAGACAACGTGTCTCCAGTGTCATCAGCATCTCCATTTTTCTCCGCTTGTTTCAATGTTTTCGGGTGAGTGCTGCCACCGAACATCCGAGAGCACCCCAAAGTTTGTGCACAGAGAAAAATAGATAGAACTTTTAGGTTCTTAGATAATATTTAATATTTTAAGATCGTTGTTTTATGATTATCCTTGGTATAAGTATAAAAAGATAAACTCTACTAAATGTTCATAAACTTTATATTAAACTTTGTGACAGAAATATCACTTTTTGGGTATTCCTGCTTTGAGTTAATTGCAAATCTGAACTGAAAGCTAAACATATCCTCGGGAAAAAAGATACTTTTTTAAGATTTTTCTCTCAGTGCATATTTCGATGTTGTTGGAGGCGACGCTGGCCGTTGTTATAGTGCAGAAAAATTACTATGACAACGCTGGAAACAAGTAAACCACAGTTTACATTCACTCAATTCGGTTCCGGCGAGGGCGGCGGGCTATGGCGGTGGGATCTCCGCCAGATGGGGATTGCGATGGGGGATAGGGCTGGGGCTGGGACTAAGACTTAGACGGGTATATGGATGGGTGAAGGGGATGGGATGGTATTGGGATGGCATGGGATGCTGATGGGGTCCAAAGAAACAGAGACAGAGACGGGAATGGCAGAATCGTGGCGTGGTGGTGGCACGCTCATCTTCAATTTTTCTACGATGCGACGTCGCTTGGGTCGGGTATTCCTTCTCTCTCTCTTCTGCTTTTTTTTTTGCTGTCTTTTTTTTTTCGGCGGCGGCGACTCACACTCGTGTTCCTTGCACTCTACTCCCGGGTCTGGGTCTCAGTTCCAACAGCTCCTCAGACTCTTGGCCCATGGCTTGGTCTATAGTCGCTGGTCTCTGGGCCCGATCTGCGCAGCGAGATGAGTGGTTGGCAAAAATGTTTGAATGCGATCACGAACTTGACCTTTCACATAACCTCAAAAGCCAGTCACAGTCACTCAGTCAAGTCAAGTCAAGTCAACTCGATGCGCTACATACGCGCCATGTTAACCAGGCCCAGAGACACGGCTCGTCGTCCGTCGTCTCCACCCAGTTTTCAGTTCAGTTTCTGGCCGCTATCCCCAGACCATCTCTGGCCATCTTCAATGGTCAACCCGCCCGGGTGTCAGCTGAAGCATAATTAAAAAACAATCACCACGGTCCGTCCACACGCCCCTCCGCTGGATGCGAGTACCTCCATCTTCCTCCCCTCTGTTTTTTCGGAATCGCATTGTGCGGGCCTGGCATCGGGGATCTGGGTCTGGGACTGGAACTGAGATTGGGATTGGGGGAATCTAGTGGATCTGGGCGAGGCCCGATGGTGGAGTCTACACTCTCCAGGTCGCTGGGAGCCGCCAGCGATTATGAGATCTGGCTTCAGTTGACTATCTATCGCTGAGGGAGCAGCAGATGTATTTGCCAAATCAGCAGCCCAGCCAGATACCCGAGTCGATGAAGTGCAGCAACAGTAACACAACGTGGATTGAAGGAAGATTAGACCATAGGTTTCTCTCTAAAGTAATTATGGTGTTTAACTAATGATAAGTCGATTAAAAGTTAGAATTCAAGAAACTTTAGAACTTTAGAAAATAAGGCTGGTAGATCAAGGAACGTGAGTTCTGATATTTTAGATATCCAAAGATGGATCTTAGATGGAAAGAGATGGTTAAAAAGAACACCTTGACTGATTATGTTTTAAACTGATATTCTTAATAGCAATAAATAAAAAACAACCTAATATCATACATCAATACATATCTGGCAAAGTCACGAAAGGTTTGCAGCCCCAGCTAATGAAATGAATTATGTTAATATTATTCGGAAGTCTTTGGCTTGATTTAGAGATACGAGCCACCACTTAAGTAAGATTACTAAATAGTTACTAAATGAAACAATCTGTTTGGAAGATCCAATAACTGCCATGATCATGAGATTCCCATTTCCCTTTAACCAATTCCTCAACCTGCGCCCACCTGCCTGTCACATTTTCACCTTGCCATCAATATGCCCCAGCCCATGCTTGGTACTCGGGCACTTCACTAAATGTTGCATATCATTCGATAGATGCCGTGGATGCTCCAACATCGTCGCCTGGTTGAATCCCCCTCCGCCCTGCCTCCGTGTGCACCAACCGATTCGGGTTGGGATCTCCGTCTTAAGGTCGTTCGCTCGCTGGATCGACCCGCGTGTCGCCGCATCTACTTAACCTGGAAAGCCTATGCCCCTGAGTGGCGAGAGGCCGATCGTTTGCTGGTTTTTGGTGGTGCGGTGGTGATGAAGCAGTGGTGGTGTGGGATTGTTCGATGTTGTGTTTTTTTTAAGTTTTTTTTTGGGTAAGGCACTGTGGATGTCCCAGGCTCAGCTTGGAGACTCTCCTGCCCCGATCTTGGGGCTCCACCCTTCTGCCGGCTCACCCTTCGCTCCGCTCCTGGAATGGTGGCTAGTTCAACAGCTTTATTTATGGGCTGTTTGGGTAGCTTAAATAAATCAAGTTGTAGTTGCAGTTGCCATGGCTCTAGCAGCTTTAGCAGATCCAGCAACTCCAGCTTCCCAGCTCGCCACCAGCTCTCACCTCGCCCGGGTACTGCAATTAGAGTTGGTGGGAATTTGGCACTGTCTCCGCGGTTCTGGGGCCTTTCGGCTTTTGCCCTCCATTCATTGGCAATTTGAGGCTATCTATCGCTCTGCTGGCTAATTGCATAATTATTTAAAACCCATAATTTATGTGTGCCGAAAAATCTCTCAGCTCTCGGGTGGCATGAGTTTGGCTTGACCGTTAAGGTTGGAAATTAACCCGGACCATTATGTGCCGTTTGTTTTACAAATTTTAACGCTATTTAACACATTCGCCACGGATCTGTGGATCGATGGATCCGTGGACGGTGTATGGTAGCACGCCATAAACCATTAGCATGAGAGATTGCCGTCGCCGCCTCTCTATGCGCTTCTCAAATAGCTTTTGTGGCCAGGTGAGCGCATTGACAAAATTAATGATGCCCTCACTAATATCATGCCTAATTGATTAATATGCGCGGCGAGACAACAACTTTTTGACTTTTTTACTATGGCTCTAGCTCTGGCTCTAGCACTAACTTTAGCCTCTAAGCTCTAGCTCTAGCTCTGGATCTCTCCAGTTTGGATATCTTTAATGAACAGCGCACAGGTTTTTAGCTGTTAATCTTACTGTATAGCCATTTAAGGTAAGCTCTCTGGCTTCTTAATTAAATTAGGTGTACCGCTGGGCACCCTACGGCTGAGGAGCTAACCTACGGATAGATAACTAACCATCTATTTATCTAGTCAACTTTTTGTGGCTTTTTCGGTTTTTCGGGGCGTTGCTGTTAACTTCACACACACATCGAAGCAAAGAGAAAGGCTGGCAAAGGTCAAATGGTCAAACAGTTGGTGGTTGGTCGGTCGGTCGATCGCTCGATCGGTCAAGTGGGTAAACCAACACGAAGAAGCCCCCACCGAATCCCCAAGCCACTTGTTTTCGGGTCGGTCAGGTTCCTGGGCGTCGGATATAGAGCGATACTCGCAGCGGAATCAGCATGAACTTAATGGGCCCACAGCCGATCGATCCACTGATGGGGATCACACGGCGATACTCATCAGGTCTTCCACGTATGAATGGCCCTGCCTGATGAGCATTAGGCAATGACTAACATTTTGTCTCCTCTTTTGTTTGGACTTGTCTGCGAGATTGCCGGATAATCTCGGCTGCGGCCTGATCCCCGGGGGATAAGATGAGCGGTGGGGAAAGCCGTAGGAGATCTGAGGAATTTAATGGGGGGAGTGTGATCATAGGTTGATATAAATGCTGATAGATATCTCTAACATAGATCTTCCTATTGTTATGGACGAGCTGCGCTTTTACTTATCGGCCAGATTGTTTGTTCATCATTTGTTGCCGATCGAGAATATCTCTTTTATGATCTGATTGAATATCAAAGATTGGGATTGAGGTATTTCGTATTGATTAGGAATGTTGAATAATTTTTGAGGGGCTTCTTAGTTTTAGAGGCTTTATTATTATTAATTTTCAGATTTATTGATAGTTTGTGTGATAAGCTGCTAAGCCAATACCCTCAAATTAATCATAAAAGGCTTGAAGATTAAGCTTATCCTCTCAGTTAACTGTCTAACTAACTTAATAAACTTAAGCATAAACTTTAACAGTCTAGGAAACACCACTATTCTAGACCACTTCTTTGCAGAAAAGTAATCAAAATATTCGAAAATAAACTCGGTTTTGTAAGCTCCCCATTTGTACCTTTCACTCCACCCACTATAGGCATTCCCAAAAAACATCTCCCAAGCACTTTATGCCCAAAAACAGTCGAACTTCATTAGAGAAGAAATGCAAATTGGTTTCGTACCCCATTTTTTTCTTCTAGACGTTCGTTATTTTCCAGCTAGCTGTGACCTGCTTTTTCTCAAGTGATCAACTTGTGGCGGCCATTTCATTGATTAATTGTTTTCGGCCCAGTCAGTTAGATACTCGCCTGAGTTCAGGTTGAGTCAACTAAGATAGCGTATAATTAGCAACTTACCGCGCGGCGAACGTAAGCTCAGATCAACTGGTTCAACCTGAACCGGAGGGCCCTCTGCCTGTGGATCGGAAAGAAATTAAAGATTATCAGCATCGTCATCAATATTGTTCATCGGGGGAGATACTATACTATACTATATAGCTTATTATATATGCAGCTGAACAATAGAGTCATAAGCCCAATGCTGGGGCTAATCAAGTTTGACAAAATGTTGTTGATGGGCGAAAGTGTTGGATGGTTGACTGGCTGGCTTAGATGCGGTGCCAAACTGCGGGATAGAACCTAGACCATGGGGGGCTTTCAAAGGAAAATAGCATGCGTGTTCGGGAGCTGTTTGCTTATTGAATTCATCTACCTGGAACAACCGCAAATGACTTCCGTCGATATCTTTCTTAGTCCATATGGAACATGGGAGATGGGAGCTGGGAGATCGGGTCGGATAGGTGGCAAGTGGGAAGTAACCGAAAAACCGCAATTGTTGCGCATTTCTTGCGCTTACGAAATCTTTGGCCAATAAACTAGCAGCAATAAAAACCAACCAAAAAAAAAAGGAAAATAAAAAAAATCATATAAAAAACCGCCGCAAAAATAACAAAGAAACAGTTATGAGCTGCCCGCAGCGCCATAAAATGGATAAATTTTAATTTGGCACTGCATATGCATTTCAGCAGAGGGGGAGGGGGGGTGCTCGAGAGGGGTCCAACACTTTGCAGAATTATTTAAACGAGGCTTACAATACATTTTAAGGGTGTTGCGGACCAAGAGTTACCACTCTATAATGGCAAACCACTCAAGAGCTTAGAAGCCAAGCGATCGTGTAATTTACGAAGCTTAATTCTCTTTTAATGACAGCTCAGCATTTTAAGCTCTAAAGTAACTAGTAATACTGTTTTAAATAATGTTTATAACGCTTTAAAGTTCTTAAAGAGTCAGCCTAGGGCTTTAATAAAAATTTATTGGGGGCTAAGGGCATGGGAAGAATACTTTTTAATCTTAAAAGAGGTAAATTGATATTGACACATCTTAAGTTTAACAAAAAGAAGTGATTTGTGAAGTGATTAATTGATGGTTTTACAGGCAGATCTACAGAAATGAATATTTAAATGTTTAGATAGAAAGGAAACCTTGCTGATTTCAATCTTATGTAAGGCTAAACCTTTAATCCTATCTACTGTATGTCAAAGAGTCTTATTTGACATGCCTTCTATAAATCTCCAGCTTCTTAATAACAGCTTTCCTTAATCTTTTAATCCCTATCAATTATTAATTTATCTATCAAACTAAACTAATTTATTCCAAGGCTGTCATTTCTTAAGTTATCCTTTTGACCACTCAACGTGGCTGACCCAGCTAACACTAATCCACTGCAGGGTAGCCATCCAGCCCGATGCCAACAACATGGCTGCGAACAACACGAGCAACACCAACTAGCAAGCAACCAAGCAACCAACCAACAACCAAGCCAAGATCCATGGATGCAGAGTGTGTGCCCAGTGGGCAACAACGACAATTGTCAGGCTTGTAGCGCAAATTATGAAAAAATGTCAGTGGCGAGTGGGCGATCGAAGAAGAGGAGGAGGAGAAGGAGGTGGGGTCTGCGAGGGGTTAGAGGGGAGAGAACCCAGAACTTGGCCACGCGATTTGAGCAGTTGTTTACCGCTGTCGCCGCTTACTGCCATGCAGTTATTTATACAAACAAATGCTCATTGCCAGCATTAGATTAGATAGTTTGTCTTCGATTGTGTCGAATGGCAGCCGCGGGGCCAATATTGCGACGTCTCTCTAACATTTTTTCTCCTTTTTTTTTTGTTTGTTTGACTTTTTTGTCCGCTTTATGGCCCACAACATTGACAACAACTTCATTGGCCAGCAGCAGAGATCGAAATCTGGATCTGGATCGAAATCGAGATCCAGATCCAGATCGAAATCGAGATGGCAGAGAAACGGCGATCGACGCTGGAGATTGCAATTGATATGCGACTGATGTTGGCCCCTGTCCAAAGGTATTTATATTTATATTTCTTAGCCCCCATTTACTTTTGCCTCTAATTGCCCACGCTGATTTATTGTTATATAGAGATTCGCCCCCTCCCTACCCCCTGCTCAGGTCTTTATGATATTGTTACGGGGCGCTGCAGCCTCCGATCTGCTAATTTGTGTTGGGACGTGCTGAAATTTCTCATAGGCGCCGCAATTGATAGAATGATGGCCGGGACATTAGTTGGCTCCGATTTCTACCCCTCCCCCCACCGAGTTGGCCAATGGAACTCAATTTTATGGATTGTCTTACGCTTGGTATGTGGTTTTCTGCTGTTGCTGCTGCTGCTGTGCTGGCTGACGGCTTTTGCCTTTGAGCCAGACTGATGGGTTGGCTTGGGGATGGGTTTTATGGGGCATCCAAACGAATTGGCCCACTGGGAATTCCTTTGCAATTGTCATTTACAATGGCCCGAAGTGTATCGCTAACATGAAAATATTTCACTCTGCTCGGTCTCCTTGCTTAATTGAAAGACGTTTTTGTTTTTTGGTGGCATCGTTGCTCATTAAACTTATAGGCCCTAATGAGTTGTACTTAACTGTTATGGTAGACAAATTACGGCCAATAACAATTACTTAAGGGTCAGGAAGATGGCTTTGGAAAAGGTTGGCTGCAGTTGCAATTAAATTGTATTTCTTTAAGACTCTCTTTTGGTTGAGTTTCAAGGCTTCTTGAGAAAACTTATAACAAAGAGTAAGGAAAAGGTTGATAAAGTTAAGGCGTTGTTAGTAAATCTAATTTCTAGTTTGTGGGTCACTAAAAATAATTTAATATAAATTCTAAAAATCTTTAGAAACCAAGTAGAGTAGTGGCATATATATATTTACTTTTATAACTTGCAAACACTGATAATAATCTATATCTTAAGGCAACATATATCGTTGTTGTAGTTCTTTAAATTGGTGAGAAATCTATTTTATTTCAATATAAAAGATTCGAGTTAATTCCTTTCCAAAGATTATTAAACATAAGAGTTAAGTTCATCAATGTTTTTAGTTTAAAGCTTTTTAAGGCAATTGTCCTTTTCATATTCAATAAAATAAATAAAGTATTCTAAATATGATATAATAAAGATTTCTACAATGTTATTGTATTGTTGTATTGTTATTCACTGTTATAGTTAGAAACTATAATCGAATGCCTCAGCAGTCAGGCTTTGTAATCTGCCATTAGTCTTAGTTTTTCAACATATTTGAAAGTTTGTAAAATAAATAAATAATATTCAGAATCTATGTTAAGCTTGAAATATATTATAAGAAATGGTCTTTGTTTATATCTTAAGATTTTTTATGAACCCTCATATCTATTTTCAAATTGGTGTGAACTTTAATTTAAACGAAAATCGAAAATATATATCAAATCTGAACCTTTACTTTGTTTTTTAAGACCTTCTATAAGTGCAAGCTGTAAAGTACACATGGCTTTCAGTTTTAAACAGCTTGAATGATGAACCCGATAAAACATTGCCTTTAGGACTAACTGACTTCTGACTCTTGTTCCCTTAGTTCTTATCACTAGGATCTCGGTTAATCTGTGAACTCACCTCCTTTGCTGACAGAGGGTCGGATCCAAGTCCATTCTGCAAAGAGAAGCAGAAACAGGGAATTAAGAGCGTTTCTCCCCTCCGAGCCGTCGAAATGCAACAGGTTGGTGGCAGCTAACCCCCTCTTGTGACCCCTGTCTGTGAGCCCCGTGAACCCTTAACCCTCGAGTCACCAAAACAAACTTTCAGCTGACAGGGTCAGAAGAGGTGGCCGCGAAAGGGGAGCACATGGCATATGGCATATGGCGTTGGCGTTGGCGTTGTACTTACCATGAAAACCATTAAATTGTAAAACGTCTTACAAAATAATAATTGCCCGGCAACGTTCTGGCCACGTTACAAAAGACAGGCAGCAAGGGTTTCTTGTTGATGTTGTTGTTGTTGTTTTCTTTTTTGTTTTTGCCTTTTGCGAAGGGGGGTTGGGAAAGTGGAGGCGGATGCTTGAAATAATCGCTGTTTTGGTTTTGGCTTTTGCTTTTGGCCTGGCTTTTGTCGCAGCAGCTGTTGCCGTTTTCTTGTTGCAACTGCCGCATGCTATTTCGCATCCGCGGAATCAATGACAAAACGAGTGCAACGCACCTTGTACTTCGTTGCCCCTTTTTTTTGTGTACGTTCCTCTGCTTCTTTGTATTATTTATTTTTTTACTTTTTCTTGGTTGTTTGTGTGTGCCTTCAACTTGCGTTTTGTCGGCGGCGGGGGGCGACCCTTTTCTGGGAGGAGGGCCACCGTAGCAGAAGCAAAAGCCGCATTTTTGTTTTGAGGGGAACGAATGCAGCAGCGTGCGCAGTGCGTGACGAAGTTACTTAGGCAAATATATTATGAGTCGCCTAAGCATGACTAAAAAAAAAAACACAAAACCAAAAACCAACAGATTTTTCCAATTGACCGAGAGAAAGAGAGAGAGAGAGAGATGAGAACAAAATAGTGACAGAGACAGATAACGAAAATTGGCAATTACTAGTGGCCCTGCATCCGGTTTTAGTTATAGTCTGCGGCTCACTTATTAGCACTTATTGCCGTTGTTTCCTGGGCGGGGGTGTTACACTTGTTGTTGTTATCTGTTTGTTTCTTTGTTGTTGTTGTTGTTATTGTTGTTGTTGTTGTTGCTGGGGCTTGCATTTCCGGTTGCCCAGTCGGCCGGCAGTCAATTGCAGTTCCCGGTCCCGCGGGCGCTATAAAACTCGCACTTAATTCGATCAACTAAGGCACATGCTACAAATACAACGCCCCACCAAACAGCGTGTGTTGTTATTATTTATTCCTCTTGATTCTTGGTTTTATTTTGTATTCTTTGTTGCTGTTGTTGTTGTTGTATTTATTGAGCGAGCGTGAGTGTGCAAATTACAGCACATCCGTCATTTTAATTTCACTTAAAACGCCATTTAAAGCGTCGCACCAGCACACACACACCGACATGCAGCACGCACTGCACGCACGCACGCATGCGCAGTAAAAACGCCGGTTGAAAGAAGCGCAACGGAACGAAACGAAATCAAGTGCAGCTAAGTGTCAGTTAGCATTTGTTTTTTTTATTATATATTTTTTAATTTTTTATATTATCATTCTTGTTTTTATTTCTTACGCTTAAAAACTGATTTCAAATTGGAAATTCAAAAAGTTAAAAAAGTAAAAGGGGAAGCGTTTCCCGCCGTAGCACGTTTGAACGCGTCGCGGAGCAAACTTGCTCTGAGCTCTTCGAATTTCAACCGCCAACTTTGGCTCCCCCAAAGCGTGGTGAGCTTTGGCGGCCACCGCTATTCACCACACCTCGCACACGCATTTGACAGTCGTGTGTGGCTGTCTGTGTGCACCACTTTGTTTGTTTGTTTAGTTAAGGTGGAGCTAGGCTAAAATGACAAGTTGGCGCTTATATTATTGGGTGGCCAACATTCGTTCGCCTGTATGTGTGAAAGCCCCCACCCTAGTACGCCTGTGTGCGAGTGCTTTTTTGCCACTTGTGTAGGTGTGTGTGTGTGTGTGTTCGCTGGCTGTTAATTAACATGCTACACACACACAAGCACACACGCAGACAGCCGCTTGACAAGCTCAAAGTGTAGGTGTTTGGCGCCAGCGATTTCATTGGCTGACGGCCCAGGGTGGTGCAGGTGGGGCAGGTGGGTCATGTAAGCGAGGTGAGTGGGTGCAATTAACACAGGCACAAGATACTTTTTGGAGCACTCGCTGACAGCAGCCGCGGTTTCCATCAAGCGGCTTTATGTCTAATCTCGGAAGCTGCATCGCTCACGATTTTCTTTAGCTAAGCCACAGTCCTTATTCGCTAAATATAGTTCACATTCGCTAATCAAAGATAGTAAAAAGCTAACCACGATTTACCGACATGGTGGAAAAACTGAGGGCTAATGCTTTTACGTCAAGTTCTTAATCTTAGTTTTTGGTTAAAATAATTTGTATCTTCCAAACACTCATCCAAAATAAAGAGCAATTAAAGAAATCTTTAGATGTAAAAAGTTTTTTTATGCAGTCATGACTTTGCTTTAGCTTGTTATTCACTATTTTTTAATTTAAATTATGTTTTAAATTATTAATTTTTGATCTTTCGATAATTAATAATGACAGCACATATTTATCTCCTTCCGCAACTTCTTTGCCATGTAATTGACAATAAAGAGTAAAAGTTAATAGCACTATAAAATTTCTTAATCGTAGTTCGCCATGATTGGAGCTTAGATCGTTGAAAGTGCTGCCTTTAAGTCACAGACATGGAGATAATATTAACATTTAATGATCAGTGTTTAGCAACGTAATTTTTGACTTATTTTAAGAGGAAAGATATTAAATCTTTAAAAGCTTTTTATTTTATTAAAAAACAAATTCGAATAATTATTAATAAGTTTGTAAAATCATTTCAAATCCCACTTTATGTCGAAACATTTTAAAATTATACAAAATATTCAACATTCAGGATTACCACTGTAAGCTCAAAAAGCTGTGGGAGTTTGCCTGCCGACCGCTCACCGCCCCGTTTTAGCCCACTAAACAAACCGTTAGACGTCGCCAGACTACCTGATCCACTTTTCCACGCGCTTTGACGACCATTTTTGGTAACAATAAATCGTGATACATCATCAAAAGTCAATTCGAATATGTAGACAACGCTTGCGCTCTCGGCAGACAAAAAATATTTTAATTTTAATTGATTGTCGAGCGAGATTTACGTGCACCAAAAGTTTCTTCTCACGCTCTGCACACTGCCACACACATGGTTTTTGCGATGGCAGGATTAGAGCATTGTCAAAATGGAAAGTTGGCCTGCTTGGAAATCGTTTGGCAATCGCACCACGCAAAGCCATGAAAGAAAAAAACTAAAAACAAAAAAACGACAAGAGATGAAAAACAGAAGCAGCATCGCTAAAAAAAAGTAATACGCAAAATACCTTTTCCAGCTTCTCTCTCATTTGGTTTGGTTTTTTATTTCGTTTGATTTGGGCTCGTAAACGGAATTGAAATCAATAAACTACGTGACTGCAGCGTGTCCAATTTGAACATTAAGATCATTTTTAATGGTTGCATCTACATCTTTCTTACATTAGCCTGGGGCGCCATCTACCAGCGGGATTTCACAAAATCCTGTACTAAAACAACATGAATTTTAAAGTGAATTGTGCATTGTTTTTCTATTTTATTTTCCTGATATGCTTTAAACAACTTAATATCATGTGATAAATCTTTTAAGTTAAATCCCAACGTTTTATTTCCCCACCACATATAAACATTTTTTGGTGCATACTCTAGGGAGCTCCTAAAATTTAATTATCACAAGCTGTCTTTTTACATTGCATCCAAAAAGATGGCTATGTTTTTGGTTATTTTTAGGCGTCTCCCAACATTCCAGAGTTTATGGTACATTTATCTTCGTTTTTATCCAATAAGAATGAAATATAAATATTTTTATTATTTTAAAAATGTTTGTCAACATCTTTTTCTTTAAAAATTTCCAAATCTACTAACTAAAATCATTTTAAGTTAATAACGAGATGAGAATGTCTCACATCTTGTCAATCTCCTCGATATTTTTATATCCTTCATTTTACTATATATGTTGAATTAGACATTTTTATATGCCGTTAACACCAACCGAAATTTCATTTTTTGATAAACATTTAATATCATAAAATAAATAATTATTAGACATAATTTTAAAGCTTCCTAAGTCCCAGGTAGTTTGAGTACAGGGCAAAACCCTGTTGGTGGTTTTTCTAAGGGGACTATGTGTCGTGTCCTGGGGTTTTGCTATTACCTAAGCCGGCAATCTCCGATCGCGGTTTTTTCCAGCGGAAGTTCGCGCTCGGCATTAATCGGGTATTTTTGGTGGCCACGGCAGGCAGGCAGATAATTATATCCGGAAATTTGACTTTTCGCTCGTATTTTTCTGGATTTTCGGAGCTCCGAGCGGCATTCGGCTGCGATTTTCTCGGTACGTGTGTGTGGGAATTCACTAATTAGGCATAATGAAACCTTTTCGTGGAGTTCCCCTTGGTTAGGGTTGTGGATTAAAGCGCTTTACGATGGTTGGCAACTGATGATTATATAATAGCGGAATGATTTTGATGGGCAAGCGTCTAAACATTTGCCTTGTTTCCTGGGAAACTCCCTTATATCCGAAACCAAAAATTTCCCCAACTAGAAAAGGTGATTGGGAAAATTTTCAATCAGATAAAGTCAAATAAAATGGGTTTCGATCCTGAAATTTTATATGGATGTATTTTATTTTGACTTTTTTTTATGGTTAAACTTAAGTTTTGTTAAAAGTATAATAAAATATAATATAAGAATAAATAAAGGGATAATAAACAAAAGTTGAAACTTAAAGCTTAAGATGTTATGCTAATATACAACATTTCGTTTTAAAGATTCTTAAAAACGTTTTGTTCTTTTTAAATCAAAAACATTTATAAGATTTTTATCAAAACTGATTGAAAAAATCCTAAAATGAACTAAATTGTTATAAAGAAACTTTAATCTGACTTTGCTACTACTTACCTCTAAATACATAGGCCACAATTTAACAAGCCCAACACCTTTAACTCCAAAAATTGGTTAGGTAGTTCACGAGTTGGTTAAAACTTTTGTTTGTACAATTTCTTATTTTTTGCCATTTATTTAATGGTTCTAATAATAGTTAATAGTTCACAAACTCAGATAAAATATACGCTTTTTTATTTATTTTTATAAATAAGATATGTATTTTTAGGTATTTATATTTAAATTAAAACCATAAAATGAAAGTAAATGTAGCGTAAAACTATTTGAAGGTTGAAACACATTAAGAAAATAAAACAAACTTGGCCCAATGTCAAGTTAAATAGTTACGTTTTTAACAGTTAACAGTTATAAAAAACAAGATTTAAAGATATCAGTTTATTGCTCCTTAAAAATATCAGAATTCAGCTATAGATCAACCTTAAATAAATCATTTAAAATTCACAAAAGAGAGAAGATCATTTATAAGTCATCAATTCAAAGGTATGCCCATTCCCTTTTTGAATCAACAAGTAAAAATATTTCAAAAATTGCCGACAATACCCCTCGTTTTCCCCGTCCCGAATCCCGGCGTCCATTCCCCGATATTTTCCCAAATCGAGAGAAAACCCAAAGAATAACCCAAGAGAGGGCGATGAAAAATCCAGAGCGCAGAGTCAAGGCTCTCTTCATTATTTTTGTTTTTGTATTTTGCAGCCGCCGTTGCCGCTCGAGAAAATCGAAATCCCCCGCCGCCTATGCTGATGCCTGACGTCATACCTGCCGCAGCCGCAGCTTCCGCCATTGGGTGTGAACGAGATGGCCATAAGAGGCGTGCGAACGAGACAACACTAGGGCGGCGGCAGCGAATGGCCGTTGAGCAGCCGCAAAATGTCAATTTGAGCAATGGCCGGAAGGATCGTGCGTCAGTTGCGTTCCGTCAGTGCGTGCGAGAAGATCGATCCACCAAAGCGCGGGCGTGAAACTACAAAGAAGATCTTAAAGTTCCGAATTACAATATATATAGATACATATAGATTTAACTGATTCTAACTCAAGAAGTGTTTAAGTTAACTCAGAAAGATAACCAAATGATGAGCGCTCGCTCGGTGTCGCCCAAAGTGCTGCTGGACATTAGCTACAAGCCCACATTGCCCAATATCATGGAGCTGCAGCACAATGTGATCAAGCTTATCCAGGTGGAGCAGCAGGCCTATATGCAATCGGGGTACCAACTGCAGCACCATCAGCAGCAACATCACCACTCCCACCAGCAGCAGCAGCAGCAGCAGCAGCAACAACCCATCTATGCGCCACTGCCCTCGGAATATGCGGCTTTTGGCATTACGGAATTGGAGGATAACGACTATAATATACCCAGCAATGAGGTACTCAGCACCAGCAGCAATCAGAGTGCCCAAAGTGCCAGCCTGGAGCTAAATAACAACAATACCAGCAGCAACAACACCAGCTCCGGCAACAATCCGAGTGTTTTCGATTCCCAGACTGGCAGTGGTTCCTCTTGGAACGAGCATGGCAAGAGGGCCAGGAGCAGTGGCGATTATGACTGTCAAACCGGAGGATCACTGGCCATGCAGCCAGAGCACAAGAAGCTAATCCACCAGCAACAGCAACAGCAACAGCAGCAGCAACATCAGCAGCAGCAGCACATTTATGCGGATTACTTACCCACCACAGTGGATGAAGTTGCCTCGGCACAATCTTGTCCAGGAGTTCAGAGCACCTGCGCCTCCCCGCACTCTCACTTTGAGTTTCCCGATGACGAATTGCCAGAGCACAAGGCTCAGGTTTTCCTGCCACTCTACAGCAACCAGCAACAGTCTCAGCAGCAACAGCAGCAGCAACACCAACAGACCCACGCCCAAATGCACTTCCAGAATGCTTATAGACAAAGCTTCGAGGGCTATGAACCGGCTAACTCCCTGAATGGCAGTGCCTATTCCAGCTCGGATCGGGATGATATGGAGTATGCCCGCCACACCGCCTTGAGTTCTGTGAGCGATCTTAATGGCGGAGTCATGTCGCCGGCCTGTTTGGCCGATGATGGCAGTGCCGGGAGTTTGCTGGACGGCTCGGATGCCGGCGGAAAGGCTTTCCGGAAACCACGTCGGCGGCTGAAGCGGAAGCCGAGCAAAACGGATGAAACAGACGAGTTCAGCAACCAAAGGGTTATGGCCAATGTAAGGGAACGCCAGCGCACCCAGAGCCTCAACGATGCCTTCAAGTCCCTGCAGCAGATCATCCCAACATTGCCCAGCGACAAGCTCAGCAAGATCCAGACCCTTAAACTGGCAACAAGGTAATATATCTTTCTGAAGTATTTTTTGTTTAGAAGTAGAAAAGACTAGATGTCATTCTTAAAATTAGATTAATATCCTTTTCATTATTACCTTCCTATGTTGATCAAATTTGAATGAAAGCTGTAAGCTTTCCATAACGAAAAGGCTCAATATAAGGTAGTAGAAGTTGTCAAAATACACACTCTAATTTCAATTCTTAAAGGCATTTTTTAATGATAGTTTGACAGTAGATCCTAATTCTTAAATAGTTATTCTAATAATAACAAAATTCCCACTTCAAACTTACAGTTTACTGATTAATTGTTGATCAAATTAGAAAAATGTTTGGATTATTTCCCATAATCAATATCTGGTTTTAAAATGAAAAGTATTTTAGCTAATTAAAGTGTTATTTCAAGTGGAACTTAGCAACATAACAAACATTTATTGCCTACAATAAAGGCTCTTAACACATTTTTCAAGTCTTAACTAATCAAGAACTTCTCTTTAACTTGCAGATACATCGACTTCCTGTGCCGCATGCTCAGCTCGAGTGATATATCCCTGCTGAAGGCCTTGGAAGCCCAGGGCTCGACTTCGGCCTACGGATCGGCCAGTTCCCTACTTAGTGCCGCTGCCAATGGAGCTGAGGCCGATCTCAAGTGCCTGCGCAAGGCCAACGGAGCACCCATCATCCCGCCCGAGAAGCTGAGTTATCTTTTTGGGGTGTGGCGCATGGAGGGCGATGTCCAGCACCAAAAGGCATAGCACCGGATCGTGGCACTATATACTATATACTATATACTATAGACTATATTATATGCCTGTCAAGGATCCAAAAGGGGCTTCCAGCAGCAACTATCGTGTGAATTCCAGAGCCCTGGCCGCTCTCACTCTTCAATTCTCTGTCACTCTTTCCAGATATATGTCGATTAGATGTCTAAGCATAAAACCTACGTTTAAAGCCTATTTAATTTTATAGTCTAAACTAAATTAATTGTAAAAACGAAACAAGCCAAGAAACAAAGAAAAGCCATGAACAAAACCAGACGCCATTTTGCATTCATTTGGATCTTTCCGTTTGTGGTTGGTGGAACGTCGTCCCCTCCACTAAATTGGGCGCGAAAATGTCTTCGCTGGGGGGGTCGGTCCCCGGGTTTTGGACTTTTTGTCTTATAAAACGGAGGCAATCGAAGCGACGTCGACATACTTAGAGCGTAACGTCATTCCGCCGACAGATGGACTGTATGTATCTTGCGAGATACACATATTGCATCCTATAGATGCTCAGTCAGTTTCATGGGAAGACATACAGATACAGATACCCGCGCTGCCGCGAATGGAGCAACACATCCACATCCGGTTGATTTATGTTCAAAAACATAAAAACTGTTTACAAAGTATACCAGAGCAAAGTATTTATGTCGCCAAAATGCGTGCTTAAAATGCTCATAATTAGCTCAGTCAGATAATTTAGTTGCCGTCTTTTTTGGTGACTGGAACTGGACCTGCTCCTTCTGCTCATCAAAGGCTTGCAATCGCTCCGATCGCTCCCGTTCATAGTTGTTGACTTAATTGCTTTTTAAATGACAGCTCTCGGTGCTCGAAAGTGCTCTCCGCTCTATATACATTGTAAGCAGCTTATTTTGAAATCTTCTCAAAGATCTGCAAACACATTTTGTGTGGATACAAATTTAGATTTTGTATTTGGAACTGGTTAAATTGGCATATCGCATGCATGTTGACAGGTTGTCGTTGGCTTGGGGCTTGGGGAGTGCTCGTTTTCAAAGTGTTAGAACAAATTAGAGGAAAGTATTTTGAAGATTATCTTAGATAATGAGGCATAATACTTGAAACACGAAAAGGGGCGTGATCCACTTAACAACTAATCTTGATTTCTGTTTGATCACTTCACACATCGATAAATTAAGAATAATACAAAAGTCTTTGATATATTTCCCTGCCAATTACTTTGCTACTTAAAAAATTATAAACTTTAAAAGTTAAATTCTTTATTTTTCCTAGAAATTTGTGGCATTTTGCAAAACTGTAATTCAAATATGTACTTATTAAAAAAAAGTTCCTTCTTCTGTATCTTATTCTGTTAGTTAGTTATCATCAGCGGAAATGATAAGACTTAATTGTAATGTTTGGGTGGAAATGGGTGGTTAGTTGAGTGGGGTGCGGTTGTGGGATTAACCCTTCCTTCTGCTGCCATTTGCTGGGGGTTGGGAAGTGGCGGGAAAACGCAGTTGTACATGGCCTCTGGTAGCGGCTTCAGGGTAGTAGACTTCTTGATGTGGCGGTTGGTAGTCGAAGTCTAACGAAGATAGGGCAAGCGAAAGGGGTCCAAACCTTGCTGAGTGCTCTTCTGCGCGGAGTAGATGCACGGGAGAGCGGGACTTGGGAGGCTTGGAGGCTAGTAAGCCGCGAGTTGTAGAGATGGAGTACTAAGAGCGGGAAGTGTAAGAAGTATGGGTAAGCCGTATTTTTTACCGTGGCCTGAACATGCATAATTTCTAACCATTTCAAAAAGGCTATTTGCTACCTTTCAGAATAATGAATACATACAAAAATAGGTGGAAATGTCATAGATTATGACAACAATCATAAATTTAAAGAAAAGAATAATAAAAATGAATCCTTATCTCTGTTTACAACTGCTACGTATATATACTGAAATCTTGGCATTAATTCAAGTGCCTATTCCAAATAGTATTATTATCAATTCTAACAAATCAACTACTGATAATTTACGTGTTGTCTAAGTCACAAAAACATATATATATTCATATTATAGTTTATATACGTTCGAAATACACTTCAATGGCACTGCCTCTTTGGTCTGATCATCATTTGGGCACGTTTTAGCGAGTAGGTGTGTCCCTTCCACTGATACCAGTTAATGCCCTTTCCATGTGCAGTATCTCCATATTTACCAGCCAAGTTGCTAAAAAAATATAAATAAATACTAAATTTTCAGGCTTAAATTTAATGTTAGAAAATATGTATACCTGTGATGGCAGGCATTGTACCACCAAGCACTGCTGTAATTTGTGGCACAGTTCACAGTTCCATGTTTGTCATTATCGCGATCTTTGGTAGTGAACTTTTGGCCCAAATGGGTGGCCATAGCATCACCGGCATTACCTGAGGTATTACCCAATGATTCGAGGGCGAAACCGTCCTTCTCTGAACCGATTCTAAAGTTATCATACATCTGGTAACGCCGCTCTCCCTCGTTGTCCTCCAAAAGAACCAACATTTCTTGGGTCTGGGATGAAGTTATGGCGTGTAGCTTATCGAGTCCTAGGAAAAATTCATTCTCCAATTTCCCAAAACCGTTTTTATAGTCGTTCCAATCCCGGAAAAAGTCCTCGCTACCGTCTGAGCGACGTAAGAATATAGTCCAACCGCCACCTTGACTCAGCTGATCACAGGCCACCACAAACGGGTGTTTACTGTACTCGGGCACCACGATCACATTGATTTCACTGTGCTGGGTAAGCACTGAAGGTTCGGCACAGCTTTTTCCATACCACTTAGTCTCCACTCCAATTTTGGATAGACAACTTTCCACTTTTTCATTAAGATCTTCTAGTAACTCGCCATGTCGCTCCTGCTCTACTCTGAAATTATAGTAATTAGTTTTAGTTTTAATTATAGTTAAATTGTTAATTAGAAATACAAACCGCACTGCAATCATCTGAGATCGAATGGATGCTGCATTCCCGCAAATTGTTGATATTTCACACACTTTTTCAGCATTTAGGCAAGCTGAAATACTGATTATTAATATTATGACTAGCCTAGATCGCTGCATGACTACTGTACAGGGCAATTGATTAGCCAAGACTGAGCTGAGATGCTGTTAGAAGTACCTAAAGTTCTCGGGATTCCTTATCACAAATGCGGTAATCTCTTCTGAATATTGTAGTGCTTTCCCGAAGATTGTTTACGTGTTACTCTTAATATTTGTTTTGAATTCTCAGACGGAATTAATGCTTTTCTAGCAGTGATTCCCCTGAAGTTTTATTCTTCATTACAGCGAAAAACCAATTCTCTTCTGTACCTGATTACAAAATTAAAAGCCAAATTGTGTAAATTACATATATTTTTAGTTTATATTTTATTTAAAGACTTTAGTAAGTAATCTTAATAACAAATTCCATAGAGTTTATGCTTTCAAATTCCTACAATATCAAAATAATTACTGAGAATGCAGACAGACACCTTAAGTTTTCTTAAGCTTGTTCAGCTTTTCCAGCTTGTTTTTCCATCGCATGTTTGTCCAAATAATCTATTAACGAAAAGAAAATTAGCCACCCTGCCGATCAGATCAATAAACCCGAATCACCATTTTATATTTCTGGCAATAGTCGTATAACAAACGCCGAATTTCCGAAGAATTTCAGCATCTAATTAAGGCGGAAAACTATATGTAAGAGAAATCATGAGAACAGAAAGAGACAGAGTTCAAGAACAATTGATTTATTCGAGTATTGGTTGCCAGAACGCCCATTTTCCGGGACGCTTGATGAATGAATCGGAATAGCGGAGGCCAAGATATGTGCTAGAACCCAAATCTTCTGGACTGGCGGCGCCTATTCCTTCAGAGAGTCAGCGAGGGCTAAGAAAATCGTGGCAAAGGACCTGAACCTGGATTCCCGGCATTGTTTTCATTTCATTTACGAGTCGCTCGCCCACACATATGTTGGGAAAATAATAAGAAAAACCGTTTTTTCCCTGGCATGAGGTCCTTTTCGCTGCGCAGCAAGATTTGCAGTCCTTAGGCGCATAGCACATGCCATTGATTACCATGTGTGGGAATTAGCCTTGCGAAAAAAAAATCGAAGTTAGTTAAAATCACACGTAAAGAGGCAAAGCCAATGGCAATGGCCCTCGTCGTCCTTGCAGGGATCTCACTCGTCCTGCGGTGATCCTATCCTCCCTCAGGCATGTTCTAAATTTAGCTACAGGATTTATGGTCCTCATGTCATTTGAGCCGCTCTTCCAGTACTTTTTAAGAAACCCCTGGAACTTCATACTACATATATTGGAAAAAGGAAGAGAGTGGCTGCAGTGGGAGAGAGGGCGTTGACAGTTTTGTGTCTCCCATTTTTAGGTAGCTACTAGGCTATGAATCCCAAATCACTTTATTCCCCTCCTTGGATCCTCAAGGTGGTTCCCTGAATATATGTACTCCCTGTTTTCCTTTGGGGGGCCGAACTAAAACAATGTTCAGCGGAAATTCTACTCGGTAATTGCAGTAACTGAAACTAATACAGTGGAAAAAGATGAGTTCCCCCTTCAGTTTTCCTTGGGTTTTCAGAGTTTTGAGTTCAGCATCATGTGTCAAAGGGGAAAACATTTTGGGAGCCCATATCAAGTGCATTAGGTTGACAAATATTGACAGGAGTTTCGGTTCAATAACATAATAAGATATTGTTATAAATAAATCGCTATCTCTCAAGCAAGCTAGGCAAATAATTTTACATTTTAAATTGAAATTCATTTGTTGGTATATATAACCCCATTCCTTAACCTTAGATACAAACAATTTCATTCTCCGAATTCATTTGTAAAAATGTATCAAGAAATGAAACAAAAATTTCATCAAAACTCAACACAAGGTACTTTTAATATTCCGTTGTATTCTTTGCAAAGTTCAGAAATATGATCAACCCGCTTTCAGCTGCGAATTCTCATTCCCAACCAAGATCCCTTAGCCATTCCCAGACAAGCAGATGACCGTATCCGTGTCCATGTTAAAGTCAAAACGGTGTGTCCAAAAATTATACGAAGCGTTTCCGATTTCAAAGTAAAAACCAGACAGTCAGACGAGGAGGAAACCGAAACGGAAGCGTTTGCTGGCCACTTGGAGATCGCAATGCATTGTTGTGACCCATTCGCAGACTCATTTGTGCCCCGCTGATTGATTGCCAATGGGAAGCTGCCAGCCCCCCTACCTCCGTTCATGGGCGTAGGTGTGCTTGTTTTCTCCTCACAGAGGAGCTCTGTCTGCTACTGCAACCCCATTGCTACACCCAAGACCATTCTTCTCTGACCCATCTCGACACCCCTATTCCTGGGGGAAACATCTGGTTCACGCAACGCTTGCACCGACAACCAAATATGCAAACAGCTCGACGGCTCAAGTAATTAAAATCATCGATATAGGCGCATTCGTTCACGGAGGTGCTGCCTGCATTTTCGAGTGCATTTGGCCAATCAATCAGCGATCAAAGTTCATAGATCCTCCGGAGGATTGGATTCCAAGGGGGCGAGGGAGGTGGTGGGCCAGCGCTGACTAATGGCCACCGATGATGAAGTCGGCCGATCTGTCCATCAGCAACAATAACAAAAAGCCCAGCTAATGTAGTGAATGTGCATCTACAAGATACATATTGATGTGTACGTAAATGTTTGTTTATGGCCTAGCTCTGTATGGGTGTGTGTGTTTGTGTGGAAGTTCATAAAAAGACAAGTGAATAAAATCTTTAAGAGGAGTCTTGCGACTAAGATATACCCTTTAAAGTGGTTTCTAGACAAATTTGTTTTTACCTTACTTCACTTAGTAGTTTTACTAAATGTCTATCTTATTAAAAATCTATCAACATTTCTAAGTTTTAACTTAACAGTAAATAATTAGGTGGAATATTTATAAACTTAGCTAAAGTAGGCCAAAACTGATTCTCCAAATCCTTAACTAAGGCGTATTTAAAAGCTATTGAGATTACCTTTATACATTTTTGATATTATCCTTAGTTTCAAATTTATTTTCTAATACCGTCTTAACTTTTTAGGAGGTATAACAATAAAAATGAAAGTAAGAATGATTTCTTATGTTAACAAACAAATTTTCTTTTATTTTTCTTTGGAATTTTCTGTTAATTTCAAAATCCGAATTCCCTGTATCCTTTCTAGCAATATCCCAACCTTATAAAATATTATCTTTTATCCTTTTAAAATATTGTCTTTTACCATTTCTTAATATATTTCATATATAGTACCTATAACTTCATCAGCCTTATTCCCCTAATTTCTTACAGTGGCACTTACAGGGTATTTGACTGGAAGTAATTGACCGGAGGCGTGAAAAAAGGGGCAGAAGAGAGCCGATCGCTACTATGGCCATCTCGCTCACTCGTCCGCCCCGTTGCCAACCCTGTACGGATCCAATTCCGGACGGAGTGACGGACGGGCTGTGCCTCGCATCGGTCGCATAAATATTTTGCTTTTATATTTTTTCAGCCGAAGATGCGCACAGCACATAAAAAGCAACTTGCCACATACGCACACACACACACACACACGCACATAGATGAGATTGTAGTTGTCTATAAACAAAAAACAATCCATAAAAAAGCCCAACAACGACGGCGGTCGACATCCAAAAAGGAACATCCCCGGCAACAAGAACAACAATAAGAAAGACGAAGGAAAAACCAAACCAAACTTTTGTTTATTTACATAAAAACATTTTAGTGACTTGGCCCGCAGGCAAAAACTGTTGACTTCTACCCCCTCCAGACGCCTCCCTAACATTCAGGAAGTAAGTAAAACGCTTTCTCAACGGCAAAGTACAAGAATGTGATCAAAGATCAAAACGATATATGCCCAAGATCAATGGGTTGTGTTATAAAGATCCAGTTTAGGCAACAGGTCAAAGGGGAGGCATTTATATGCAATATTAATCGGTTCTGTTAATATTTATATGGAAAAACTATTAACTATTAAATATTAAGATCAATCAGAAAAAAATATGCTCTGAAAAAGTTCAACCTTAGGAAGACGATCAAGGTAGATTCCCACCTGCTTTTTATTTTAGTCATTTAAATATATTTTTAAAATTACTTAGCCAGAAGTTTGGACCATATAATATTTTTTAGCATAGTTTACTAATTTATTTTGATTTTATAAATTATTTTCAGTTTGGTTGTGAAAAGAGTTTTCTGGAATAATGCTTACTAGAGAATTTTCCCTGAAATATGTTATTAATGTTTATATTTTTAAAATTGAATTAAATTGTTAAAAAACGAAATTTCATATACCTCTTTTTTCTACGTGCAAAATATAAATTGCTTAATGCCTCCCAAAGGGAAAACAAAAGACTGAAGACGGGAAATCAAAAGATTAAAAATGGTGAATTCCTTGTTCTGGGAACCCGATCATCTCTGATGTAAACGCTTGACACTTTGCGCCAAGATCTCGCCTTACCCCTCCACCCCTCCCTCGCGCTTTCCCTTTGGCCAACCGCAGCCGGCAGCAGGCAACATCTGGCGTAAGGGAAAAGATTAATTTCTGACAGAGCGGGAGCGTCCCCAAAGGCGGCCATACATATAGACATATAGCCAAAGAAGAACAAGATTCGATGGCGGCAAACCCACAAAAAATCAATTAGAAAGCCGAAAGTCGAATGAGATTATACCCGTTATATTATAATTTGAATATGACAAATTGAAAATATTTCCTTTTCTCACATTAACAAATGTAGATTTCCATTTAAAGTTTTTATATTTTTACTTAATTATTGTCGAAGATTTGCCATTTTGTTTTAAGGATGAATTTATGCCAAATAAATTGTAATATATATTAAAGGAATAATATCTTATGAATATAAAAATGATGTTATTTTAAATTTTTTATACAATTTTTAAATTAAAATCATCCTGAAAAAAACAAAATCTTTAACGGCTCTAAAAACGGCTTAGATAAACCCAACATAGTCACTAAAACTAACCACTAACCAATATGCCCCAAAATAAATGCTTGAATGGCGAAAAATTATTCATGCCACCGTTGATGGATATGAACATCGACGTCGATGCTGAAGAGAGAGTTTTCCACGCCGCGCTTTTCACGGTCACATCCATTAATCCCGCCGAGCGCGTCGTAACACAATATACCATATATGTCGGAAAAGTCGGATGAGAAAGTATACATATATCTCCGTTGGATTTGCGTTAGTCCCAGTTGAAAGAGGCGACAGTGCGTCTCTAGAACTAATCATTAGACCCATAAAACATCGCCTTGAAATTGAATTCCTTCATTTCGGGACTTAGTCGCACTCTCGAGGGATTGCTTCTTGGGTTCCTCTTTAGTACTTCATTATGGACGCCCTAACGATGTTGTTTTAATGATCTCAAAAACTCGACAAAAATCCACTTGACAAAATCCACAAGAAGTTCCCTTCTCAAGTGCCGAAACGCAGAGAGAGGGGGCGAAGGGCAAGCCACCGAAGGGTAAAATATATTCCAAACTATATATATAATCAAGTCGACGTATATATAAACTGAATATATGTGCGACTGCATTTCCTTTTCTCTTTTTTTTGCACAGACACTTTATGTCTGGTGGTTGGGTATGTGTGAAAAAGACCATTGGATGTCGGGCATATCTTTGGAGCCTTGTTATTGGAATCTTTGGGGGGTACGAAGAAGTGGGACGAGCTGTTGATTGCCAGGAGCTATAAAAATTCTTAGAGCCGAAGAAGCCATGTAATGCCATTTGAAAGTTCCTGCTGACAGATATGAATTATGTCTTACAGGTAAGTAAGTGTGTTAACGATGAAAGATATTGCAAGTTTGTAATGAGCACCTGTCGTTGACTTTTAATAAGGGGAGTATGTTTTATAATATTCGAGTAGTTTTTCCTGTAAATACATATATTGGAGGAACCTAAAGTTGACCTATCTATAAACTGAATTTGATTGCTAGAATGATTATAAGATCAGAATTTTATCTATGAACCGAACTCTGGCGCCCTGTACTTATCGTGATTCACTTGTTGTTTTCCAGAGTCAAAGCTTAACCAATTATTACCTTACGATAGCTCTGAGTTCATAAGCCCGTATGATTAGAACTATTAACGTGAACGAGAATCTTGTTAAGTGAGTTAAACTTTGTTGTAATGTGATCTCACGATATGAAAGCTTGCTAAGTATCGATTTCAACATCAGTTATAATCCTGTCTTACAAGCTAAAGGAACTGTAAAATCGAAACGGGCCGTGGCTATTAACAAGACTTTTTTACATAGTAATGCTAAGTCTGTGCTGGAAGTGACTTACGTTATGTCAGCTGTCATTTGCACTGCAAACCTTCACCACAGCAAACCTAAAATTGTTTGGCAACACCCAATTGACCCAGTTCCCCTAATCCAAGACCTCCGTCCGCCCTCAGTCTAACTTTTCAGCTAGCTCTTTAGATCTATCTTACTCAGACTCACAGACTGTTTATAACAATTTAGCCGAGTCATGGCAAACGATCTCAGCTAAAGAAATCAACATGCAAAATTATATTTAATAAACGGTTTGCGTTGCACTTGCCATGGAGTTGCGAGTCGGGCAGGGGCAAGAACTTGGTATGGAGGTAACGCATCAATTGCTCGCACAAAACTACATGTAAGTACACTGAAAAAAGAGGTTTTTAATTAGAAACCTATAAAAATACTTAATATTAAGGTAATGGTAAGTAAAGTTTGCAATCTTACTATTTACACAAAAAACAATTATGACAAAGCCAGAGATCATGCAATTTAAAAAAAAGAGAACATTGAAGTTCTTACTGTAAATTTCTCTCAGTGCACTCATACATAGAAAGAAATGCGAGGGAAAGATTCGCAATACAGAAGCCGAGGGCAACAGCCACAAAGAGAGTACGAAGTATGAAGACACGTGTTCTGAATTAAAAGCGCACCCCACACCGCACGACCTTCTCCCTGCACCCACCCACTCCGTCTCCCTTCCGCTTCTTCCACCCTTCCCCCATTATAGCCACATTCTTGACGCTCTGTGGTTGTTGACATGTTAATGGCCACAAAGGAAACTCGCTTAAGAGGCATGGCAAGTAAAACAATACACATGTTGCATGCGGCTTAATCACGTGCAAACACACAGCAGAATCGCAACTGGCAATTTCAGCCAAGCGACGAGCAACAACACAGCACATTGTTAACTTGGCTCAGAAGCAGAGCTTCGACCCGAAGCTTGGCTTAGTGTGTCAGTGTGTATCTGTATATCTGTGTGTGTGTGTGTGTGCGTTTGCGACGGCGACCTGTTGCCACCGACGTCGCAGCGGACAGAGCTCGAGCAGCGACGGATGCAGAGGCAGTTAGCTTTTTGGGCGCAGTTGATGAACGAAGCTGTTGGCCGAAAGACGCGACCGGCTTAAACTCCGACTTAAACTCCCACCTGCTATCAGAAACGAAAAGTAAAATAATAAAACAAATATTTTAAAATGTCCTAGAAAGTGTTTTTAAGTTGTTTAACAACAAATCAGGTTAAGACTATAACTTCCATAACCTTAAGTCGAACTTGTTTTTTTTGGAGTGCAAAATAATTCCTGAATACTATAGCTTGCAGGCCTCAAAACTTGAATTTTTTATTAGTACTTGCTGGTCTTAATAATGGACCTTCGGCTGTTATTTAATTTCCATTAAAGAAGTTTAAAATATTGATTATAGTCAAAGTTCGGAAATGCTCTAAACTTATTTTGCAACTTTTAAAGCTGTGGAATCTTACTAAAATAAAAAACATATAAATATCCGAAAAGCCTGCTATTTACCAATAAACAAAAAAGAATAATAATAATTAAGCTTCTTAATGTAAAAAAAAATGTAAAAATGCAAATAAAGTTTTTTCTGTTTGTGCGTGCAATAAATCCATCAAGTTAATAGAGTGAACAGCAATTTCAACCGCAATTTGATCGCAACCCACATCCCACATCCCATCAGCGCATCTCTTAATCCCGTGAAGATGCCAAGCCTGAGATGTGCGGACCCACAAAAGGCAAAGAAATTTAACAAAAGAAAGGAGAAGAAGATTTCAGTGAAAGTGATGAAGCGTCGCCAACATCCGCATCTCTTAATGATCTCTGCCGATCTTATGTGTTTATCTGCGAGTGTATATGTGTGCCACAAAAAAGGAAAAATAACAAAAACAAAAGAAACCACAACAGTAGTCAAACTAAATGTTTGCATGAGCCAAATGTTGTAAAAAATAATTTGCAACACGAGGACTGGAATTTAAGTTTTGAGTCAGCCGCAGGCTGATAAAGAGCCATGTTTATGCATTGCCAAATTAGCGAACAAGACAAAAAGGGAAATTAGTTAAACATATTTTAATAAATTATTTTTTGACATAAGACCGATTAGCTTAACAACATAAAGACACTTTTAAACTATTGCCATTAAAGCTATTTCCTGTTAAAATGTCTTTTTAAGCTAATTTTCAATTAAGCTCGTTATAGTGTAATTTCATTTTGCAATTAATATGATTCTGCTTATTAATAGATCAGTGAAGTGCTTAAAGATCTTTCTTCACTTACATCTGTACTATTCATTATTGAATTCACTTTAAAAATGTTTGTATTTATAGTCTCAAAATTTATAGTCCTCAAAAATATTTAAATTATATTCTTTATTCTCATTGAAAAAACTTTGTTTCTGACAGAAATCAAAGTTGCAAAGTCTAAAAAACCTAACAAAAGCCAGTTAATAAAATTTAAATATAATTTTAACCTAATTCTGTTAGCCCTGTTAAGATATGACTGTTTCCATTTCCGATGTAAATGCAGACACAGTCTTCTAACCCAAAACTCACTTCCTCATCACTAAACTCACTTTAATTGTCGCGTCCATTAAGTGAGTTTACCATACATTAACGGTTTTATGGCCCACCTGTAGCTTCACTTACCTTAACTTTTGCCATTCGTCGCGCATAAACAACCGCAGCAGACCCCAAAAACTCACCTTGAGCTTACAAACACACACGCTGTCGCATTGCTGAGCTGAATAACGCCGCAGCATCACTCAAACCGCGTCAAAAAAGGCAATTTTTCTTCATCTTTTCTGCTGGTGTCACCTGTGCACTACAATTGCAAATTCCCCACATCGTTATACCTGCTTTTTTCCTCAGCTTTTCGCCTTTTCTCTTTTTGTCTTTTGTCTGCCCCTTCCGACTGCTGCACGTCGCCTAATTACCCATAATTTCGCTTCGAAAGTGCACAGAGAAAAATGGGAACAACATACTATTATCTTGTGCAGATCTTATAAAGATGAAGAGGTTTAATATTCATAGGATAGCTATCAAGCATTTAATGACAAGTTTTTATTCTAAAACAAATAAAAATATAACATGAGATCTTAATATTAACCTGAATTGTTATTTTAACCAACTTTTCTTTAAAAATACAACATTATTTAATAAACTTTGCTACATATTTCGCTTTGTGTAACCATCTAGAAACCACAATAATAACCACCAAAAGCGGCTGAGTTAATTGAAGACCAAATCTAGCCGAGCTGTTAATCAAACCCAATTCGGAGCCTCTGTAGATGTGCTGTTAAATCCGAAATAAATAAAATGTGCACCGCTGGCGTTGCGGCTGATGGTGGTGCTGCTACAGGTGGTGCTGATACTGCGGATAATGCTAGCTCTGCGGCCGCCCCAAGTTCGACGGCCTTGAACCCCCCACAGGTAAATAATATAAATATACTCATCTACTCGCACGCATTGTGGTCAACATACATATGATTTTTTTTTTTTTTTGGGTTTCGCTTGATTCGCTTTGTTGTGTTCACTGGGTGGTTCACCGCCCCTGGCCACTCCCCTCGGCGTCGAGTTTAAACCTTATCTGACAACAAAATAATACTCACGTTGCCATCAGAAACAAGCATCTACAAAACCGCAGAAAAAACCGAAACCAGTTTACTTTTGGCCTGTTGATTTTAGCCGGGACTAGGTCTGGGTCTTGAGTATTATGCGATCGGTCATCTGTTCGGATAAAGCTCATAATCAGGTTTTATATAAAAGATTATTGCAACCTAAACTATGTCTTTTTATTGAGTTGGTCCGAAACAATTTGAAAGTCAAGATCAGGGTGACTTGAAATGGTTGTTAATGGAGGTTATTAAAATGACTCGCTTTTGAAGAAGGAAAATGTATTTAAAGAACTAGTTTAAAAGCACTTTATGATGGTCATGTATGTTGGTTAAGTAACAATATAAAAACAATTTTCCTTTTAAATTTATTTCAATAAAACCAGCATGACAAGCCTGAGAGCGCTACGAGTAACTCCTTAATCAATAAATATAACTTAATTCTTTTAATGATAACTGGGATTCATAAACTCTGGAATGACTGGCATTTAAGAGAAATTCTTTAGTTTAATAGTTAAAGAAAGAAGGTCAAACGAATAATTCCCATATTGATCATATGAAGAATGTTCATAAAAATAATTAATTAAAAGTGTAACTGAGGGAACCCTCCTTAAAATAAGATCAGTTTGTACTCACCTGACGCCGTCACACCTTTTGCAAATTCATTGTTACAATACTTCCCCGAGCAAACTGTCAGTTGAATAAGAAAATCCCCTAAAAATAAACAGATAGAAGGCTAAAACCATTCAAGCCAATCATCCAAGGGTCAAACGAGTTGAGCAAAGATTTGCCTAATATGATGACAGGCACCGACAATAATCCGTTGGTGGAGGATGGAGGTGTGAGCGCCACCCATTATCGATTGACCATTTGGCACAAGGTAATCGGGAGTTCCCCCAAAAAACGTACTGCGTACTATATCGTACCATATAATTAGATCGTTTTCTTTATGTTGGGACTGATCTCGGCGCTGACCATATGCGTTCTGATCCGATTGTCAAACCGATTGGCCTCCGATGCCGAGAAGAAGGCTTTGATGCACTTCCGCGACTTCTCCTCGAGCCGTTATGGCCACCGTTTTGGCCACTAGATTCTGTCTATTCACATACTCTATATTTTTATATGTGTTTGCCTTTCATTGTTTTGGTTTGTTTGCAAATTGTTTAAATAAAGTGATAATTGATTGATGCGGAATAAGTCGCTAGAGTGCTAATTAAACAACAAGCTATTAGCTGAAGATCAGGAAAAGCTTTGAATAAACTTCATCAAGAGGGGTCAGTCTGAGGGGTTATTTTATTTATTATCTAACACCCGTGTCGGAAGGGCTTACGCTGCGAATGCGTGATGCGGCGGAAGCTTCCCGTTTCTACTTATTGCCTGATTGAAAGTTTCTTAAAATAAGTATTTGGTATTTCCTTTTATATTTATTTTAGGTTACCATTACCATGGATTCACCAGAGACCTTGAAGCCTCCAAAAAAGTCCAACTTGCGTCGTAATCTTCAATGGGTTCTATCACCCGTTCTAACCGCTGTAACTGGCCTGATCTTTTATTACCAAGGACCTTGGTATGGAGTGGCCACCCTATATGCCAGCTTAATAGCCACATTGCTAGTGCGTCCAGGATGGCGGTGGTTCTATATAGCAGCGGTCACCACTCCACGAGATACTATGTAAGCTAGAAAAATATTAATAATTAATAAACTTTACATTTATGTATACTTCACAGAGCCCTCTTTGCATACATCCGAGTGTTAATGTTCATAAAACGGCATGAGCGGAAGAACTTGAACATCGGAGACATATTCGAGGCGAATGTTGCCCGTCAGCCGGACAAGTTGGCCATTGTTAGTGAGTCCCAACAATGGACCTTCCGGCAGCTTAATGAGCACTCGAACCGAGTGGCCAACGTATTTCACAGTCATGGCTATAAGAAGGGCGATGTGGTGGGTCTGCTGCTGGAAAATCGTGCTGAATTCGTGGCCACCTGGCTGGGTCTGTCCAAGATCGGAGTAATAACGCCATTGATAAATACGAACCTCAGAGGAGCGTCCCTGCAGCACAGCATTACGGTGGGTCAATGCACGGCTGTCATTTACGGAGCCAGCTTTCGATCTGCCGTGATGGATATAGCCAAGGATTTGCCCGCTCACGTGGGACTATATCAGTTTAACGACGAGGCAAACCAGGAAATTGTGGCTTCTGAGGGCCTTAGCCAGGGATTGGCCCAGCAATTGAATGGTCTTTTGGAAACGGCTGCAAAAGATAAAGTAGCCGCAGGTGCTTCTCGACCGGATCATCATGACAAGCTGGTCTACATCTACACTTCAGGTACTACAGGATTGCCCAAGGCAGCCGTCATAACGCATTCTCGGTAAGTTTTCCTTTTTTAAATACGAAATGCCTGTAACCCGATTCCTTGTCTTTTAGATACTTCTTTATAGCTGCCGGCATCCACTACACACTTGGTTTTGAGGAGCAGGATGTCTTCTACACTCCCTTGCCCTTGTATCATACTGCAGGCGGAGTCATGAGCATGGGTCAGGCCCTACTCTTCGGGTCAACGGTGGTCATAAGAAAGAAATTCAGTGCATCGGGTTATTTCTCGGACTGCGCACGGTTCCAGTGCACGGTAATATAAAATTATTATTATTTAAATTCATTTTATATATCTTAATTTACCCACAGGTTGGCCAGTACATTGGAGAGATGGCCCGATATATCCTCGCCACTCCATCGGCCTCTCACGATCGGAAGCACCAGGTGCGCATGGTGTTTGGCAATGGATTGCGGCAACAGATTTGGCCACAATTCGTAGAGCGTTTCGGGATCCAAAAAGTAGGCGAATTCTACGGAGCCACCGAGGGAAATGCCAATATTATGAATAATGACAGCACCGTGGGAGCCATTGGCTTTGTGTCCCGTATCCTGCCTCAGATTTATCCGATTTCGATCATTAAGGCAGATCCATATACGGGAGAACCTTTGAGGAACAGCAAAGGACTCTGTGAGAGATGCGAAGCCGATGAACCAGGTGTGTTTATAGGAAAGATTGTAAGGGGAAATCCCTGCCGGGAGTTCCTGGGCTATGTTGACCAGAAGGCATCCTCCAAGAAGGTAGTCCACGATGTCTTCTCTAAAGGAGACATGGCCTTCATTTCGGGAGATCTTCTGGTGGCCGATGAGAGAGGTTATTTGTATTTTAAGGATCGCACTGGGGACACTTTCCGCTGGAAGGGGGAGAATGTATCCACCAGCGAGGTGGAGGCGCAGCTAAGTAATTTGGCTGGTTACAAGGATGTCATTGTGTATGGGGTGAGCATACCTCAAACAGAGGGAAAAGCCGGAATGGCAGCCATTTACGATCCAGTTCGAGAGGTTAAGGTCAGCCAGCTGGGCGAGGAACTGGCCAAATCCCTGCCCAACTATGCAAGACCACAGTTCCTGAGATTTTTGCGAAGAATTGATCTGACAGGAACCTTTAAGCTGCGCAAAGTGGAGCTCCAGCAACAGGGTTTCAATCCCGAGGTTATAGATGATGAACTCTACTACGCTCAACCGAATGGCGTTTATGCTCCGCTCACCTTATCCGTTTACGAAAGGATATTAAGGAACGAGCTACGCTTCTAGAAGCGCCAGACTTCTCGAAGAAAGAGAAGTCAAGACTGTGCCTCGTATGTTAGTAATTAGGATTTCGGTTGGATTCATGCCGTCTAGTTTTAATTTTGGCAATCTTGTTTATTGTGCTGGCAATAAATATTGTTAAAAAATATGAATGAATTTATGTAGCACACTTTTTTTTTTTTTGATAAGTAAGTAAGTATTTTCTATGTTCCTTGAAATTGTCATTTCTTATTGTATTATTTTTCGCCAATTTTGTTTGATTTTTAAATGTTTTAAAAAATTAGAAACATATTTATCAATTAATCTGAAAATGTTGTATTTAATTGGATATAGTTTATTGTGTTAGCTCTTAAAAAACAACTTTCATAAAATTATCAAAGAAGGAATTTGGGATATTTTGAAAACGGTTTACTTTAAATAATAATATTGGGATCACATAGGTTTGGTATTTATCTTAATTAGAAAAGACTTTGATTAGATCGCAGTTGTATTTGATTCGTTTTGTAATTTTGTTTATTGTGCTATTATTAAATAATTTTTAAAAGAAAACTTACAATTGAAAGAGCATCATTAGCCACTTTTCGACAATCAGTGGTTAGAAAATCTAATATCCCATATTCCATTTCCAATTCCTATCAAACTGGCTTGATTTCTGCTCAAATATAACTTCCAAATAGCTAGGATGATTTCGATAGATATATCTTATCTAAACCTTTAGCCTAGATTTGACTAGGAAAGGATTCGGAAAGGGGTCGTATAAAATACTTTCAGCAGTCTTTGGAGCGATAACCGCTCAGTCTTTAGGCGGCACATCCTTGTTAAGTTCCGCCCGCTTCCTCTGCTCCATGCGCTCTTCCACCTGGTCCAACCGATCACTCATCGCATCCAAGGAGCTGAGGAGTCCCGCCTGAATCTCGCCGTACCGCTTCATGGCCAAAACAAGGCTCTCCTCGATGAGTTCGCTTTGCTGGGCGTACTCCCCATTGTTCTGTGTGATGCCCTTCAGCTGCTCCAGGCATTCGGCGGGAATGCTGCGGAAGTACTCCGCTCCCAGAGCAGGTTCAAGCTGCCTAATCCTTTCCAGCTGCTCGGCTTGGGTATGTAGCTCAGGGGCCACTGCATTCAGGTATACCTCCTTGGAGCGCACCTGCTGCTGTTCCTCAAGAAAGTTGGGATCCAAGTACTTCTCCAGTTCGCCGGATCTCTTCACACATTGTTGCAGTGGAACACTGCCCGTAGTAGCTTCGCCCAGAAGGGCGTGAGCGGAGCACAGGGCGTCGACAACGCCTTCTCCCGTTTCAGATTCCTGCACAGGTCCGAGTACTCGCGTCAGGGCATCGATGCGTTTCTCCAAAATGTCCAGGGCCTCCATTTTTCGTTAAATTTCTCTTTATTTTGGTTGCTTTGCTGCGGGAATGATGTCAGTCTGCAAAACAATCGATGTTTCTTGATAGGGTGGCAACGCCAGTACTGAAAGTGTGCTTGCTAAATAAGGAATATGTATTGGCTATAATAGGTGCACTTGTTAAATGTGTACACACTGAATAGAGTATAATATTAACCCTTGGGTGATCCTTGGACTCTTCACATAGAAAATCAAATAAAGATTTTTTAAAATATCTTACTGAAAATCGTCTTTAACATATTAACAAATTGGGATGAAATCGAATATATTTAATTAAAAAATCTGCATTTATGTAATTCATTATAACTTTAGGGCTTAAAAAGAAAATTGGGGCACAGTTCGCTTTCAATGAATAATACATTTTTTAAAATGTCCGCTTTCAGAAATCCGAAATAATTGTGAGTAAAACTATAAGTATAGAAATGACTCGCCGTAATGATTGAAACTTAAAATAGGATTTGGTCTAAAACAAACCTTTCTTATGACAAGTATTACTCATTTTTTTAACAAATTAATTTTTTATAGAAAAAAGCTTTTATTATTTTTCTTATATACATACTTATGTGTTTAGTTTTCTTTAAAACTAAATCTTTTCAACACATTACAGCTTAAAATTCTCAAGGGACAAGCGCTCCGCATCCTTGTTGATCTGCGCGAGACTATCCTCGGAGATAATGGGTACCACATCGGCTTCCGGATCATCGCCCGCAGAATCATCCAGCACACACAATAGTCCATCGTTCTCCATGTAGGGAAAGAAAAACTCTGGCTTATCCCAGTTAACCTTGTCTCCAATACCACAATGCAACTCCTGGGCCATGTGCTCCACAAGCAACTCCTGCTCGTCAAACTGCAGGTCACAAGTCACGCAACGCAGCATGCACATTTGCCGGCGCAGATAGTTAACAACCTTTACCCGTTGGTAGAAGTTCAGGGAGCTGGTGGCCTTGTCAAAATCCAAACGATGGACATTTTGCATATGCTCCTTTAGGGCGGCGAAACTCTCCCCAAGATTGGTACAATACAGGCACTGAACGGCACTCGGCTCTCCATCTGCCGCCCAATCCGACCAATCCGAATCGTGTTCCCCATCTGAATCCGGGCGGGCAAAGTGCTTGTCAAAGTCAACGCTGCCGGTTTCGAGATCAGCCACTGTAGACACTGAAGCAGTCTCCTGTCTTCGCTTTTGGTGGTGCTGCTTTCGAGGAGTGGGAGCCGTTGGTCCACGATTGTAGTTTATGAGGAAATACTTGTCATACTCCCTTCTGTTTGGGTTGATTCGCTTGTGACCTTTCTTCCGCATGTGCTCCTTAAGCGTGGGTCGATCTCTAAAAATTTTCTCGCAGTAGAGACATACTAAGCGGTTCAGGTTCTCCTCCAGGTGATCCAGAAGCTCATCCACGTACACTAGCTTCTCGGGCTTTCCCACCAGCAGGAAGTGTTTGTCAAATAGATGGTCCAAGTAGTCTGCCCTCAATCCCTTAATAGTGGTCCTGCAGAAGAGGCACTCCTTAGAGAAATTTCTGTCTGTAAGCTCGAATTGATGACGCTTGAGGGCTTCACTCAGTCGCTTCTCCTTTAATTTTCTTCGCAGTTCGTAGTCCTGGGGCAGGATATCACATAACAAATAGTACTTTTCGTTCTTGGCATATTTCCCATCGGGCAGTTGATCCAGAAACATTGTTGTGCAATATTGTTCAAATTCGTGGTCTTAATTTTGGGTTAATTGATTAGTCTGTTTAGAATTTAAGGCTTTAACCTACCGTGGAACTCCTTTTCCCAGTGTTGCAGATAATCTTCCAGTAGTGCTATCTCCTCGACATCGGCAATAACCAGGCGGTGCTCCAGATATAAGTGCGCCAGGCAGTCGTCTTTGTCCGCAGGGAATATGTACACCTTGTCACATTTCAGGCATTTAATGGCCGTATTGACCGAGGGTTTGAGAGGCGGACTACATTTTATTTTTTCCGACGACGCATCCTCTCCAGGAATAACGACCTCGTGCTCCATTTGACGATGTTTACGTTTTCCTGCCCTACTCCAAGAAACAGTGTGACCGCAAGTGATATTAAGAAATATACTTTTTTTTTAAATATGGTACATTCATACCATACTGCACTGAAAAAAAGTTTATATAGAATTACTGATAATATAATATATAAAAATAAATAACATTTTAAGATCTTAGCGTTTATACTATATCCCTAAATATTATCCAGAAATGAGACTTCATAAATTATTTTTCAGGAACTCCATGTTTTTGCCTGATTTGGGGTTTCTAAATTTTGTTGTGTGATTACTAGTTTATCAAATATTTGTATATTCTCAAACAGTTAGTTTAACTGTGATTAAAACAATGAGAAATTCTTTTATGAATCAGCCGTAGTTTTGTTACCGTGACAAAATAAGTTTTATAATAATAATAATTTTATAATAAATAAATAATAAATAATCATTTAATTTCAGTAAATGGTGCCATAAAGTTAGAAACTTAAAAATAAATAAGAAGGACTTTAATTAGTTTTATAAATTATTTTTTCTTTTACTGTTATAATAGTTTAACGGATTCCAGCTTTTTCTAAATGTTTTGATATATTATTTTTTTAATAATATATATTTATGAACATGATGAAAATAAACTCTTTTATTTGGAGTTTTGTTTTTTCTAAAAAAACAATTCATTCACATAAAAAAAGTTATAATGATAACTGATTCACCGGGAAAGTATGATTTTAGTTCTACTAAGATTACATTTTATCGAAAAATTCTTCTGATTCATGAAGGGCTCTAGTTTGCGACTCCAAAATGTTGTATAAATAGTGCGGGTAGCACGAGGCGTGATCATAGTTTTGAAGTTTCAACACGTTAAGTGCCGTCCCAGCAAGTGAAGTCCCTATTAACTCGTGAGAAAATCCACCTTGTAAGACATGACTGACAAAAGGAACCTTCTTCTGCTGTTCGAACATCCCACTGAGCCCGTGTTCATGGACAAGGGCGGCAATGGCACTATGTTCCAGGTTCCCGACTCCTACGTCACCAATCGCTACAACAGCATCTGCAAGAAGATACAAGGACGCGTTAGCGTTGGAGAAAAGAATCATATATCGGTGAAAGAGATCCCCGTACCTGATATAAGTTACCCCATGACATTGGGCCGTTCCGACGAGTTCTCGCTGTTCCTGAAATCTCATCGCCAGAAGGCCGCCCACTTAATTGAAATCTTTACCAAAATGCCCTCGGTGGAAGACCTACAGAGCGTGGCCGTGTACGCAAGGGATCGAGTTAACCCAGTTATGTTTAACTACGCCCTGTCGGTGGCCCTGCTTCATCGACCGGACACCAAGGACCTGGATCTGCCCTCCTTCTCGCAGACCTTCCCAGATCGATTCATCGACTCGAAGGTGCTTCGTAATATGCGAGAGGAATCGTTCGTGGTGCAAGGATTAGAGGCGCGTATTCCCACCGTCATTTCTGTTAACTATACCGCGTCCGATCTCGAGGTGGAGCACCGCCTGTGGTATTTCCGCGAAGATCTGGGCGTTAACCTACACCATTGGCACTGGCATCTAGTCTATCCCATAGAAGCGAACGACCGCAGTATCGTTGACAAGGACCGTCGTGGCGAATTGTTCTACTACATGCACCAGCAAATTGTTGCCCGCTACAATGCCGAGAGGTTGAGCAACCACATGGCGCGGGTGCAGGCATTCAACAATTTGGACGAGCCCATTGCCGAGGGATACTTCCCCAAGATGAACTCTCTGGTGGCCAGTCGTGACTATCCACCACGCTTCGATAATACCCGGCTTAGGGATATTGACCGCCCTGTCAACGAGCTAAAAGTGGGGATCGATGACATGAAGCGGTGGCGCGATCGCATCTATGAAGCAATTCACCAAGGCTACGTTTTGGATGTAAGTTCTGACATTCGTGCATCCTGGGAGAGCATCAGGAGAGTATCTCCCAATCTTTTTTTCTTTTCAGATGAATAATGAAAGGGTTATCCTGGATGACGTAAAGGGCATCGACATCCTAGGCAACATCATTGAGGCCTCTGAACTAACAATCAACAGTAAGCTGGTAAGAGACACATTTTTGGATAAAAACTCGAAGCTTTTGAAATCATTGCTTGCCAAAATTAAGAATAAGGTAAAAATGAATAACGAAAAGATTTCAAATACAAATACCAATACGAGTAAAAAAGAACATATAATAAAAATGTGATGGTGATTTTCTCTTTTCATTGGTCATTTATATAATATTACTCATGTTGTTGTTGACCAGCCAGCTTAAGTATCTAAACATCATTACGTTTAAAATGGCAATCTATAAGGATTATAATCGAAACATAAAAGAGCAACAAATTAAGATTTTTATCAAACATCTGTTATATTTTAAAATGTTAAAAACTAGCCTAAGATTATTTGAGTGGCTAAAATGAGAAATACTTAATTTAGTTCCTACTATTATTTGAAATTCTCCTATCTATCTCCTACTTTGGCTATCTAAATCTGCAGTACGGTGACTTGCACAACAAAGGACACATGTTGATCGCATTCTCCCACGACCCAAGCAACAAACATCTGGAAAGCGCGGGCGTGATGGGCGATTCTTCCACCGCCATGCGCGATCCTGTCTTCTACAAGTGGCATGCTTTCATTGACAACTTGTTCCAGGAGCACAAGCGACTCCTTCCCGCCTATACCGAGGAGTACCTGAGCTTTCCGGGCATAAGGGTTCAAAGCATAAATGTGGAGAGCCAGGGTCAGACCAATAGGTTGACCACTTTCTGGCAGGAGTCCGATGTGGACATGTCACGCGGCCTTGACTTCTTGCCCCGTGGCAATGTATTCGCCCGATTCACTCATCTCCAGCACAACCCATTCACCTACACCATCGATGTGGAAAACTCCAGTAAAGACACACGAAATGGATACGTGCGAATCTTCCTGGCCCCCAAGCTTGATGATCGTAATGGCATCATGTCTCTGGCGGAACAACGCCTTATGATGGTAGAGCTGGACAAATTTGTGGTTACTATGACTCCCGGAACCAATACGTTTACTCGCAACTCCACGGAATCGAGTGTCACCATTCCCTTCGAGCGCACTTTCCGCAATCTGGATAGCAACACGGCTCCTGAAAATTCTACCGAGGAGCTGATAAACTTCTTCTGCGGGTGCGGCTGGCCCAACCACATGCTGGTGCCGAAGGGTCGTCCGGAGGGCTTGAGCTTTGAACTCTTTGTCATGATTTCCAACTATGATGATGATCGGGTAAGTGCTCTTAAGGGATATTAAACACGAATCGTAAATGCTGACCTTCAAATCTCACCAGGTTCTTCAAGATGACCAAGCCCTTGAGTGCGGATGCAGCGATGCCGCTTCGTATTGCGGACTGCGAGATCGCCTCTACCCGGATCGGAAGTCCATGGGCTACCCGTTTGATCGCGAGCCCCGTCGTGGTGCCGAGTTTTTGGAGAATTTCCTCACCCCCAACATGAGCACAGTGGAAGTTACCATTACCCATGATAATCGCATCGAAAAGCTTCCGGAAGTAGTAAACTCCTGCTAATCTAAATGGCCCCACCCTACCGTTGTTTGTATAGGATATCAGGGATCGAGGTAATCTAATACTGCCATGGAAACGATGAGTAAACAATTTTAATAATTATTTTAAAAATTCTATAAAACTTGTTTTTGAATTAATACATGATTTATTTATGACTTTAGAAATAAATTTTAAATATATTACATTTTATATGAATATGTCATATATGAAATCCATTCACGAAGATACCAATTTTTAAAGCAATTGATAACAAAAAGCGTTAATGATTTCTATGATACTCCTTTACAAGTGGACAGTCCACGGAATCTGAAGTTTAAGAGTGGGTGGAACTAAGCGACAGAAAAGGAATCCGAGTTCTAAGATTGGTCCGATGCCTGATTAGTGAGCAGGACTTTTGATTTAAAGCCTGAGGCGACAAGCGGAGCCACTTCGGAGGGCTCACGTCCTCGAGTCTCCGGCAAGTAGCGTTTCGTCAGAACAAAAAGCACCAAGCAAGTTACCGAGAAGGGCAGGAAGACCAAAGCGCCCCAGAAGTTTTGTAAGGTGGGAAAGGCCATTCCAATAACAAAGTTACACATCCAGTATACCACGCTACCCAAGGACATGGCGGCTGGTCGAGAAGCAAGTTCAAACATTTCTGTCAACAGGGATTAAAAAGAGGTGTCGGTTACCTGGCAACTTTTAGAGGGAATAATAAACTCACCTGCTCCAATAAAGAAGGGAATAGGGCCAAGTCCAAACTGAAAGAAGAATATGTACAGGAAAATGCAGCCAACACATCCCATCGCGAACCAGCTATAGCTGTCCTGAAAGAAAAGGGTGTAAAAGTTTTCATAGGTATCCATTTGGTCTTTACTATACTTACAATAAATTGCAGCATCATGGCAAACAGGAAGAGGAAGACAGTGCAGAAAAATGTGGAGAAAAGCATCAGTGGCCGACGGTTAACTCGTTCTAGTAATATGGGTCCCAACATTGAGGTGGCCAAATTGAGAGATCCCGCACCCAGGTTGGCCCACTCAGATGCCTGTACTGAAAGTCCCGCCTTGCGGAAGATCGAGACGGAGTAATAGAAAATCTGCGAAGGCGAACGAAAATTTAAAACATTTGCTTGGAACTCCGGGAACCTACTCAATACTTACTGCGTTGATCCCCGAAAGCTGTTGGCCACCGAGATAGGCGCACACAATGATCAGCGGCAGTCGCAATTGAGGATCGCACAACACCTGTACCAAGCCACTGGCCTCCACCTTGGAAGCAGCCTCCAACTCCATTTCGTCCATCTCTGCCTGCAGGGCAGCACTGCCATCCGTGTAACCCCTCAGCTGTTGCAGCTGGCGGCGGGACTCTTCTTTGCGTCCCTTAACTACATACAGCCACTTGGGGCTCTCAGGATACCATCTAAAGGGAGCGTAACACACTACCACAAAGATGCCGTAAAAGGCGAGGCCGAAGTGCCAGTTCTCAGGACTTCCAAGAACTGACCGAAGGCTGCAAACCTGCGCCACCACCACGCCCAAGGTCAAACCCATCGGACAGAGGGGAGCCAATGTGCTGCGCTGGGAAAGAGCCGAGATCTCACTGTGCCACATGGGCATGAAAGCTGTTAGAAGACCACCGGCCAATCCAACCAGCAGTCGGCCCAAAAGCAGTAACTCTACTGAGTTCAAGGGTCGACACGCGTAGAAGCAAATGGCTCCCAGAGCCAAAAGGAGTCCACAGATGTTGGAACAGCCGCGACGTCCGAACCGGTTGGCCATTGTAGCGCCCGTCATAGATCCAATGGCTCCTCCTACCAGAAATATGGAGACGAGGGCTGACCACAGTAACTCCAGTCCTGACTCACCCAAGTTCAGATCATAGCGGGCGATCAGCGTCTCATTGCACCAGGAACGCATGAGCTAGGAGAGAGTGTTGCAGAACTTATGTGAGACTGGGAAAGTGTGAGTGTACTCACCTCAGCAGGACTGTTCATCACACCGGTGCAATATCCCACTGGAACCGCTGAACCGAGCGATGATCCGATAGCCGCCAACTTAAGGGACCAGCTCCATTGGGGTTGCTCCTCCTGGAAACGGCGAGTTTTTAAACATATCCCAGAAAACTTGTTATCCTTTTCCTTACCTGCTTTGTATTTTTTCGAGCCATTAGCGGCGCCTCCGAAAAACTCAATGATCTTTCCTGAAATGATTCGCCGACTATTCCCTTATCCATTGCGCATCTGGCGGGTAAAACGTTTCTTATGGGGCTTTTGTGGACGGAATGGTGCTGAGTGGATCATCCCAGATCGTATATCATTCGCTTCGTCGACGGCATCTTTTCCACAAAGATTAAGGAACGCTGAGATAACCGATGTCAAAGTCATCCAAATGAGCTAAGGGCATGGCATTCAGTGTCTATAATGAAAAAGCGGGTGATAGTACATCTATTATTTTAAGTAACATGCTGTGCCATTCATCCCCACGAATTATCCGCAACTGGTTTTGATTTATTACAAGCCAAATGATGCTTTATTTGCTTTATCAAAACATTGTCACGATGGCGATGAATGCCGATTTATATGCCACAACTCTGTTTCACAGAAGCCACAATAAACGCCTTCATTACTTATCTTTCATTTACCTTAAATGTCGTAATTTAGATTAGTAGGAGGTGCGATGCACGTGCAGCAGAATAACTAGGAAAACCTTTATTGGCCTACTAGTATTTTATAGTTTGATATCATTTGTAAACATAATAATATTCATTTCTATTCTAAGATTATTTTTTTGTTGTATGTATGTATCATCTAAAAATAGTACCATTAGAATTGATTAAAAGACTCATAAGACAATTAGTTAACAAGAAATTAAATTGACATTAACATATGAGCTGTAAGGGGTAAGTTTTCAGAAGATAGTAAAGCCTCTCCACTGACAGATACCCGTTACTATGATAGCGAATCTGTACCATTTTCAATAGGAAATGCAACACTGTCTAGCTTCCTTTTAGTTCTTGGGCTATGTACACACTATACAGGATTTATAATCTAGCCGGAACATTTATTTTGCCAATTCCTATAATAAAACTTACAGAAAAATCTAAAAAATTCGACAAGTGTTATAGTTATTATTTAATTAAAGGAAAACCTTACATGCTTTCATGTAAAGGTCCCTAAAAATGACAAGCTATTATTTATTTTACAATTTGTTTATTTTTCATAATATATAATTTGAAATATTTTAAATGTCTTAGATTCAGCTCGTCAACTTGTTAAAGATTGCTTAAGAAAGTTTTTTGCCTTACTAATTACCAAAAGTCCCAATAAACGAGAGCTTTTAAACATATTACCATAGCTATGATCTTTTGAATAAAAGTATTATCAAATGTATTACGAAACTTTTATGCCAAAATAAGTTAATTAATTTAGTTCAGTTCCAATTTTTTTTGACGAGTAGTGACTCTTTCTGGGAATTTATGGATGAATCAAGACTCTATTAATTACTTGATAAATTATCCAATCAGTTGGAATATCCCACAGCTAACTGAATATTTGCCATCTGGTTGTTAGTGTTTTTTAGACGAGTGTCCCGACTATCCGATTCCCTTTACAGTCAAGACTATTAGCTACCCAATTTCGTATAATGAATAATAATAATTTTACCGATAAATTAGCTTCAAACCGTAACTAATAAAAATAATAATGTTTTTTCTTACGTTTTTTGTGTTGCGAATACTCCTATCATAGCCTGAATCCTTTGAGGCATAGGATTGGAATTCATTATCAGAATGAATGTATGATTTATTTACTTGATTCATGCTAAGTTTTAGTTAGTTAAACCAAAATTTTATATAAATAGGGCTTGCAGCTCAATGCATGATCACAGTTTTGAAGTTTCGACGCGTGAAGTCCCTTCCTACCCACTGAATTCCGTAACACGTCGTGAGAAAATCCTTAAGGAATTAAGACATGGCCGACAAAAAGAACCTTCTCCTGTTGTTCGAACATCCCACTGAGCCCGTGTTCATGGACAAGGGAGGCAATGGCACAATGTTTCAAGTTCCTGACTCCTACGTGACAAATCGCTACAACAGGATCTGCAAGAAGATACAAGAACGAGTAGGCGATGGAGAAAAGAAGCATATCTCGGTGAAGGAGATCCCAATACCTAATCTGAGATACCCCATGACCTTAGGACGTTTCGACGAATTCTCTCTGTTCCTGAAATCTCACCGCCAGAAGGCCGCCCACCTAATTGATATCTTTACCAAAATGCCCTCCGTGGAGGACCTACAGAGCGTGGCCGTGTACGCAAGGGATCGAGTTAACCCAGTTATGTTTAACTACGCCCTGTCGGTGGCCCTGCTTCATCGACCGGACACCAAGGACCTGGATCTGCCCTCCTTCTCGCAGACCTTCCCAGATCGATTCATCGACTCGAAGGTGCTTCGTAATATGCGAGAGGAATCGTTCGTGGTGCAAGGATTAGAGGCGCGTATTCCCACCGTCATTTCTGTTAACTATACCGCGTCCGATCTCGAGGTGGAGCACCGCCTGTGGTATTTCCGCGAAGATCTGGGCATTAACCTACACCATTGGCACTGGCATCTAGTCTATCCCATAGAAGCGAACGACCGCAGTATCGTTGATAAGGACCGTCGTGGCGAATTGTTCTACTACATGCACCAGCAAATTGTTGCCCGCTACAATGCCGAGAGGTTGAGCAACCACATGGCGCGCGTGCAGGCATTCAACAATTTGGACGAGCCCATTGCCGAGGGATACTTCCCCAAGATGAACTCTCTGGTGGCCAGTCGTGACTATCCACCACGCTTCGATAATACCCGGCTTAGGGATATTGACCGCCCTGTCAACGAGCTAAAAGTGGGGATCGATGACATGAAGCGGTGGCGCGATCGCATCTATGAAGCAATTCATCAAGGCTACGTTTTGGATGTAAGTTCTGACATTCGTGCATCCTGGGAGAGCATCAGGAGAGTATCTCCCAATCTCTTTTTTCTTTTCAGATAAATAATGAAGAGGTTATCCTAGATGAAGTAAAGGGCATAGACATCCTGGGCAACATTATTGAGGCCTCCGAACTAACAATCAACAGTAAACTGGTAAGAGATGTATCCTTACATAGAAAAAACAGCTTTATAGTTTTCAAATCGCTTATAAGAAGTATAAGAGTGTTCAAAAAATATGAAATTTCTGTATGAATCCATCAATATTTATTGCTGCCCCTTTTTATAAAAATTTATATCACTGTCGATTGGCCAGTTATGATGACAAACCTATAACAATCTATAAACTATTTAAAAATGTTATATGTATTTGTATCTTAATCTGCAGTACGGCGACTTACATAATATGGGCCACGTGATGATAGCGTACTCTCACGACCCAAGCAACAAACATCTAGAACGCGCGGGCGTGATGGGCGATTCTTCCACCGCCATGCGCGATCCTGTCTTCTATAAGTGGCATGCTTTCATCGACAACTTGTTCCAGGAGCACAAACGACTCCTTCCCGCCTATACCGAGGAGTACCTGAGCTTTCCGGGCATAAGGGTTCAAAGCGTAATTGTAATGAGTCAGGGTCAGACCAATAGGTTGACCACTTTCTGGCAGGAGTCCGATGTAGACATGTCACGCGGCCTTGACTTCTTGCCCCGTGGCAATGTGTTCGCCCGATTCACTCATCTCCAGCACCACCCATTCACCTACACCATCAATGTGGAAAACTCCAGTAAAGGCATACGAAATGGATACGTGCGAATCTTCCTGGCACCCAAGCTTGATGATCGTAATGGCATCATGTCTCTGGCGGAACAACGCCTTATGATGGTAGAGCTGGACAAATTTGTGGTTACTATGACTCCCGGAACCAATACGTTTACTCGCAACTCAAAGGAATCGAGTGTCACCATTCCCTTCGAGCGCACTTTCCGCAATCTGGATAGCAACACGGCTCCTGAAAATTCTACAGAGGAGCTGATAAACTTCTTCTGCGGGTGCGGCTGGCCCAACCACATGCTGGTGCCGAAGGGTCGGCCGGAGGGCCTGAGCTTCGAACTCTTTGTCATGATTTCCGACTATGATGATGATCGGGTAAGTGCCCTTAAGGAATATTAAACACGAATCATAAATGCTGACCTTCAAATCTCACCAGGTTCTTCAAGATGACCAAGCCCTTGAGTGCGGATGCAGCGATGCCGCTTCGTATTGCGGACTGCGAGATCGCCTCTACCCGGATCGGAAGTCCATGGGCTACCCGTTTGATCGCGAGCCCCGTCGTGGTGCCGAGTTTTTGGAGAATTTCCTCACCTCCAACATGAGCACAGTGGAAGTTACCATTACCCATGATAATCGCACCGAAAAGCTTCCGGAAGTGATAAACTCCTAATCTCAGCATCGACTTCATCTTTATGTTCTACGAATAAATTCGTAGATATGAATATAGTTATAAAATATACGATATCAGCAATAAGTTAATAAATCCAAATATTCTATAACACCATTAATGTGTATGTGTGCAAGTAGGTTATAAAACACATAATTAACTTACCAATTTCGTTGTTTATTATATACACACATTTACACCTGAGCTAATATTATCTTTATATCTTTGGAATATTATTATTGTAGACGCCTATCAAATGCTACTAATTAGCAGCTAACTAATGAGTCCGTTCCGTTATTAATAAACTAATGGAATCAAGGGCTTTACTTCTCTAAAAACTCCAGTTTTTATAATGTTTGATGGTATTTTATGCCCTGATTTTGGGCCAAATAAAAAATATATATATTATTAATGTCCTTACTTGCCGAAAAGGAACCTTTAACATAAAAAAAATTTACATTTCAGGTTAACTCGTTTTTTTTTGTGTGTAGAAAAATACTATATTAAATCAATAAATACCAAAATATTAAAGTTTTTCTTCAAAGGCCTTAGGGCAACTTAAGCGAACGGTCGCACTGTCAAGCGGTTTGTAGTCGGGGGCAGGATTGAAATTATTTAGCAAACAAAAATCGAAACACGGGAGCACGACGTTAGCGTAAGTGTTACGGCGATCGATTTAGTTCGTTACCAATTAAAAAATCATAAATACACAGATTCAACACACACACACACACTGTCTCACAGACATTCGCACAGCCAAGGGAGAGAATTAGAAGCAGAATCTCAATTTATCAATTTAACAATACAAATTGAGACTCGTCTGCAGTGGGTACAAAGTTCAATCCGTGTGCATTGGCCTGTGCCTGTGTGCGTGAGCCCATATGTGATAGGTGTGGGTGTGTGTGCAGTACGCAAATGAGACAAAAAAAGACAACCATTGCAAATCATTTTTCAGTCTGTGTCCAAAGCGCTTTTGTGAAAGTATTCGCCCCGTGAAAGTATTTCTGCAATTTTCCGCAATATAATGGCTGCACACTTTTTCCGCACTGCATTTTACGCAACGGCGGCGAGAAAATCGATGAGTTTGCCCTTCGCCGGCCGGACAGCCGCAACTTTAGCCGTGGGCCTTTCATTCGGCGGTAAAGTCTTAATCTCAATTTCAATCTAAATATTCTGCTGCATTTTCCGCATCTCCCGTTTTATTTATAATCGCTTCTGGTCTTCTGCATTGCCCACATCCCACACTACCCGTAATTAAATAGCACAAAATAGTCGGGCAGCCGTTCCGTACGAGAATGTATACGCGGATAACTTTTTCGGAGGCTGCCAAGCCCAGGGATTGCTCAAGGTTCCCCAAACCCGACAGATCCAGCCCCCGCTGTTCCGGAACTTCTCGAGCTTGCAGACAGGCCATCAGCAACAGCAGCAGGTTCAAAATGTAAGCATAATCTCCGAGACAATCAATCCCATTGGTTTAGTAGGTTCCCAGAATCAACAGAAGTTTAAAAGTCTAATTATATAGTAGGATAATATTAGTAAACCTACAAGATACGTTCCTTTTTATAGGTATAAAGTAAATACTCATGTATCATTGGATCTAGAGAAGTTTAAATCTAGACATTGTCGTCTGTCCATAAGAAATCATTTTGTTCTTTTTATTTATTTTAAAATCGTAAATTTTTTTTTTGAATCCATCATAATCATAATAATAAAGTGCATTATAACATAGGCCAAATTTTTAATGTAAACCTCTCAAAGGCTTTCATTAACTAAAAGAAAAAATTGCACAATATAGCTTTAACGTAGATAGAAACTATAAACAAAAGACTGTTTAATCTCAAGAAAAAATGAGATAAACTACATGATGGCTTTTGCAATATCATTAAAGTATATATTCCCATATATGCCGTAAGCGACATTTTATAGTGCAGGGTTCATGTGTTTAATACTGAACTTTGGCTTTAAAGGTATGTGTATCATAACAAATACATTGCCAAATTTTTAGATGAGTAGATGTCTAAACAATATTATGAACAAAAAGACTTCTTATCGGCAAGATAAGACAAAATATCCAGGTTTATAAATATATATACGTCCGTGATGAGATTAAAAAAAAATACTATATGTACATATGTAATAACAATAGTGCATTAACAACAGTTGCAGTTCTTCGTAGATGAAAGCTGTAGGTAAAATGTATAGTTTTCCTAAATATATTTATATATTCAAATGCACGTTAAAAAACATTGCCTTTCATGATTTTACCTCTTACAACTGCAGTTTAAATTTTGTTGTGTAATTAATGATTTTTCTAAAAAAAAACCTTGGCTATTCGGTAGATTTAGGTTTGACTAAAGTCCCATCTATAAATTAGGAAAAGTTCTAACTGTCAGGGTATTTCATAATCCAGCTACCAATCACTTTTTTTCTTTGAACAACTGTTGATCTGCGATTGAACCTTTAATTGCTAAATTTTCGCTTCTTCATTTTGTGCATTTTGTAGTTTATGACTTTCGAAATTTGCATGCTTGAGTAAATTGTATTCCCTGCACTTTGTACCCGGCAAATGATTTTGGTCTATCTCTCCTAACCTCTCCCCCTCTTCAATGGTGATTTGTACCGATAAGCTCTATGTGCATATGTATATATATGTGAATATTTTAACATTTTTTTAATTGTTGTTTGCCATTGGTCTACAATTAGTAATGGCTCATTAACCGCTTGAACTAACCGGCTAATTATTGGGTATTCGTATTTTAGTAACGGTGTTCTCCTAAAATTAAGTTTATTGAACAGAAACCCTTATCCTTGGAAATATTTTCGGAACCACCCTCGCGTTCAGTAAGCTCCATGGAGATGTGACACAGCTTTTTCCATGATTCAAATCATAATGGCGCCCAATGCCAAGCTTTCGCCCGAGCCGCCAAACATTCGTGTTCTGTGTTTATTTTCAGACAGCAAGTTAATCATATCTATACCTAATTTCAAGGGTGTTTTGGGTCTAAGATGTTAATAACAATGAATTATTATTTTTTTTTAATTTTACTTAATAGGCATTCATGTATTAAAGTCTAGATAAACACCTGAGTATCTGGAATTTTCTAGGACATTACAAAAATTGAGCCAATAATCTTTTAAAAACAATAGAGTTTTTTTTAAATGGTATTTTCTAGTCGAGTCTATATATTTACTTTATCCAAAGGGGATCGAGACTTCCAGTGCCGCAATGTAATTTAAACCAATGCCGCAAAGAGTAGAAAAAACATATTCCTCCATATACACACACATCAGCTGAAATAACTATTTTCCATGGGGAATGTAAGCTCGACTCAATTCCGCTCAACTATCTATGATCGTTCCACTGGATCGCTGGGTCTATATGCTATATGTTGTGGATCAGTCAGTTGGTCAAAGTCGTTGCACCTGCTTAGTTTTATCTTCAATATGGACTTCCTAATTGAGATAACATTACTGGTCATATTGGCAATTATTCTGCTTAAAATCTATCATCGCGCGAAACGTGTGAGTGGCCGTGAACTTTCGGTTCAAGTTCAAAGTGTCAAACTAAAGTGAAAGTTTCTCTCTTTTATCGGGTCATTCGGACCCCTTAATTATGTGATCTTTTTTTTTCCCTTAAACAATTTTATGTGGGACCTTTAAGGTCACAAATTTGTTCCGTCTGTTCTACACTAATCTAAATTGCAACTGCTTATCGTTAGATTTTGCGGGGCTATCTTCGAATCCCGAATGCTATCAGTCGGTTTAGCCTTGCTGAAATGTAGGAAAAGAACCTAAAACCTTTGCACCACCTTCATTTAGTCTGTTGCTTTCGTGCTAATTTGTTGCTTGCTAAGCCAATTTCTGATAATTTGTGACTGAAAAGTATTATTCGGAAGCGATTTGGTATATATTATACGATTGCAGTAAAGTTTGATTTAACTTACTAAAATTTGAACCCCACGGAACATAGATCTGTTTTTTATTAAGGCGTGATATAGATTGTTTAAACATATATAAAGTGATCGGAGTAATTCAATATCTTACTCAGTAACAAACAAACGGACACCTGGAGTAATCTTATCAAGCACAGCTGTTTATTATCACGTGTTCAGCGACTTTTTCAAGGTCAGCAGCTGATTGCGTGGATAAATCAGAACTATATCAAATATATCCCAGAATTTGCATGGATTATGGTGCCACCGTAAATCTACAGACAGAGTCTGACCGATCAGACCATATTAACCACTCAAGCTTTCATATCTTATCAGAGAGCTATTCAGTTAGTGACTGGACCTATCCAAACTTTGGTTCGGGACAGAGATTAGCTTATGAAATAGCACAGTTCTAGACGGCTAGTCGTGAAGCACAGAGGTTTAAAATTGTATGCATATTTGCTTAGTTAATTGTATTTGAAATGTATGTGAATAGCATTTATTTATTGTTCTTAAAGATTCATTTTTTGCTAACCCCACTAATAATGTCAAATCAGCTTTTCCCAAATGAGATAATAACAAATATTTCTCTCACTCAGAGCGCCATGGCTCCGTCAAAGAATCGCCGGTATATATCCTCGCAGGATATTACCAAGAACATGACTCTGTACACCAGCAACAAGACGCAAATCGAGGTAGATCCGAAGACACTGGCCTTTAAAAAGCCAACTGGAAACCCACTGGTCCTAATGATGGCCTGGCTAATGGCCAAGCAAAAGCATCTAAAGAAGTATGCACAGATTTACACAGAGATGGGCTTCGATGTGGTGGTGGTGCACATTACGCCGTGGCAACTCCTCTGGCCGGTCAAGGGGACCCAGGTATAAAATAAATATTATTTTGATCCATTGGAGCTTTTGAATCAAAGTAGTGCCTTACCTTTTATCTAATTAAATCATTCACTTTTTAATGCCTTTTTTACCTATGTCCAGGTTGTGGCCGCTGAAACTCTACGATTTCTGGAGAACAACAAGTCGTATGAGCCTATCGTAATGCATGGTTTCTCCGTGGGTGCTTACCAACTGGGCGAGATCATGCTACAGATGTCTCGCGATATGGATCGCTATGGCAGCATTCTAGACCGTTTCGTGTGCCAGGTTTGGGACAGCGCCGCCGACATCACTGAGATCCCAGTGGGTGTGCCCAAATCGATTTTCCCTAGAAACGAGCGCATGCAGAGCGCCCTGCGCAACTATACGCTGTACCACATGAAGACATTCCACAACCAAGCTACCATCCACTATATGCGCTCCAGTCAGATGTTCCACTCCACACTGCTCAAAGCTCCAGCGCTGTTCTTTGTGTCCGACAACGATCCCATTGGTCCACCATCCTCCAACCAGGCGGTGCGTGAGAACTGGGAGCGAGCGGACATCAAAGTAACGTTTAAGTGCTGGGAGCGATCCCAGCATGCTGCCCACTTCATGAAGCATCGCGACGAGTATCTGCAGACGCTGTTTCAGCATCTGGAGACCTGCGGTGTATTAGAGGCCATCGGCGTACCAAAGCGCGCCAAGTTGTAGACGTCTCTTTCGTAGAGCCGCTGACGAATTCGGTGATATACATTTATTCAAGAATCAACGCGAAAATGATTTTACCCTAGCTGCTAAGACCTAAAGTTTAACAAGAAAAGTAAAACCAATGTCCTCTTTGAATGATTATGATCTGTGTGTCTTTCGCGAGGCAGAATCTTCAAACGCCCGCATGGGAAATTCCTAGGCTAAGCTTAATGTCGTATTCTATAATCTGAGAGAAAAATGCACTACGCCTCTATATTGTTATATTTTGAGATCGCTGCAAAACGGCTAAATAAAGTAATTTTAATGATATATGATTTATATATAATTTTCTTAGTCATGAAGTAAAGAGCCTGCTGATAAAGCAGATAGCTGCATACATAAACGTCTCATATATGGAGTATGTTAAATTCAAAAGTCCAAAGACACAACGAAGAATCAAAATAATATTAACAAAAATAAAAAATATAGATCAAACCACACCGCTGCGGACAGGACTTGAACCTGTGCGGGTAGAACCCAATGGATTTCAAGTCCATCTCCTTAACCACTCGGACACCGCAGCCTTATCGAAGGCTGGGCTATTCGTTATGTAATCATTCTGACTACATAATTGCATGAGGATAAGCATCTTTCTTTTTGCAATTAAATTGGCAATACTTTTCTTAAAAGTTATGCTTTATTTTAGGACAGTGACTTACAAGTTTGTTCACTATTATTTTTTAGGTGAAGTTTATATATATATATATATATATATATATATATCTATATATATATATGCTAAATAATTTTGAAAGGGAAGTTCTAAACAAAGATAGTAAAAAAAAATTATGTTTAGCTTACAATATATTTCTTATTTGGGCCCATTAGGCTTCAAAGCCAGGAGCCCAAAACATCATCAAACCTTTTAGCTAAACAAGATAATCCAAGACACAAACCCAGAATAGTTCTCGGCTTACATCCATAAAAATAGTTGGCCATCCCTGGTAATTTTTAGATGAAGGGGTTGGAGACGACACTCGATGTTTTGTCTTATATGAACTTTGCCACTACGCCGACACAGCTGCGGTGTCCGAGTGGTTAAGGAGATGGACTTGAAATCCATTGGGTTCTACCCGCACAGGTTCGAATCCTGTCCGCAGCGAGATTAATTTTTTACTTTTTAATTAATTTACGATGTTATTATTTTATGCTCTTATATTTTCCTGTGATTATTTATATGTGCTTTATTAAAATAAAAAAATATTTAATGTCATTGAAAGTCTGAAATTGGTTACAAACTGAATGCCATTTATTCAAACAACTAAATAGCTAGTTAAAATTGTGAAATGGCCAAAAAAATTGATAATCCGGAAACCGGATTTTAAAATAATGAATCTTTTTTCATGAGCCCCGTTAAAATCAGTTGCATCCTAATTAATTCGGCTTGGTTCATATAAACCCATTACCAATCTTTGGTCACCACAGCCACATTCTGCAGACAACTTCGGGTAGAGTTTTACATTTTCTTTTGGTTTCTGAATATATTTTGTACGTCTGCTACAAAAATAGTTTGCATTTTGATTTATCTTTACAACTATGGTTTTATATTTAAAAAGAAACTTAATACAACACGTCTGTATTAGTACAATAGCCTTAAAACTAAACCAAGCAGAAGATGACTGCTTACTGCTTGGGCGGTGGTCGGTATACGCCGACGACGACGGCGTGGTCTCTCTCGTAAGGCTCTAGCGTGAGCTGCTCTTGCGGCTTCAGTTTGTCAGCCTGCATTTTCTTTACCTCGGCAGCGAATACCGCTTCAGGCTGCGCCGTTGAGTCGATGCAGGAGGCCTTGATCGAGATGACAAAGTGACCGCCATTCTTCAGGAAGTGCTGGGCATTCAGCGCCACAATACGGCCCTGATCCGGCTGGGCAACGTCAGCGAAAATCGTGTCTACCATGCCAACCAGCATGCGGTACTTGTGCGGATGGCGAGCATCCTCGATGATGGGTATGATGTTGGTGCGTTTCTTGGCCACATTAATAAGATCACGTCCGGAACGGTGGGAGAACTCCACGGCGTAGACAAGTCCTTCGGGTCCTACAACATCTGAAACGTGGGAAACTGTCGTTCCGGAGGCTGCTCCCAAGTAGAGAACCTTAGAGCCCGGTGGCATGTGAATCTGTTCAACACCACCTAGGACAGCTGCAGCCAACTTGGAACGGAAGGGATTCCACACACGGTACTCGATCTTCTCGCCATTGGACTGTAAAGAAATTCAAAACATGGTTAAATATTGTGCTCATAGGTTGATTAATTTAATTAGTTTAACAAGGAAGTGGGAAATGATAGGTGGAAATGTATTCAGCGGACCTTGCTTAGCCATGTGTTTGGATCTCTAAATCCGAGATAGATTAACGAGTTCCTTGCGAAATTTAATTTAAATTCTTAATTTTTGAAGAACTTATCAATTAATAGAAACTTATACACAAAATGAGTAATAGTTTGAAAAAATATTTTTAAAACGCACTAGATTTTACCTTGAAAAAGATTAACAAACACATGTTGTTCAATGATAAATAGCTTGAAAGTATCTCAAAATCACTTTTCAAAATGGTGGATTTGTTTGGGTTGGGATTGTTTTGGGATAGATAAGTGCCTCAGTTGTGCATTGTTCTAAGCAGACCATGGAGCACCCAGGACTGCTTTACGTGCACCTGAAGTGCACACAGCCACAGGTGGCCGCCATAGACGCTCATGACCACATAATGTCATGTTCTGTACCCCTGCACAACCTCATCATTAGCCAGGGATATCTAGAGGTTAATTTTGTGAATATAACGGAAAGGATGACATACCTCAACGGAGATGCGCTTCTCGCCGTAGACTTCGGATCCGGGTACAAAGTTCCTGGTGACCAGGGCATCCTCCTTGCCGCGTGCAATGAACACACCCTCGTGACGATGAGGTTCGATGATGACCGTTTTGCCTGCCTTGAAACCGCCGGCACCACCACCGCGACCTCCGCCGCCGCGGCCACCACCACCTCGACCACCGCCTCCACGTCCTCCGCCACCACCTCTTCCTCCAAAGCCACCGCGGCCACCACCACCTCCGCGACCTCCACCGCCTCCACGACCACCTCCAAATCCGCCTCGGCTACCACGATCTCCACCGCCGCCTCGACCACGACCTCCTCCGAATCCGCCTCCTCCGAATCCGCCACCACCGCCACCACCTCCACCGCCGCCGCCACGCCCACGGAAGCCACCTCCTCCACCGCCGCCGCCGCCGCCACCGCGTGGACTGAATCCTGCAATAGAAAATAGTCGCATTTGAATATTTACCCACTAGGAGGTTAAGTTAAGCGATCCAAACTAAAATTTGCAGCGCTTGCTTCAATTTGGTTTAGTAAAGGACGATTTTGCGCACCTGGTTTGCCCATTTTAAGGTGGTGTACTTGCACTTTTTAATACAACTTTTAACGAAATGATATTGGGCCCGTTAACACGCGGCAACCAAAACGCTTGAAAAGAAAAACACGTGTGTGCGCTAGGGTGACCGCACCAACGAACAGAGGAAATATACCGAAATATTTGTGTAAAAATACCAAAAGAAAAGTATATGATACTGGGTGCGGATCTGCGATATGACCTTAGCTATGCTTTAAACCAAATTATTAAATAAGTTCCATAAAATAAAGGTAATTTCTTTATTAGTAATAATAATTATAATTAAGAGTATAGTTATTTTCATTACATTTTTAAAATTTATAATTTACAATATGGTTGAATATGTTTGTATTTTTTAAATTTTCTCTGGCTTTATTAATGTTTGTATTTTAATTTAAAAAGTATTAAAAACCAATTTTTTTTTATATACATTTTTATACCACTTGTATAACATATTTTTGTCAATATCTACCGATTTACCAAAGATTTTTCAAACCGAAACAATCTTTCGCTATTTATGAAAAAATTTAATTACACATGGGCAGTGATGTCACTATCAGTTACTCAACATGCTTTCTCCGACAATAGGTGGCGCTTCGGGAATTTCCACTAGTAAAATGAATATTTTAAAATTGTGTACAACAGTAACGGGTATCTTATAGTCGCGGCACTCGACTATAGCGTTTACTCTTGTTTAAAGTAGTTTGTTCATGCTTTTGTGTGGGCAATTTATGTATGTACATATTTATATACATTAATATGTAAACAAAAGCAATTTCTTGGTAAAATCGACTAGTTCTACAGTTAACTTTTAATTGAAGTTTATAAGAAATACTCAACTATAAGTTTTAAACTGCTTAATAAGCCCCAGGGCCTTATCTCAATAAATGCATGTATGAACTTTCATTCCTGTTGTTGCTATAGTAAAATATGTACATGTATTTGCCAAATTTTGTATCCTTCAACCTTAGCAAACAAATTACAGACCGTTGTTCTTGGCAATGACCCAAACGCCTTGGAGATCTAGTGTTCGTTGACCAAACAACCATTCCAAATCGATGTTTCAGAAAAGAATTTCAGTCTTCTTTGAGAGTTTAAGTTGAGAGCACACATTTTCTGAAACTTATTAAAGATAAATCCCGCTGTTTTACGTTACAAATTTTCCTAACACAATGGCTTTTCACTCGGTGGTAACGATGGAAAAGCCGCTCCAGCACATTTCGCTGACGGACTGGTACGCCCAGGTGAACCAGATGCGAAATGTGGCGGATGCTCGGAGATCAGATGGCTTCGCCCTGCGCCATGCATCACGATCGTTGAGGAACGAGACAAGGATCGAAGGCGACTGGGCCAATTACGAAACCAATGAAGCTCTGACCGATCGGTAAGTCGATACAAGAGTTTCCACATGGTGTTAATTTAGGGCTACAATTTTCGTGCTTTCATATTTCATTAAAATGATCAAAGAGATTTTTCCCAGTATTTAAAAATTCCAAGATGTTCTTAGATACATTCAGATACAGATTATTATTACAAAAGATAATGAAGTTTTTTTTTGTTTTCATTTGATGATAGTTAAATTTTAACATAAAAATATAACCATTTATTTTTTAATAAATCCTCTTTCGTTACGTACCAGTATCTCAGAGTTGAATCGCTGGAGAGATATAATCTCCAAGTCCTTTGAGAGGATTGAACGCGAGATATTTTTGCTGCAGGAGGAAAAGAACGCCACGGAACGAGAGCTAGAGGCGTTAGCGGGCCCTATTTCTGTTATTGCCGAGTGTCTCACAATGAGAGATGGTCGCCTTGGGTCGGAGATTACTTATGATGAGGCTGATACGGAGATCAAGAACGAACTGGTCGTACTGGAGAACAACCAGAGACTGCTGGCCGATCGTTGCCAGAAGGCATGGGAGAAACTAAATCGGCTGGAGGAAGTGCGCTTCAAGATCGGTCTGGAAATTGAGTTCAAAGTGGAGGCGATGCAGTTGGACAACTCTCAGTTGGCCCTTGATCGCAATTCGGCGAATATTTCCTACAAGCCGGATCCCACTAGAAATCCAAAGAAGTGAGTAAATACAGATTTAATTTATATGTTTGTAACCCATGCATAATCCAAATTTATCTTCCGTAGCTCATGCTCATACGAGTCCTGGCTGGAAAACGTGAAAAACATAAAACTGCTGGCGGAGAATGAACTGGCTGATACGTACGCCATCCGGGAAGCGTTGTTCGTGTGCCGCGAGAAAGCGCGCAATATGCTTCAGTCTCAACAGGAGCGGGCTGAACACACCATCCGTAAGCGGATTTTCGAGACCCAACGGGCTAGAAACGAAATGGAGTGGCAGCAGCTCAAGATGAAGGATGAAATGGAGAAGGCGATGTGCGAAATCCGTACCTCGGAGAATGCATTACGTGACAAAACCGATGCTCTTAAGCTGGCTGAAACACGACTGGAAAACCGTGCCCAGAGATCTGGTATGGAATTGTGCATGGATCAGGCACACGACATGCTCTGCCTTGAGGTGGAAAAACTGCGCGAAATCCGTCGCAGGCTGCAGGCCCAGATCGACGCAAGCAAGACTAACTTCCTTTTGCTGGAGGAGCACGGCAAACGGATCGATGATGATCTGGAGAACAAGCAGCACTCTCTGATGACGGACATCAGGGCATTGGATCTGCGTATGCGTCTTAGAGGAGGAGAGTTTGGATCCAAAGTAACCAGTAACGCCTCGCAGACAGATAGGAACATAACACTTACTCGCATGGAGAACGAGATTCCCAAGGACTAGACTTTTTTTAAATATCACTCATTGCTTTTACTCTGACGTTCATTGCTCGTTGTAATTTGTCTAAATTTTTGTGAATAAATGATAAATTTTCCCAGAGTGGTTTATAGCATCTTCTGGCTAAATGTAAAGTTTAGTTCGCCCAGCAGAGGTTTAAATTCCGTGCTCCATTCGAGGTGGGTTAAGGCATCTTTGATTTTTCGAGGAAAGTGAACTCCTTGTCGCACGAACATATCCCACTTCACAAAGTCGCCGGGAATTACAGGTTCACTAGGACCACTGCTAACGACAGATCTGGGACTGCTGTCATCTACCAATTGCCAGTCCACCCATAAGGCAACTCCATTGCATGTTCCAGCACTGGTAAAACGATTAAGATTAATAACTTTGAAATTAATCCTACCAAATTTTACTAACTGCTTCAGTTCTATGGTTCCTTTCAGGTTATGCTCTGCACTGAAGTTGCTGAACTCTACACTGAGTACTTCTTGGGGCTCAGAAAGAGCGCGGCAGGGATATTCCCAAAGGGGCTGGGCTTCCACCAAGGACACGGCCTGCTGTGCAGATCTCTGCAAGTAAGAAAATCATTATTTCATTTCATAAAATCAATTTTAAAACAAATGATGATATACCTCAACCATTTCGTCAAACAAACGCAGATCAAATCCCTCACAAGTTCCAACGGGTGCTCGAATCTTGTGCAGATCAAGAAACTCCACGGGTAGAGCATAGATCCTCGCCGAACATGGCGAAATCATCACGTTTTCCGATAGCCTGTCCTTAACCTTCATAAGCAAGGTGCCAAAGTAAAAGTTGTCCCATGGCAGGATGGCATTAAGAAAGTAGGGTTCTGCAAAGATGTGGGTAAAGGCAGCCAGCTGCGAGTCTTCAAGTTCCTCAACTTTATCCACAAACTGGACATTCTTCAGTTGGTTGTGTTGCACAATAGATTCAAGTAATCTTCGAGAGAATCGGTGTGGTTCATGGAGTTGGACAGAAGCAGCTCCCAAAGCAGAGCTCGCCAGGCCTAACATGCAACCGTTACCGAGGACCAATACATTGGATTTTCCCGCCTCAATATTTTCCTCTAGGTAACGCAGGTAGCGTTTGTTTCGAGGCGACTGGTTGATCTGACCAATTCTGCTGCGCGAGTAAGTCATGTGCAGGTCACATGAGCAAGTGTGTCGCCGCACACTTTTCGTTGGTACCTCTTCTCGAGCATCGAACCAGAGGGAGTACTCATCGTGATGACAGCTCAGGTGAAAAGATTTACCTGTCTCGAGCAGCTGCAGAGGCTTGGGTATGTAGTAAATGGCTTGCATCCAATGATCCCGCCAGGGAACAACATTAGGCAGCGGATGATCCTTTCCCTTCTCGGCCGCCAGTTCTTTAATTTGGGGATGCGCCCAGTAAGGAGCACAACTGAGCAGTATCTCACCTCCATCATCCAGCTGAATGTCCCACCAGTAGAAGACCAGCTCGGCGGCACCTGGATGTTTGGATTGCAGTTTTAATAGTTGGTCCCGCTTCTTCTCTCTCTCTTCCTTGCGCTGGAAATCAAACTGGAAGATCTCTACGGGATCGGTAAGCGGGCGGAAGGCGGAGCTTGGAAGCTGAGACAACTGAACGTCGTGAAGAGCCGCCTCTCCTTGGCATCCCTTAAGCTGCTCAGGCGGTTGCAGCAGAGGTTCACCGTCTAAGTTAGCAAGCGTTTTAAGGCTGTTCCACTGTGCAGCTAGTGGAGATTGGGCCACTTGAGCGTAACATCTAGCGCGGGAGGGAATACAAAGTGCGTCCTCTGTGAGTAATTCGGCATGGGCATGGTTGTAGATCCCTATAGCGCCCTCGCCTATTAGTTCCGTGTCCAAAAGTTCGGCTACCAGGAGGTTGGCCTTTCTTGGCATGTCCTCACCAACTAGGATCTCCGTGGAACGTTTTCGAATTAGGCGTACCTTGTCACCCACTCCATTCGCTGCCAGGATTTTTTCCGCGCAATTGGCCATTGGTAAGAAGGCCTCGCAGGCGGTTACCGAATCCGCACCTGCCTCCAGGGCCATCATGGAGAGTATTCCGGTTCCGGTGCCAATATCCAGGACGTGCACCTCTCTGCCCGCTTTTCTCATTTCGCCGATTGTTTTCTTCAAGGCAGCGAAGTACTTCTGGTTTCGCTCCCAGTCATGCAACATGTCGCCGAACCCCGCGTTGGCCACCTCTAAATGGTAATCGTAGTCATCGCCTCGCTCCTGCCAGGAGTTTTCACCCGTTATCGGGTTTATCACTTGCGAAAAGCAGGACATAGTGCGGCGGCTTAAAAAGCGTGTCTTCAAAAAATTCCTCAACATAAAAACCGGCTAAATAAATACCTCCCACAGTTCTGGCATAATTCGATTGATGTGAGGTGCGCTCTTGGAATGCCCTAAATAGCTATATTTTAGTTTAGCTATAAAGATATTTTACAGAATTATTTTGTTTTTGAGCACGTTATTCTGTTTTGTTCGCATAACTTTATATAAAATTTATTAATTAATTCTAAATACGGATATGAAAAACATTACAGCTAGATGGATCGAGCACAGAAGCTTTGGCTATAGTTATGTGTCCATATCTAAATGTAAGGATGCCACTTTGTTAAAAAACATTGTCATCTGGCAGCGCAGTGTTTTACTGTGAAATTTATTAAAAGCCTACCGATAAATCGATAGTCTGAATACTTTGTTAGCCCGCCAAAGTGTTAAAAGATTTTGTTTTGTAGTTTAAGTGTTTTATTTACTATTGAAAAATAAAATTAAAATTATTAAAATTCTTGCTTATTATTATGCTTATATATAATGTTGTTTTTTGTATTTTCTTAAAACTGCTCATCCAGCCGTCGTTTGACGCTAGATAATAATTTTACACGTTGTCGCAGTTGCAGGGGTCTCAATCCAAAATGTCTGGCCAAAGGAGTTTCACTTTCGCACTCATTGTGGTTCTTGGTGGTAGCAGTGCAACTAAACTGATTGCAGTCATCTTTCGTTGGCTTCAAACAATTGTTGACGATAAAATCCAGAAGAGAAATCCCTAGCACAATGAGAATCAAACAGGCGGGATCAACTTCGATAAACGACAGGGCACCTTCCATTTTTCTATGTGCTGGCTTCTTGAACTGTAAATTGCGAATGACATTTGGGTATGAAAATCCAATCTCTTTATATGAAAGTCAGGTAAAATTAAATCTATAGATAAGCAGGTAAAGGTATTAAGTCACATTACCGAAAGGTTACCCATAGATAATAATCCCTTTGTTTTTCTAGACTTTTAAATTAAGCAGGTATCAAGTTTGTGAAAGCACGTTTGTACAGGTATAATTGATAATACAAATTGTGATACCCTGTTGTGTGTGTATTACGATTGCGATCTATTTAGTTACGTCTTGCCTGTCTGTCCGTAGAACTCGAAGATCTCGGAAAGGTTCTCTTTGCTGGGTAAGTTTAATTCAACAACCGGACAGACCAAAAAAAGAAAAAATAAGAAAAGATAATTTATAATTACTAAATAAAACGTCAAGCTCTATTGAATTATTTATATTTTAAGGCAAAAAGCAAATATAGCATCTCTTTTTCTGATATATGATATATATGTATGATTGATGTCTGTAATGCTCTGTCATTGATAGGAAAAGATTAATTGATTCATATGCATATGAAAACACAGCTAGTGTTGGTCAGTTCGAGTTTGATTGTCGCAGACATCGGTTCCTTGTAAGCACGATAATGGAGAGAATAACAAAAATTTACCATGGATATGCTTTGATCATTGGAATGACGTCCTACAGAATGGTTCACGGCAGATTCGAGAAAACGACAATAACCCGAGCATATGCCTTAACGTTAAATTTTTTAACCATCGTAATTCTACCATCGGCTTTTTGGAGTGCAACCAAACGAATGATGTGCGAATCTTGGCTCCCGAAAATGATGTTTATAGCCCCGATAGTCCTACACTCGGTTAGCTATATAGTTATAGTGTATATAATCTCTTCACGGTGCTGCCGAGACAGAATGGTTTTGGACTTGCTAAAGTTAAACAATCAATTAGATCGAAAAATGGTGGCTACTGGGTATAAAGCAAATCCAGGCCTTCTTAGGATATTATATATGAAAACATTCACATCAGTTTATCTTTTCCTGTCCACCATGGTTTCATTTCTCTTTTTGAATGCTGAAATTTTTGATTCAATCGTAATTAATCTTGGGTATAGTATCCTGAATGCAACCACATTCTTCTACTTCACATACTTCTGGCAAATCGTTAGAGGTTATGATTTCGTCAACCATGAAATTAAAGAACTCATCACCTTTGGATCAGGAAAAACTTGTACCAATTACTCAAAGGAACTGCGGGATTTGTGGTATCTTCATTCGAAGCTCAGCCTCATGGCCAATAGGATAAATAGAGTCTTTGGTCTTCAGATGCTGGTTTCACGAATAGAATATATCATACACGCTATTGTATATGGTTATATAGGATCAATTTTCGTGCTTAAAGGAGTTAACGTTTTAATGTGTCATGCGGCTGCAATATATGTGGTTCGGTCTGCAGATTTTTTTCTAAATGATTACATCAGTGATTTGACCACGCGTTGTCAGTGTTATCCAAATTACGATATTATTGAGGGAAAAATGAACAAACAGGTTGTTAATAAATTAGAATGTGTAAAAATATACAACAATATTGTCTATCATTTCAGCTAAGTGCCTATCTGATCTATGAGAGCAGCATGAGAATCGATTTAAAGGTATTTGGATTATACTTGGCCGACAGAAGCCTTTGGCTTAAAATGATGTGTTTTATAGTTTGTAACTCCATATTGCTTCTCCAGTTCTATATAATGTTGAGGGAATAGTGCATACTAGAACTGTTTTCAAGTAAAAGCAGTATAAAATACAACTGCAAATAAAGTTCTTAGTTGTTAAGTATAACGTCAAGATCGTTATTGCACTAATAATATTTAAAAGCAAACATAAATTATAGCTTCTTTTTCTTATATTTGACACCAAGATTTGTTTCTTTTCGAATAAAATGCATATGTAATATTACAATTTTGAAATAATATTTCAATTCAAGGGAATGTATTTTAAATAATAAAAACACATTTAACATATAATTTTAAACTGATTGTCACTAGAAAAATACACATATGGAAAAAACATTGCCAGCCCTGGTAAAATTATCGAAAGCCCCCTATAAATCGATAGCCTTATTTCTGTTCAGATCCACTTTAAAGTTAACATAATTGATTTTAGCAGTTTACTTTCTTAATTTTTTTATTAATACAATTTTTTAATACTTATTCTTATGAGTACATACAATGAATATTGCCTTAAATTGCTGATCCAGCCGCCGTTTGACGCCAGGCAAAAATTTTGAACGGTGGTGCAGTTGTAGGGGTCTCAATCCAAAATGTCTGGCCAAAGGGATCTGACTTTCGCACCTTTTCTGTTCCCTATGAATACTGCAGAAGTAAGGGTAAAGTAAGCTACAAACTCTATTGTATCCGACCAATTGTTGTCGATGAGATCCAACAGAGAAGCCCCATCTTTATCGGAATCGTACAGGCTGGATCAACTGTAAATTGCGAATGTTACGAGTCAAGTAAGATTAATGATATAGTTAAACAGGTAATGTTAGTACCTGGAAATGGGTTGGATGGGAAAGTTTGAAAGAGGTTACCTCTATGCTTAATGAAGGTTTTTTAAACCAGAAATCCTAGCCGTTTTGTTTTGCTAAAATTTTAATTTAATTGCACTTAGAGTTTCAAGCTTATGCTGACTGGTATTATTCATCACAAAAAATGGCTTGCTAGCTTACTAATCCATTTTAATTTGCAGCTTAACGTATTTAAAATCTATATTCTATAGTTTTCGATGAACATGCGCACTCTGATTGGTCAGAGGGTAGCGGAGTCTCGAATTAGATGTGGTCAGATAGATAAATAATATCAGACACACCCTAACGGATGAAAATTTCACCGGTTAGTTTCAGCTAGTGCCTCTTGGAGAGTGGTTCTTTTACGTAGTGATAATGGAGAAACCAGTTAGGATATACTATGGATATGCTCTGATCATTGGAATGACGTCCTATAGAATGGTCAATGGAAGCTTCCAGCAAACCAAAATAACGCAGTCGTATGCCTTGGCCTTGAATATAGTAGCCGTTGTCATTCTACCACCAGCATTTTGGAGTTCAGCCAAAACTGTAATGATAAAATCCTGGCTACCAGAAATTATGTTTATAGTTCCATTTGTTCTTTATGCGGTTAACTATATAGTTGTAGTATATATCCTATGCTCACGAAGCTATCGAGACAGAATGTTTTTGGATTTACTAAGGTTAACCGATCAATTAAATCGAAAAATGGGCCGTGCTGGAAGAAAAACAAACCCAAAGCTATTAAAACTATTGCATACGAAATCGTTAACTCTCGCCTATTTATGCCTGTCCTCCATGGTATCACTTCTTTTCTTAGAATCGGGAATTTTATTTGCGTTTATAATTAACATTGCCTACAGCATTCTGAACACCACCGTTTACTTTCACTTCATATCCTTATGGCAGATTGTTAAAGGCTATGATTTTGTTAATCAACAAATAATGGATCTCATCGTCTTCAGATCAGGAAACAATAATACAAATTATTCGGAAGAGTTGGAGGATTTGTGGTTCCTTCATTCGACTCTTGGCAAAATGGCCAAAAGGATAAATAAAGTCTATGGACTGCAGATGCTGATTTCACGCGTTGATTATGTCCTATTCTCTATTATACATGGATACGTTGGTATTGTTACGGTGCATCAAAAAACTAGTTTTCTTTATTTTCATGTAACTTTAATATATTTTGTTCGATTTGCGGACTTCTTTCTTAATGATTACATCAGTGACTTGACATCACGGTATCAGTGCTCTCCGAAACACGATATTATCGAAGGAACAATGAATAAGCAGGTGGTTAAGTTAATAGATTATATAAAAAATATCTTAAAATAAGGATTATACTTACAGCTAAGTGCCTATATAATCTACGAGGCCAGTTCTAGACCTGATTTAAAGGTATTAGGACTCTATTTGGCCAACAAAAACCTATGGCTTGGGATGTTGGGTGTAATAGTATCTTACTGTGTTTTACTTCTACAATTTTTTTTGATCCTAAGTGATTAATATTATATTTTACTTAATTTCAATAAAATCTTCTGAAAATGTAAACAGAGTATTCTAAATATAATTAAATTTTTCACATGGTTAAAAAAGAAAGGATAGAAATAGAGCAGATTTGGTCAATCACTCAAATTCTTTTCGGAATTTAGTGAATAACAATAACATATATTTTATATATATTAATATATTTTTTTCTATGGCTAATGAATGTGTTAAACTACATTGAAAGAACTCTTGAACTTCTTCAGGGTTCAGAAATAACTAATAGAATTTTGTATAGAATCGGGAAATAAAATCAACGACCACGCTCGTGGTACCCCAACCAATTGATCACTGCAATGACCTGTCGTTGATAGGAAGAGATTAATTGTTTCGTATTCATGTCCCAAATACAACTTGTGCCTGTCAGTTAAAGTTATACTCTCGGATACAGTGGTTCCTTAATACAGGATAATGGGGAGAGGCGACAAAATTTATCATGGATTCGCTCTGCTCATTGGTTTGACGTCCTACAGAATGGTCCAGGGCAGATTTCAGAAAACAAAGATAACCCAAGCGTACGCTCTAACGTTAAATATAATAACTATTGTCATCTTACCATCGGCGTTTTGGGGCGAAATCAAAAAATTGATCTTGGATTCTTGGCTCCCGAAAAATATGGTTTTAGTCCCAATTGGTCTATACTTTGCTAAGTATTTAGTTATAGTGTACATCCTCGTTTCACGTTGTAACCGGGACAGTATGTTTTTGGACTTGTTAAAGCTAACCCATGAGATAGATAAAAAAATGGTTCGTGCTGGAAGAAAAACGAATTTAAGGCTCGAGAGATTATTGCGTATAAAATTTTTCATATCAGCATATATTTTTCTGTCCTCCATGGTTTTAGTTATCTTTCTGAAATCGGGATACGTTGATTCAATTTTAATAATTCTTGCGTATAGTATCCTGAATACCAACACGTACTTTTATTTTAAATACTTCTGGCAAATCGCTAAAGGTTATGATTTCGTAAATCAAGAAATAATGGAGCTCATCGGCTTAAGATCAGGAAACAATATAACAAATTACACGAATAACCTGCAGGATTTATGGTTTCTTCATTTAAATCTCAGCAAGTCGGCCAAAAAGATAAATAAAGTCTTTGGACTTCAGATGGTGGTGTCACGCATTGATTACATCATATTCGCTATAGTATATGGTTATGTAGGGATAACATTCGTTCAGAGTGGAGTAACCATTATGACGTGTCAGGGAGTTGCGGTCTATTTGCTTTATACTGCCGACTCTTTTCTAAACGATGTCATCTGGGACTTAACCTCGCGCTATCAGAGTTATCCGAAGCATGAAGTTACCGAAGGCAAGATGGACAAGCAGGTGGTATCTAGAATAAGTAAAGATATCTAAAACTAATGGCTATCATTTCAGCTAAGTGCCTATCTGATCTATGAGAGCAGTATGCGAACCGATTTAAAGGTTTTTGGATTATACTTAGTAAACAAAGGAATGTGGCTCAGAATGATGTGCTTCATAGTTTGCAACTCTATATTGCTGCTTCAATTCTATCTGATTTTGAGTGATTAGTGCGTAAGATAACAAAATCGATCTTCAATTTAGACCAGCATGAACATATTTTTGGATTAGTGTCATAATATTAATGTTCAACCTTAAACTATCTATGATTGAATTATATGCACTTTTAATTAAAACGCAGCTTAAAATTTTCCGCTGATCATTAAAACGCAGGTACTATAGTTCTGGTAGTTAAAACTGATTGGTATCGGCCAGTGAAAAACACTTTCACTAATTAACTTAACCAACAGAAAGAAAACTCGACCGAATGACTTTAGTTGCAGTTCAAAGCTTTTCCACGGCGGTTCATTGGAAATGTTCAAATGAAGTTGATTGTGTCGATATGTTACGTATACGCCATGGCTATCGGCATGACGTCATACTGCCTAATCGGTGGAAATTTAAAGCAGACAAAGATTACCCAGATATATTCTGTCGCTATGAATGCAATCACCTTGACGGTTCTGCCGTTAGCTTTCTGGAAATCAGCCCAGTTAATGACGATGGCCGAATGGCTGCCTTCCTACATGTGGATAACTCCTTATGTCCTGTATTCGTGCAACTACGTTGTTATAGCTTATACTCTGATTTCGAGATGCTTTAGAGACGCCATGTTGCTGGACCTACAGCTTTTAATAATGCAAATAAAACGGAAGATGTCGCGTAGGGCAAAGGAAATCAATCCAAATCTGCGTCATATATTTTTCCTGAAAAGCTTTACGTTTAGTTACTTGTGCGTTGCGTATATACTGACCATCTTCGTTTACCAATGGAAATTAGAATGGTCTCAAATTGCATACGGAGGTCTAGTTAACACTTCCTTAACTGTCCAGATCGTCAATACGTACATCTATTTCGTTTCCTTTTGGCAGATTGCCAGAGGCTATGATTTTGTTAACCAGCAAGTGGTAGAGATCACTTCAGCTGCATGGTTGGGCTCAAAAGTTCAAGCAGTAGAACTTCGAGGCCTTTGGGCTCTGCATTCCAACCTGAGCCGGACTGCGAGAAGGTTAAATAGGCACTATGGTCTTCAGATGCTTGCCATTCGTTTCGATTACTTTATATTCTCCATTATAAATCTATATATGGGGACGATATACGCAAGGTATGGAAAATCCGATGCGATTGAAAAGTTGTACGGATCTCTAATTTTTTGGATACGAAGTGTCGATTTTTTTCTAAATGATTATATTTGCGGTTTGGTTACTGAATATCAAAGTCAGCCAAAGTATTTTGTCAACGAGCGCGACATGTCTAATCAGGTGGTTAATAATTTAGTGTTTAGTTTTTAACAACTTTCCTAAACTACGTTAAAATTTCCAGCTGAGTTCTTTCTTGATGTATGACAGCAGCACAAGGCTGGATCTGAAGGTCTGCGGACTCTATCCGGCGAATAAAAAGCAATGGATGGAAATGGTGGCCTCTATTTTAGTACACTCCACAATGCTGCTCCAGTTTCATCTGGTTGGGAGCAAGAAATAGATGGTACTAAGTTTAACTTATGTTGAATAATAAATATTTTTATGCGAAAATAGTGGAACGTGTTTAGTTCAATCTCCATGGGAGTCACCATTTGTCTTTTTCACCTAAGCACTTAAGATTATTACCAGATAGAAGTGACATCAAAACAAAGCTTCTGTTTAGAAGACACTGTTCAATCTTAAAACCCCAGATTGTCATGATTATGTCCGTTTTGACTATATCTATCATTTAAAATAGGACTTAAAAGCCCTTCGAAGGACTAGCAATTTAATAATCGAAGTTTACACAAACTTCTTTTAGCAAGTTAGTATAAGTTTGAGGTTCTTTGAAAGCGGTTACTTTAAATTAGAACTGTAAAGTATGCGAGTACTAACCATATATAACCGATACGCCCTGATCATCGGCTTGACATCCTACAGAGAAGTTAATGGCAGGCTTATTCAAACTAGGATCACGCGGATATATGCACTGATTGTTAACATATTGTTTTTAGCAGGTCTGCCCTATTTCTTATGGGCAGATGCTAAACGAATTTCATCAGCTAATTTAATGCATATAGTCATTAAGATATCACCTTTTGTTTTGCATTCGGTGACCTATGCGGTACTATTCCTAACTTTGACCTCAAGACGTGATGGAGAAAAGTTGTTGTTGGATTTTCAGCGCTTAGACGCTCAAATGAAACGCAAGATGAATCGAAGTGGAAAATATACGAGCCCGAAGCTCCGCAGGGTATTCTTTTTAAAAACATTTACCTTACTTTTCGAATCTTTGGCCAATGGAAGCTCAATTATTATTTTCGGATGGTGGCTTTGCCACGATTTTCCACAGTTTTTCGGGAACTTTTTAATTAACTGTGGACTAAACATATTGGTTGGTCGAACCTATTCGTACTTTATAACATTCTGGAATATTGTCCGGGGCTATGAGTACGTAAATAAGCGGTTCGAAGAGCTTATCCCGACCCTTAAGGCATACACATCATCCGACAAGAAAAAAATACAACATCTGTGGGCAATGCACGCCCATCTTGGTCGGATGTGCCAACGGACAAACAAGATTTGTGGCCTTCAAATGCTGGCCTTGCGGTTTGACCATTTTCTACGGGCAATCGTCGATTGTTTCTCAGTTCTTATATTTTCAAAAATGTTGTTTCCTCAACATTTAAAATATTATTTAATCATCATATGTTCTATACGAAGTACTGGATATTTCCTCAATGACTACATTCTCGATTTGGTTACCGAATATCAAAGTTATACCAAGGACAAAGTCATAGAGGGCCTAATGACCAAAGAGGTATATTAAAGTTTAACTATCAATGGTGTTTCTATAGAGTCTAAAACATTTCCAGCTAAGTGCTTATATGATTTACGAAAGAAGCATGAAGACGGACATAAAATTTTGTGGACTTTATTTAGCGAATCGAGCCAACTTTCTACGGATGGTCGAAGGCGTTTTTAGCTCATTTATACTCTTGCTGCAGTTTCTTCTGATATTGAATAATTAAGTTGTATACTGTAATTAGCTTAGTTATATCATATGAGCATCACTTCCGCACTCTTATCTTATATTTGATCAATATGGGCACTTACACTTATTGGTATTATGACAGTAGTCGATCCTATACGCTGGTTGAGAACGGACGTGGTCATGGCTTTTGCGTTGGTGAAAATATATTTCGGCTATTCGCTGGTAATTGGTATTACTTCGCAGAAACTGGACAAGCAAAGTTTCCAGAGTACTCTTTTTACACGGGTTTATGCTTTGATTGCTAATATCATTACGCTTGCCATGTTGCCTCTAGCTATATGGCACACTAGATTGAGTTTTCTGGCAATCGGGAAATTTCCACGGCTTATTTTGATTACCAATGACGTCAGACATGTGGTTTCCTATTTAGTTATCGTATATACGGTCCTATCACGCGGATTTCGAGATACAGCTTTCAAGGAGATGACGCCCTTACTGCGGAGATTACTTCAGGAAGAAAGGCGAGGAACAGGCATTCGAAGAGCAAGACGATCCTTAAAGATTATTTTATATGTAAAGTTCTTTACCGTTTGGTGGTTATGTATTACCGAATCCTTCTTCGTCTTCTTTTCGTGGAACTCTTTTACCTGGATGAAACTTGTGCAATTTATTGTCATGTCTAATGCCATGAATATTCTGGAAATGGTGCCAATGGGCTACTTTCTCGGTTTGTGGCACATTGCTCGAGGCTTCGATTATGTGAACAAGCGCATGGATGAAATAAAAACATCGAAATCGATTCGAGATTTAAAGGAGCTGCAGGATCTTTGGGGACTTCATGCTGGACTCACAAAGACAGCGCTAAAAATAAACAGAACCTATGGCCCCCAGATGTTGGCATCTCGATTTGACCATTTCATCATTGGAGTTGTCCAGGCTTATTGGGGAGCCTTTTTCGCTTACAACCGATCTACGTCTTTTCTTTGGATCGCTTACGGATTTGGTCAATATTATATACGTTCGTTGGACTATTATCTCATTGATTACATGTGCGATTTGGTTGTGAAGTATCAGGGCGCGGCTAAGCATTCCTGGAGTGAAAGTCACTGGACGAAAGAGGTAAGCTAATTGGGTTCTGAATCCTTAAAAACTTAGCTTACAAACTATTTTTGTGTAGATAAGTTCCTATGTCATTTACGTCAACAGTTCGAAGTTACAGCTCTGGACCTGTGGACTTTTCCAGGCGAATAGAAGTCTGTGGTTTGAAATGATGAGCAGCGTGTTGTATTATATTTTAGTGGTATTGCAGTTTCATCTTGTAATGGGAAATTGATTAATATTTATTAAATAGATTAAGTCATTTAAATCAAATAGCACACAAATTTCTGTATTATATGTCTTCTTTACTGCTTAAATATATATACTAAAGAATAAAGCTGTTTGTATTGCAACCTGTAAACATGTTATCTCTGGCGATAAAATGCCAGCCTGAATTGACAGTATATATCTGAGTTAACCACATTTTTCAGTTACTAAGCCTTGGAAATATCCCAGTCAGATTGATTTGGCATAATCTGTCATTTAAATGCCCGCAAACTATTGTGATTTTCTAATCATTTTCTGCCAAGAAATAATTGTAACTGTTTGAATGCACACATTTGAAACGCTTTGGGGGCAACAATGTCAGCAATATAGCAGCAGAAATGCTCTGTTCTGTAGGAGCCAATAATTTCCTATTCGATAATTTCCAAATGAATGCGTTCAGCAAATAAATTCAGCTTTGACAGCATTCGCAGTTGAAATTTAAAACGAAATCACGTTTTGCTGTTGCATACTTTTTGGCGTATGCACATCTGCTCTACGTTGTACGTGATGAAAGTTGTGTCATAAACACAGGCACACACACACACACACATACACACACACAACTTAGTTGGAAAAATGCTGGAAATGGCAGCAGGTGAAATGGGTGAGAGGCCAGAGTTAAGGGAGGCATAAATAAAATGAAATAAAATAAATCAAAGCATAATTTTCGCAATAAATTCGTTTTTACCAAACGCTGAATGCAAATCTAATTCCTTTTGCCAGGCGAAACGTGTATCGAAGTTTTGCAGTGTTCTATTTTGTGGTTTCTGAAATTTATAGGCAGTTTCCTTTTACAATCGGCTTATAAGGCAATCCTCTTTTTTTATATATATACAAATTTAATTTGAGTTTAAATCCATTTAGGAATAGCGCTGAAAAGTGGAAAAGGCTTTAAAAAATATCAAAATTAGAGTACTCAAATTTTGAAACATAAAAATTAAAACTGAAAAAGGAAATAAAATAGGTAATTGTTGGATTATACTATTAAAAAAGTTTATTACTAAAAATAAAAAGATCTTAAAGGCAATATTTTTGTTAGCATGGTGTCATTTACTAGAAAAATATCTCAATGTTTTGTTTTTATTTTTTTATTGGTATGAAGACACATTTGTTTTATTTATTTGCTAAATAATAGCCATAAATATACCTATAAAGTGATATATAATATACAGAACTAATGAAAGTCTGTCTTTAAACTGGTTCTAAGAAGGCACGTCATAAATCTTAAACTGGAATGATGACGACATTTAATAACAAACTAGTTCAAAATGAGATGATGATGTCTTCTGGCGGCAATCCGTTCTGTAAATATATATATTAACATGATTTGAATTCACGTCGAGGCACGTCAACGCAATTATGTTGGATAACAAGAGCCAAGATTTATTATGCCCGATTCGAGAAGCAAACATATATACTCGTATATAAACTATACGCACGTAACGGATGCGACGGCTGTACGCCCATTGCCGTTGGGTAGGTGGGCGTGTCCCGCGTCGCTTGACAATTGTCAAAATCGTCGCCATAACTCACGTGTTGCCAGCAACAGAAACAAGTGCATGTGGATCGAGGGGAATTCAGGAAGGATGAAGAGCAGGAGGCGTTGGAGCTGCCGCACCGGGCATCGACAATTTCAATTGAAGCTGATTTGCTCAAAATGCAAATTACGCAATGATTTACATTCCGATTGACATATTTTAGGCGAACAGTTTGCACTTCATTCCCACCCATCACTTCTCCCCGAAAATCCTTGGATCCGCCCTTTGCGTGTTGCTGAAAAGAATCCTTGATTTGCCATCGTCATTGCCATTGCCAGACCAATGCAAATTGGCTGGGGCTAGACAGTCGTTCGAAAATCATTTCAATTGCCTATAAGTATCTAGACAAAAAAAATATTATTGCTTCTTTAAAAAACAAAACTTGGAAAAAAAAAGGTTGGTAATGCAGATTTTCTGTGATTTCCACCAATTATTGTCATAAAATGTTTAGCGGTTATAAACTAAATTGTGGTTTCTGTAAAAGTTAAGCATAATTAATAGAAAGGAATTATAAGGTTATGAGAGAATACCCCTAATTAATTAATTTTCCACCTTTTGTTATTTAACTATTTAACGGATATGATAAAGTTCATGTTTTGTCCGGTTGTATGTATGTATATTGTTGACGTTTTATTTCTGTTGATGTTCTTTATTTTTTTTTCCAAAATTGTCTTATTGTTCATTATTTTAACATCCGCTGTTTCCTATTCATTGTTTTCGAAGTGCCCCTTAATTCTAGTTCCCATCTCTATATATACATCGCTTGAAACAATTGGAATTGAAACATAAGATAGTAAATGTTAAATGGTAAATGCTAAATGCTAAATGCGAACATGGTAAATGGTAAATGCTAAATGCTAACAATATGTACATATATATTATTTGGGAGTGGTTAATATCACCTCCAAATAAAGGGTGTTTTTAGAGGTATAGAAATTTATATTTCAATAAAACAACGATGGATTATTCGATTGACATGAATTTTTTTTATAAATAAAAATTCTCTAGACAACAAAATACCAAGAATACCAACCAAATCAATTAAGTTGACCATCTGTTAAAGAAGTAAAAAACGATGTAGATGTTGTGTAGATGCTCAAAAGGGTCGTAAATGACGTGACGACGATCGGATAGAATACAAGATGAACATTTTGTAAAATAATTTAATATAAACGTAAGCGTAAATAAAATATTTGATATCAGATAGGTTAGAGAGCATAACTAGCTTGTGTCTTTTAGATTTCTGTCTTAAAATATAAGGTGACCAAGAAATTTTTGTAACTCAGAGAATATTAAATAGAAAACCCAAAATATCAACGTAGATAGTGCAATAAAAATCCTTTTTATATGAACCATCCAACTGTGTCATTACTCACACAACTGACACTGGCACATATCCCAGGCAGGTCTTCTGGTCATCATTACTGTGGCTTTGCCATTGGACAGCTTTCTCCGTTTTGGACTCAGCAGCGGGCATCATAAAATTGCTGAGAGGACATAAACGCGTTATTATATTATGCCTTTGAATGCCCATGACTTGCAGGGCCCCCAGTGAATAGAGGAGGCCAAGGAGGAGGCAGAAGGCAGGATGCATGCGACATTCTGCAGTGGCCACACGACACACAGAGGACACACACAGTACATACAGCTCAAACAGAGGACACAATGGATGAACATCAATGCCAGAGCCGCGACATTGAATGGCCAGTGGCAGGAGCCATAGCAGGAGAAGCAGCAAGAGATGGAGAAGGGCCCAAAACCCGCGTCCATCAATGCAACTTTGAGTCAACGTCAACAGGCAAAGAAGCTATTCAGCTTAACTTGCATTCTCTGGCCTTTTCCCTTCCGTGTTGCCTTTCAGCCGGAGGACATAAATTTTAAAAATAACAATATGAGAAGATGTCCTCCAGATGTGTGCGACCGAAAAGTCAGAGCTGAGCTGAGAGAAGCCCGGCTAAGGACTGCTCAAGATGCCAGGCAAAAGTTTTTAATGATGCCGCAAAGTCGTTGAACCAAGTTCGATGCACATTCAGTGGATTTGACCTGACTTTGGCATCCTTGTTGGTAAGGACGAGAGCTTGTGCATTGATTTACTTGCGGCCCAGGCAAATGTAAGCCACAGCTGTGCCAAATCGAAAATTTTGGCCAAGTGAAAGTTGTTTTTGGGCTGCAAAGTTTTTCCGTAAATGCTTGAATTTTACATGCAGCAGTGCGATTCTTCGTGTACTTTGACCTCCATGGAAATGGAAATCTTAATAAATTTAAAATCAAAATTTAATAAGAGGTCACTGTACAGCAATCGTGCTGCATAAAATTGAATTTAAATGGAATGTGATCTTAGAATTTGTAATGCATTACCAAGATACGAGGTGTGTTCAAAAAGTAAGGTGACTCTTCAAATTTCGCGAATTTCAAATTTTTCGATTATCGATTTTTTTGTTTTGTTATATTGGTACACTCTTCCCTAACATCTGTACCAAGTTTCAATGGAACATCCTCTTTTGTTTGGTTGTGAGAGGCGTAAAGTTACAAGTTATTTTGCGAGCTCGGCGATTTTTTGCTATCGAAAAATATGGATCAAAGGATTTGGATTTTTTGGCCAAAAACAACACCACAATAATGCCTCAGCCACCATATTCACCGGATTTGGCCCCATGTGACTTTTTCTTGTTCCCAAAACTGAAGATAATCGAAAAATTTGAAAAATTTGAAATTTGAAAAGTCACCTTACTTTTTGAACACACCTCGTATAACTTCTAAAAGGTTTCGATAATCGAAAAATTTGAAATTCGCGAAATTTGAAGAGTCACCTTACTTTTTGAACACACCTCGTATACATTTTGAGGGCACGTATACTTTAAGTTACAATTTCTAACTTATAAATATTAAACATTTTCAGTCATAAAAACAACACAACATAATTTGGAGTCACAAGCAAGTTAAGTTTATTTTCTTAATATTAAGTAGGCTTAGAATTAAATTTCGAACGGACTGTTTATCCGTAGAAGCCACCGCCGAAACCGCCTGCGGAGGCCGAGGAAGATGCCGAGGCACTGGCACCGCCAAATCCACCGCGGTTAAAGCCACCATAGCCAGGATATCCGCCGCCGAATCCACCATAGCCCGGATAACCGCCTCCGAATCCGCCATAGCCGGGATAGCCTCCGAAACCACCGTATCCAAACTGAGGAGCGGGTACAGCCTCCAGGACACTGAGGAGTGCGAAAATCACAACGACAAACACGGCGGCAGCTCGCATCTTGGATGGCTTGATGTTTACTTTAGTTCTTTCCGTTTGAAACTGTTGATCGATTTTGAGCTGGCGGCCTATTATATAAACAGATTCGTTCATTGGTTCAACAACCTGCTCATCTGGTTCTGGAGGCGTCAGGTGTGTTTGCGTGCCAGTTCCATTCCCTCTTCAATTAATCGATCCCATCGAAAATGACACAATTCGCGACGCGAGCTGCGGGGCAAGCTGACCATCCCCTCGAGGAGACCAGTTTTGGAGTTTTGGGGTTAACCTTTCCGCAAACTCACGCGTCTATTGTGGGATTTTGGGAATCACTCGGGCTGAATTCTGTCATTCCTGCGTATTAGCATAAAATAAAATAAAACGCAAACAAAACAAATGTTTTGTATAATTATTAGGTATGAAATTTCACTGGGCTTTGTTTTTCGGCTATCACATTCGCTTAGTCACTCACCCATACTTTGTATACCATTTAGTATACATTATGCTAATCAAGCCTGTCATTAATGGGTTTTCCATTCGACTGGCTGGTTTGACTATTCGGACATCGTTATAGCTGAAAATAAAATGTGTTTTCACCTCATTTCTTTTGTTTATATTATTTTTAGTTTGTTTAATGCTTGTGCTTGAGGGGCTATATTAAATGTTATTCGTTGCTTTGGATAATTTCTTTCTTAAAATATATTTTTGAACAACTACTTGAAATAATCTATTGTCTTTTACGTGTTTTTTACACAATTAAACTTATAATATTGCTTGATTTTTCATATTTTACTACTAATATTTGTATTTTTAATAGCTTTGGCTAAGTCAATAACCTGACCTTGGTTTAAAGTACATGTTTATGATAATTTTTGTAAACAAACAATTGTTTCAGTTTCTATTCTAAGCTGGATGTCAATCCGGTTATGAAGATCTACATCCCGCTGACAGGTCACACTGCTGTGAGTCAGAAACTCAGAAAATAGTCTTTGAAAAAATTCGACATAAGTCAGATTTAAAACTTATTCAAAATTTCAGTTAACGGCCAGCGAGATATGCTATCAGAGAATGAATTCCAATCGATATGTAAGGTTTTTTTCACTGGTACCATGACCTTTGTCTGCTCGGCCGTGGTACCAGAAGTCGTGAGCAAAAAGTATTTCAATCACATGCTAGCAGAGAAGATTCCGTATAGTATTTATCAGATGAACAGCAATAACACCAGCTATCTGCTGATATTCCGTTTCAAGGATATAATCAACTGTCGAACCATTCAACTGACCGATATGCACAATCTTAATTGTCCAAATAATGAGAATGAACCGAAGAGTTACAACTTCAGCTATAGTTACTGCTTGTTCTATAACTACACTATGGAATTGACTTCAGACCTCACGAGCCACTGTGGCGCCGATGCTGTTCAACGTAACTTAGAATCGGGTTACTTCTTCATGAGCCTCGACAATGACCACGATACAAGTATTAAGAGAAATGTTGGTGATCGGCTAGGATCCCATGGACTTGTGCTATGTCTGATCATATCATTTTTGTTGATCGCAATCCTGCAATGGAAGGCACATCGATTGTAAAACCAGTTAGCTCTGCTTTTTCAGAGTTTTGAGTCGTGTTTTAGAAACTATTCGTCCAACATGTATTCTCCATTGTCCAAACGCTGCAAACGAGTCTTTGCTATCACATGGAACTTGATTTGTTCTGGCCAATATCAGGAGGACATTCGAATCCGTTTCGGTAGCAAGCTATCGATGGTTGGTGATCCCTATGCGGTTTTCAGACCCACTGATGGAGATTCCATGGATGTGATGGTCATAACTGGCAGCAAGGGAATTACTAAATGCCCACAAATAATGGTGAAGAGTTTGAACGAGTTCCAGTGCATCCGATCGGGGGCACTTCAGAACACGACTGTCCATACGAATCGTAGTTATATGGCGTGCTTGGAGTACTTCTTTCAAATGGCCTTTGAAATGGAAATGCACTGCAATCGGGAAGACGTGAAGAACAGTTCCTTCACGGTCCTGCATTTTGCTAACGTTAGGAAAAGGTTGCGAACGGTGGACCCACCGACAAATGAAGTGGCCACTCTTGACTTCGATATGACTATGCTATTTATTTCGGCAATTTTGGTCATATTACTCATTCTAAGATGGTGATAGCCTATATCAACTTCTATTTCAATGTCTATATCTGTGTTAAAGTTGTAGACAATAATCTGTAGCTGGCCTTGTCTCGGATGTGTTCCGAGATTATAAACAATTTTGTATAGTATTATCATTGTTTCCTAACCTCTGGAACATTTCCAATGGCAGTCCAAATAAAAATTGTAAGTCTAGTAATCATTATATGAATGGATTTTCACCCAAGTCTTAATCATTCTTCTCAATTTCATTGGCGCCCCTTTTTATGATCCGTATGATGTATCCATCATGATGTGACATATTTTGACAGTGCTCAAACCTAAGAACGCTGACAGAACACAAATCTTCCGCCTGTGTCGGCATGGAACCTAAGAAGCTGCCAACGGGATCTCCCTGCTCATTCCATGATCGCATCGCATTTCCCTTTCATCTGACAATGTTGCCCTTGTCATCTACTATGTGCCACATTTAGTGGCATGGGGGGACTTTAGCACCGCATCTGCGTGTATCCCTCGTTTATTAGGTCTCTTTATAAATAATTGCTTTTTAACAGAGGCAAAAATTATCACCTAATTATAGAGCCTGACACGGTGGATTCCAACTGACTTCGTAGAGGGGTGAGTTTTGCTATATCTATTAATTAACAACGGCAAATTTTGCATGTAGATAGCTTCACATTAATTCAAGGCAGTTAATTATTAAGGATTTGTCTATATCAATTAACAATAAATGTGTGTCAGTAAATTGTTTCCTGATGGGGGTTAACTTGAAGCAGTGAATTGGGTAAATGTTTAATTAAGTTTAATTCTAAATAGGTTCCATATTAACAGCATAAACATATGTTAAATAAATATATAAAATTACTAATCCTTATTCCTGACATTATTCTTGCTTATTAGCAGTAAAGATTAAGTGTATACCTAAGGAGTACCATTTCAATCTAAAAGTAACTATCAAGAATATTCCTCTGTGCACTTATACTTTCCACAAATTGTTTTTATCTCCACTCTAGACAGATGAATGTTTGTCATTGATTAATATAAACTGTCCAATTCAACTACTTTCTTCTCAGGTGTCTGCCCCAACATCCGTTCAAAAGGATAATACACCGTCCTGTAGCTCTGCGTTTTGCTAGCACAAGGACCTCGTTTGCTCTGGCATTTCCGTTTGCCATTTGATTTGACAGGACTCTCTCGGCATGTGTGTATGTGAGTGTGTCTCCTGTTGTTTGGCCCATAAATTTGTATTTCCCTTTCGAGGAGGACTTCTGCAACATGTTCGCCTGTCAGCAGAAATGTCGTCCTTCTCCCGGCAAACAATTTGCCGCATCGCAAAAAAAAAAAAACAAAAAAAAAGGACAAAACGCATTTTTCCATCGTTCTGCCGTTCTGGCGTTGTGCTTTTCAAACATTATTGCAATTTCGAAAATATTGTAAAAATGTTTTACGCTCGGAGCGCCAACGCTTTATGCAAATTAGCTGCACAAACCGTTCCACATTCCAAATGTTAATTTGCATTTCGCATTTCGTCCTGCTGCTCAGCTTTCGCCCATCTTGTTTGGCCCTGTCATGGTTGGCCTGCGGATAAAAGGGAATTTTTATTTGCATTTAAATATATTACATACTTGTTAACCTTCTGTGCTACTAGAGAGGATCCGAATATATTATATCTGAGAGTCTGGAGAATGGGAATCGGGGCAATGGGTGCTCCTTCCTTCCTTATCCCTTCACCACTTTTTGACTTTCGGGAATGCGTTTGAGTGCACTGCAGATTCTATTGTGCTACGAATGGCAATCTGTACTTTTAATTGCCCTAGAAAACCGAGATTTCCACAATCTTAATCTACTTTGATTGCGGCTTCGCTTTCCCAACGTTTGCGGCTACGCAAAAGTTTTCCCCCACTGTTTGGCTTTCGAGTGTTTGTGCGCCTCCCTCGCCCGTTTGTTTATTTGTTTTGACTTTAATTAAGTTTTATTATACAAATTAACACATGCGGGTGAAATAACACATACACGCGTAGATGAAACCTTCAAGCAGCTCCGCTTGTGTACGAGTAGTATGTGTTTGTGAGTGAGTGTGTGGGGATATGAATTTTTAATTAAATCATATTACTAAGTCAATAATTAAATAAAACATGTCATATTCATATGCCAGAGTGACAGTTTAATAAATGGAAAACTTTGCCATATTGGGTAGGAGCTAATTGCTTGTTGCTCGCAAGATGATGAATTCAATCAAAAAAGTTATCTATCGATGGTTGGAAGGATATTGAATCAGGAAAGGGGGAAAAACTTAGTTATTTGCAATCTTTGGTTAAAGCTTTTGATGAGTTTAATTCTTAAAAGGTTGTCAAATTGTGGTTCCTGATATTATTTTAAGTATTTTGTAAAAACAAAAAATACTGATTGATTCGACTCTAAGGCAGCGGAGCTAAAATTCGTCTTCCGAAACAGCATTTACTAACAAAAATACAAGAAAATGTGCACATATGTAGAGATGGTTTTGTGTTAGTTTGCAGATGTACACTGAAAGAAAGAAAACCACTTCTTCTTGCTAACCAATTCATCCCTCATTTTACTGACTCGCCAAAGAGTCCAATGCGAATTAAACTCCAAAGTGCGAAAAGAAGTTATAAGGAATGAATTCCAGTGCAAGGGTTCGAGGATGATCGAGGAAAAAACAAAAACAAAATATATTGCAGTCGGCGACGGAATGATGCGGAAAGAGGAACGCGAAAAATTGTTAGTGGAATGGCACTGCGAGCGCTAAAGCTTATAGACGAGTAAGTCCATATCCGCATGCAGCGAGGATTCACAAAACCAAACTTGAGTCTTTCAATTTCAAGATGAACTTATAAAAATCTTGTTAGCACCTTGATATGCAATCCCTTTAGTACTCCAAAAAACTCCCTAAAATTCCATAATAAATAAATATTATTCCCTTGTTTCCCATTAAAATATTAAGCCCCAATTTCGTCTTAGAAAATGTTATTTATTGGGTTTTGCCTTCCGTGCGTCACATCCGACTTGGTATCGTATAAATATAAATATTAGTCAGGTAGGCGAATATACTCGTATATGTTAGTCTTAATACATTTTTAAGCATTAATGCAATTTGGCTAATTGAAATACATATGCATGAAGTAGTAACCTCGTGGGGCCCATCAGAAAAACTCTAGCCGACGTCATCACAACGGCGGATAGGCGTTCTTCGCGTAATTGGCGGCCACGCAGTAGTTGGTGGCTCCAAAGAAGGAACAGACACCGCTGTTGGTGGCCGGATTCGTACCGAATCCTCCATAGCAGTTCGTATAATTCTGGCACGAACGCAGTTCAAGTGGTCCAAAATTTAGGGCATATGCCCCTGGGGGCGGCGGTGGCGGTGGGTGTGGCAGATTGGCATATTTGTGCATATTATTGCTAATGGGGGCCGGCACCAGCTGAGGAGCTGTATCTAACAGAGGCCTCGAGCCCACGCTTCGCTCATTCCGCCGGAATTTCGCCCGGCGATTCTGAAACCAGACCTGAAACATGATTCCAAGTAATTGATTAAGGAATTTAGCTTCATTGGAATGAATAGGCTATTGGCTGGCCAACATATCGGCGGTTGGGATTGGGGTTAACTATGCAAATAGCGCCTAATATTGAGCTTAAGCTGGTGCAATAATCTGAAGATTAACTGGAATTTCAATCAGATAATAGCTTTCATTTTTACTATAAGTTTAGGTAAAATGTTTGTAAGAGTTAAGTGTTTTCAGGAAATATGGCTAATGTTTATAATTAAATTTATATTTAAGTTTTAAGTTTTTCTTTGATTAAACGGATTAAGGCTTAGTCAATTGGAAACTTGCAATACAAATGTTTTTATTCTAATTCCTGTCCTTAATTAGTTCTCTTGTAAATACATAAAAGACTTCTAACAAGGAAATCATTAAATTGTAGAAACAATAGAAAGCACAGCAATGCTGTGTACACATCTGTACTTCTTATGTCATCTAAATATACATATATCATATGTAAATCCAAACAATAGCCTTCAAAACATAATACGTTCAATCAATGTAAACTGTCAGTAAAAGGAAATAAATGCGGATAATTCAGTTTAAAGTGAGAGAAACAAATTAATGGCTTTCTGACATTTCTGATATACTTTATTAATTAATTTTGCTTGTGCAATTAGTTAGTCGTGTGGTTAATGCAGGGAATGTTTTATAGACATAGTTCAAGGAATAATGTAATTAAAAACCCACCTGAACTCTTGCCTCACTCAGATGCACCTTGGTGGCCAGCTCCTCGCGAACAAAGGCATCCGGATAGTGGGTTCTCTCGAATACCTTCTCCAGGGCCGTCAGTTGGGCGGAGCTGAAGGTGGTGCGATTGCGGCGCGGCTTCCTCGAGTGGCCAACAGGGAGATTTCCGGAGCAAGCAGCTCCACCATTTCCTCCACCAACGCCAGCGGTGCCTGCAATCAGGGAGCCATTAAATTGGGAATTTTCACTTTTACTTTTGGGTTCTCAGCTTCAGAAGCCTGAGGGGGCTGAATGCAAAATCCCTCTTTGACGGACAGACGGATGATGGTGAAGAGGGTGGTAAGAGGTAAGGGGTAACCAGCTCGTAAATAATCGATAAGAGCCAACGGATATCAATTAATTTGGAAGCCAGCTAGGAATTTTCGTTACTTTTATGGGTTGTCGTTAACACATAAAATTTTGCATTCCGTTTGATCCATCGTTTTGGGGTAAGAAGCTAAGGTGGCAACGGGGAAGGGGAAGGTGAAGGAGGGGCAGGGTCGTAAACAAATGGCATGAACCATAAAATATCTTTTGACGACATCGGCGGACAGCTGTCTACTAATTTCGTCGCCCAACAAACATGAGCTAGCACATTTACGATCTATTAATTAAAGTGAAATTGTGACATTAAGCGGTCATAAGCGAGCTCTCTCTCCTTCTGTGCTGCCATTAATTGATTTTCCATAGAATTCGCTTTGGAAATCGTTTTACAAAAGATTAAAGATATTTTCTCTTGAATTTTCTATTTTAGAGGTAATTGGTGAGGACGCCAGGGAAAGACTTTAAGTTAACAACGAATAAAACTTAAGTGGTTTTCCCTAAGCAAATATTAAATATTCTACATTATCATATAATAATATAAACTGGGCTTATATTTCTATACTTTTATGTTTGGCAAAGCCATTACCGACTATCATTTTATATTAAATCTGGAAGTTTTGTTTTAAAGGCCTTAAAACAGATTTAAATATCCATTATTTCGCTTTGCTTTATTTAGATTTGCAGCAGATTTAAAGCAGGGTATTTTTTAAAGTTTTATAAGTTGTGTCCTTAAATAGATTAATATAAAAGGATTACAAAATTATTTATATATCTTTGATGACATTTCAATCAATTCAATCCTTTAAAATGGTTCAACGCTAAGGCTTATAGATCACTTTCGTTTTTGGGTACGCTTAGGATGGCATTAATTTCCTTCTTTTTTATGTATGTTTATAAATAATGTTAAAAATATGAATATAAAATTGTGATGCTTTTGCTAATTGCAAAATATATTTTTATTTGAAAATTAGTAATATAATTAATTAGTTTTTTCTTTTTTGTCTCTAATTTATTTTGAGTAAATTATCCAGTTACCCTGACTTGCTCTTTCTATATTTGCGACTTATTTCGCTTTTAATTCTGCAGAAGTAGAAAGGATTTTAAACCTACATTGCTTTTTAATTAAGTCTGTTTTCTCCTTGTCTATTTCCTTTTTCTGAGTTGTATCGATAAATTGCTTCTGATTTCTCCGTCTTGCAGCATGTTGGCTGGAATTCCTTGGTGCAACTTCAGGGTGGCCATTGCGGTGACTATCCCTATCAACATCAGATATACTCCTCTACCCACGCCATTTGTCTCAATTTGTCAGCCAAGCTGTCCACAGAGTTGGGAACTGCATCGTAGATCAGCCTCGCAGAGCACTTCATATACATACGGAAAAAATGGGAAATCGGAGCAACTGCATCGGCAACTGATGTCCCCGGGGAGATTGGTAAGGGATTTAGGGTGTGAGTGAAGGGAAGATCTTTAATTTGAATTGCCAACGAGTGATAAAAAACAGTTGCGGCTTAATAAAAAACCAACAAATCGAAAGGGAAACCTCAATCAGATTTGTTCAATGGCAGCCGCAAGGGGTGAAGAATGACTGAGGCGTTACACTGGGAGAAACTTTTGTTAAATTCAATATTTTCAAATTAAAATTAAATTAGGGAGTTTCATAGCAAATATTATATATATATATATATAGACAGACAAATATTTAAATATTAAAACAAGTAAAAGAAGACATGAAGGGTAGATTGATAAACTATTATAACTATTTTTATAATATTAACTGCACTTCAGATTGCATTTTTGGCTCCTGAATGGTTTTATTTCCAAATTAACTCACTAAATATTCTTGTAATTTTAGCTAACTTATTTCTCAGTGCTAGGATGCAACTGGCACATGTTACAATCCAATGGAGCGACGAAAATAAACGAGGGAAGGGCAAGGGAAGGGGGACGGAGTGCGTGCTGCTGCGTCTGGGACTGGTTACAGTGGGACTGGCGTTTTATATGCTCCACTTGGAAATTATAGTCGTGGTAGCTACTCGCTACCTCGGATGCTTCAAAGGCATGCGGCCACTGAGGGAATATCATGTCAGCTTTGATTACGTTTTGTCATGTTGACAATGTTGAAGTGTTGTCGGCTCGGAAATGTTTCCTCTGCCACAGTAAAGAACAAGAACAAAAAAAAAAGATAAAATAAAGAAATCTAGCATCGAGGAACGAGAATGGAAAAAGTTTATATGAACTCGTTACGTATTGTTAGAGTTTCTGCGAGAATTTCGTGAGATTTTCCTTTTTGACTAGGATTTCGCTGCAAATTATGCTGAAGTTGACAACCAGTAGCAATATGTTGACAGTTTCCTCTCGGTGGGTTAATACAGCAAAATAGCGCAGGCCAAGGGGGGTTAAAGCCACAACCGCAACAGGAAAAATGCACGGAGATGACATTGCACCGGCATTGGGAGAAACGAAATGAGCGAATGTCGCCCACATCTGGCACCTAATTGTCATCCACGAGTTGCCCCACAAGCCATATTTATATACGAACCCATACCAAAAACATATATATTATATATATCTGTGTGTATAAACCAACTTATTTATGCATGTGTAAAGATATAGCCATGATTATGCAGTTGTGCGAATAATGTCATAAGTTCTCTTGGCTCGCATCTCAGATGTATTTATCATTTATGAATTAGGCCAGAGGCGCCCAGGCTAAGCCCCACAAAGTCTTAGTTTGGGATTTATATATAGTAGAATATCTGAACATCGTTAACTCCTTTGGCATTACGCATTCTGTTGCACACCTGGTAATTACGGCAATTAAAATGCCTTTAAAGATAAATGAGCTTTGGTGACACCTCGTTTAAGGTATATTAAATGTGCTGTTTTGTGAAATTAAAAGTTGGTGAGTTGCATGAAGAGATAATAATAGATTTAGGTAAGCAACTCCATTAAACAGGCTAACTAGTTTTTATGATTCTTTTTATATTGCTGATAAAGAATCTTAAAAATTCTATTAAAAACCTTCATAGTTCACATAAAAAGTGAAATTCTATTAGGTATTATCACTTAATGTTCATTTAAGATGTTAGTTTCAGTTTTCATAAAAACTTTTACTAAGTTTCAGATTAAAAATGATTGCGGAAATATTTAAATAAATTTACTTTTCCTTTTTGTAGTCACTCTAACTCACCGTAATTGTTGTTGTTGAGTTCCATGGCAATTTTGCCCTTGGCATAGGCATCGTGTTTCATATCCATGATGTTGTCAACCGAGAATCTGTGAATTTTTTCCATATTCCGGACACTCTCCTCGCGATCATTCAGCTTATCCTCGGACTCAAGATTATGCGACTGATGGGAAGGATAAACCTCACCGGAAACTGTCAGGGAGTGCGAACCCGTCGGTCCGTAGTAGAAATTTCCCGGATTACCGACGGGCAGAGAATGCAATTGCTGCTGATAGTTTAACATGCTTAAAAATTCGGCGGTGAATTTAGAATTAAGAACTTGTTTATTTTATAACTTTTAAAACTATCAATTAAGGTAGATCACGATCTGTAGATAATGCAAGTGATTTTTAATTTGAAACTAAATTCTTGATTTGTCCGATTGATTCAATTAATTTGTGTTCTGCTCGCCTGCCACGATTGGGGGCATCCTGTGCGAACTTGGTAATTGGATTAGCACACAACACATAAACGAGTTAATTACGATAATTGTCGCGACGATACTAAACCGTGCCAAAGTCGTGTGCCCACTGAAATTAGCCTCAAAATCGAAAGAGTGTGCCCTGCCTCGCTCGTCGAGAGATCTCATCCCATTCCATCCCATCCCCCAGAAGAATCGAATCCGAAACAAACATATGTGTTTCTGTTCAAGATCTCTCAGATTCTAGCAATTCTGCGCCTAATTATAGCCAAGCGATCTTTCATTGGCTGTTGGCCTGGGATGCCGTCTCTTCCATTTCGTCGGCCGACATCTTGGGGGCGTTTCCTTTCAAGTGACTGGAAAACTGCTTGAAATACGAGGTGAAAAGTATCAACAAGTTTTGAGCATTTAAGTAGCAATAAATACCAATTAGCCAGAGGGTTTTGCTCTCTCCGGTTCACATTGTCCTGGCCTGTCAACACACAGACCATGTGTCTTTGTTGCTGTCGTCCTGATTTGGTGCTCCCATTTCGCAGCGCAGGATGTGCTCAGTTGCATCTGAAGTAGTTTCGGGCAACATCGGGGCATAAATCTTGGCACGCACAGTGTTTGTCATCCTCCTGAGCTAATTTCCATAACCACAACATGTTGTTCACTTTCCCCGGCAAACTGGAGCGATGGTTATCGGAAGGCTGGGCGGAACTGGTTAGTTAAGTGCATGTTTGTGGATCTTTGCCGTTGTGCAGCTGTGTTTGACTTTACCTTCGAAGGTGTTTCCATATTGTCTTACAATGTCCTCAGTCAATATGTTCGGCATGTGAAGATATAGACGGTCAGGCGATAGGAATCTAGGCCATTCATATTAATAGTGCTGGGCTTATTTAGGCATTCAAATTCATTATTATTCTTTCTTTTAATATAAAATCAATAATATTTAAATCTGACTTAATCTAAAGACTAAGGGTTTCCAAAATTAAACACCTAACGTTGGCCTTCTTTCATTTTCAGACTTGTTGACCAAACTTTCTGACTTGAATCCTAAGCTTTCCTGCGACACATGATAACCCACATCAAGGCTTTCCTTAGACTTAACTATTTTCGGAGAATGAGGTCTGCCGCTCATTAGTTGTCCCCTGGAAAAGCTGGCCATTAATATTCTAATATTCTTCATCTCCAGTTTTGGCGAAAAAGGAGCAGCTTGGCGGGAATGCCGGCTAACGTACATACATTTTCCCTTCCAAATTGAGCTGTCACAAAAGTTTATCCAAACTACTTGACACTTCGCTGCCGGTTTTTGGCTACGGTTTCCCACCTGCAAAGGGGAGCAGCCTCGTCCGGTTCGCTTCTAGTAAATTATCTCACGTTTTCGTGTGCGAAAAGTTCTTGAGGAATGTTGCGGTGTGTATTTTTAATAAAACTTCAAAGTTTCCTACTTCCCACGCTTTACTATGTCTCGCAAACGTTTTTCATCCCTAGCTCAATTTTCCTTCGTTTTTCGGGCGGATCCGTCTGTTTTATTTTATTTTTTATTTTTTTAACTCTTGGAATTCTTTGTCACGAAACATTTCTCGCGTGCTGCTGTTGCTGCTTCTGCTGGTGATGTTGCTAGTGTTTTGTGGGTGTTATCCATGTAATATGGTTACCCAGACAAACTTTAGCCGGCGAAATTCTTCTGGCAAGTCAGAATTCGAGGAGACAGTTTTAATGCTGTCAGATAGCAGCAAAGTAAGTAAACTTGTCAGACTCCTCCTCGGAGGCTGGAGGTTGGGTAAATGTCGGGAAAATATCGAATATTATATGGGATTCTTTAACGGGATAAGTATGCGCAGGTAATGTCGATTACGATGTCAAAACTATGCGTTGTATTTGCAAGACTTTTGTGATGGCTTCTGCAAAGCCTGAAAATGAGAGTGTAATATGTTTTTTATAAAAGAAACTTACTTTAATTTACATTATTTTAGATTCTTAAATTCGTCATGTGCTGAAGTTAATAATTTAACACACTTAAAACACACATCAAACCCTGTCTCAGGAAATCATCAATCCAAATTCCAGGAACATGAGATGCGCAATACATCAAGCCGTGACAGTCTCTAAACCAGTTTGGCAGTTTTTCTAGTTTCCCGCACACATTTTACAATTTCAATTTCCTTTGAGTAACTCAAAAGCGGGTGTTTGGCCAAGTTCCTTTGAAGTTCATGTTGTTTGTCAAGAAAATGAATTTCACTTGACGGCGATTATGTGGCAAGCATTTAAACGGTTTTCGTTCAATTTACTGTTGTTGCTTTCGTGAAAGTTTTGTAAAACATTTCCGATGTTTCAGAATATTACCGAGCCAAAGCGGAACCGCAGAACACAAGTACGACCTCCTGTGCAACATCGCTGGAACCCATCATGCGCTCCTCGTCTATGTCTAAGCCGAAAAATGCCAAACACGAATGGCACACGCTCCCTGACAGCGGCAAAATCGCAGCAAGGGGAGGGTGCAAAAGTTTTGCCTAAATCACTTAACAGAAAACAAGTGTTGGCATGTGCCCTCCGTCCCGCCGGACTTCCTGCCCTTCATTTGAAGGGGTCGTCTCCCGGAGACGACTCCACGCGCATCCCCTACACCAAGCAGAAATATCGTAAAAGTTGCAATGGAAACTTTTGGCATACCTATTGGAGAAACCGAAAAATAGGATATGCTAGAATTAATCAAAAGCAGTTAGCAAAAGAGGAAGTTAGGTAAATAACTTAAACTTAAGGAACCTCATCAACGACACACTTAATTTAAATAATAACATAAGCATTTCACATTATAAATACAAATCCTCAACTGACATCACAGGGTATTTAATACTCTAACCTTGGCTTAGGTCCTTCCTATTCCGACTTCTTGTTGGGTTATTCGCGATATGTAGGAATCAGGCATCACAACAAATTTGACGGCAAATGAAATATAATAACAAGAAGTAACCGGAAGCATCAGGTTCGGAAACTTTGCTGCCCGGCCACGCCCACTTCCATCTGCTCCCGATTTAGGGGGCACAATGCGTAAACAGAAAATCAATTACATGCTGCATGTATAGAGAGCGAGAGAGAGAAGGGTTGACAGGCGCCCTCTGGCGGCGTGCAGCTGTCAATGGGGCAGGTTAAAAAATCAAATTGAGCGGTATTAAAGTTGTTAAGGCTGTAGTAATACCTGATATATTAATTATACATAATTCCAAGAAGATTAAAAATTATTATATGACATAAATGTGCCTGCTTGTATTTTTAGTTATGTGATAATCAAAATATATTTTTATTTCAGCGTTTAAATATCGCTTTAATTTTTTAGAAGGAAGGTAAATAAATAAATAACGCGTACATGTGCATAGTTATTCTAACTATCAACAGAAACAAACTTCCCAAGAAGTTAGTCACAACCCGAAATGCACACAACTTTTAAAGGGGTATGAGTTTAGGAAAGTAAAAGGAGATTTACATTAATTACGGCACGGAAAAGCTTCTTGACTTTTATTGTGACATAGGCCTGGCAACTTACTCACCCACACCCACAACCCAATCTGGCCTCTCCTTTCGTTTTTCACATACAAAACGCATGAATATTTTATGCTTCTCAGTAACCAGGACCAAGTGGGCGGCAGCAGTTTTAAAAGCCATGTTAAGAGACTTTCCGCCTCTGATACTTTCGCTTTGGACCTTCTTTCTGCTCAGATGTCCATTTGGACAGACACACATACACACTACTACTCACTACCATTTGGGTTAGTCGTCGTTTTCGGACTTTTCGGCTGGCCAACATCAATTTTTCAGAGCTTTGACCAAGGCAAAAATGTTGAGGCATTTTCGATTTTTGCTCCTTGTTTGGCTCTTAAATGGTTTGCATAATTTATGCATTTTTTATGCCAAACATTTGAATTTTGCTGAGCCGTAACGAAGTCGACCATCGAGTCCAAGCTTGGCCCATTTAATATTTATCCAGCTGAGATTGAAAGAGATTACAGTCTTCAATAAGGACTGCCAATTGTTTTTCCCTGTACTAAAAACTCGGACATTCTACTATCCTGTACACTCTAATGAATTTTAATTAATGTTTTTGCAAACACTATTTCCAAGTCAGGCTCACTGGCCGATAGCCCCTGGGACCTGGGATCGTATTTATTCACGGGAATTGGAATTTTTGATGCCTTGTCGGCACGCAAGAGCATCAGCAGCAGCATCAACAAATCCAACCGCAGAACACGACAAATACCACAAAATGTGGTTTTGCCAAAACCTGATGGGGTTATCACAGTCCCAGCTTATTCATGCAATGTTCTCTATTTCGGGAGAATTTATGAAAATTATGCTTTCATCTGTAAAGAGGAAATGCATTGCCTTGGTATATGAAAAACTTAATTTTAACATACACTTGTGGAAAATCTGTTATTTAATTAGGTACCTATATTAGACCTGTTTCTGAAAATAAGTTCCGTTGTAAGCAATATTTTGTCACTTAATGGAAAATGAATGTAATTACTTTCCCCCATTAACTTAATTACATTTTCTGTTATCAATTGACTTGCCGGGTCAACTTTCACATCGCCTAAAGGAGTCGTTGTTAAGAAAGAAATAAGGTCTCTCAGCTAACGAGTTTGCAATTTTCGATGAAGATGCACTGCACAGTGGCTCAATCACTTTCCCTTTTTCTGATTTCAATTTCCATTCCATTTCTTTTGCAAAGCCCGTCCTTTCCACCCATTTTCCACGATAAGGCATCGGAAGCTCTAATTGCATCTGATTGCAGTGACAGTTTTTCCTACCAACTGACAGCTACACAGAGCGGCAACGAAAAAGGAGGATGCAAAGGAGTTATGGTACGGCTGTGAGTCCTGAGTACTCAGCCCTGAGTACCCGTACATCCGTTCCGTATCCGTTGATTTTCAATCCGCGTTGTTCCTTCCTTAACTGTTTGCTCCGCTGTTCTCCTGCTCACTCGCTGCACTCTGCTCATCCGGAGACAATCGTGAGCGAAATTTAAATGCTGCTGACTGTGCAGCTCACTGAATGTCAACTATACAGAAACACGATGGAAAAAAAATAAAAAAACAACTAACGCAGGAAAAAATTTCAATTGAAAATGTTCAATCAACAAAATGGCATTCCTATCAAATAAAATGTTGAAGGCGATTCTTAAGATCTGGGGCAAAATTAATTTCAAGTTTGTAATAAGATGAAGTTTACTTTTCAGTTATGGCACTTATGTTGGATCTAGACAACAGTATTATGCTATTACTCAATTATTATTCAGTTTTTTTTAGGCGTGCTGTTAAGTTTGCTTTTTGAAATGTAAAGAAGGTAGCTTTTTTGCAGATTTAACTAGGATTTATGTGAGTTTTAGGCATGGGTTTTGAGAAGAATTTCAAAGCTTTTATCTAAAAGATTATTAAAAGATTAATAAAAATCTCAAGCCGCATATAAAATTTGTGCAGTTTATGGACCCGATACAGTTTCCATTTCAACCGCACAACAATGGAATCAACGTTTTCGTAGAGGTGGTCGAAGATGCGACACGCTTCGTGTTTTTTGCCAATAGGGAAGCGAGCTTCTATGAGAGGGGCATTATGAAGTTGGCATCTCGTTGGGAACGCATTATGTAACCAATTTTATACCGCAAGACTTTTTTGACAACCTAATATAAAACTATTAACTATTTTGTTAATGTAAACATAAATATATGTTATGTTATTTGAAACCTGAAATGGCCCATCACTAAGACTTTCTTATTTAACTTTTATACTTATTTTAAGGAAAGGCTCTCGCAATTTCTGCTGCTATATTTTCAGTTAAAATATGCTGAGAAATTTCCCTTTCGTCCTTAAGTCCTCCTGATCCCTTTGGCCCGTCAATCCACTCGAGCTGCTGCACTATGGATCTGCATTGCATTTCTGTCGCATTAATAAAATGCCATTTCCAGCGTGAAGGCAGACATCATTATTTTAAAAATTCAGTCGTTGCATAATAATGAATCCATATACTCGCGCATGCCATATGCCAAACAGTCGACTCTGATGGTCCAGGCCAAAAATTAATGAGTGGGCGTGAGCAATTGTTGCACGCCTTCGCCGTCTTGGCTGCTTAAGTTCGGCAAAGAGATAAATCAAGGGGAAACTTTTTCAACGGCAATCCTGGGGAATATTTAATGGCAAGATTCTGTGGCCAAAATCCACATGGCTACGGATTAGGCCAGGTCAGGATGAAATACCGTCCTGAGGCGTGAGCGGATTTTCGCCCCGAGCTTAATGTGCCATCGCATATAAAAAGGTGTTGCTTCGCCTGTCTCTTTCTTTTTATGTCCCTCTCTAAAACACAGATACACACACATGGAATAATGGTGCCAGGTGTGTGTGTACATTAAAGGCCATAAAAAATTCATAAAATGCATTTCTCGCAAGCCAAAATACCAAACACCCAACATGCAAAGTCCGCAAACAAAACATAAATTTTAAAACACGTGTGGACAATATAGAATAGCAGTCCTAAAGATCCCTACATGCCGGATTATAAACTAACCTCAAATCGTAATTAAAACACTTGAGAACTTTACGTTTATCATTCGGGGTTTTTATTAGGCGCTTCTAAGACCTTTTCCTGGATTTACTAGGACTTCTTCTTGGATGAACCTCCTTCACGCAAGCCATTGCGGAAACGGCGGCGCAACTTCTTAAGGTACCGCATCCTTCCAGTTCCCTGGGCCTTACGTCCCTTGGCCTTTCGGGACCAGTTAAAGGAACGACACTTGGCATCGGGATAGCCACATTGGGAGCACTTTGATTTCTGGAGGTGGAACGACGAAGTCCCACAACGGCGACAGATTGTATGGGTCTTATTATGGCGCTTGCCAAAGCTTGTTGTTCCCTTGGTCATCTCTGTAAGGTAGATTCCTCCAAAATTGGTAATAATTAATAGCTTCAGGACGTTTTGTTAGGAAAGGAATGACAAGCCAAAAGACAGATTTTAGAGATGACAGCTGTGGTTAAAAAACATTCGATGTTTATTTAAAAGTCTTATCGATGAAAGCTAAAAAGTTAATATGCATTTCGTTAATACTAAAGTATTTTACAGGGAAATCGATTAAATTATTTCAGAAATTATTTTTAGCGCTAACAAATACTTCTTTAGAACTCGCAATTTTCGAACTTTATCATTTTTTAAACACTTCTTATTGTTCAGATAAAAGCAGTGCACCGAAAAGCATTTTATAAAGTTAAAACTAACTTTGGCTGCTAATATTCAACATTTCCCTTTACATTTTTACCAATAAATGCCCATAAAAATGCTGAGAAATAGTCAAATCAAATGCCAAACTTCCGAATGATATTTAAGCAGAAAATGTCAAAACTTGAAGTTTGATTTTCCGTTTGCATTTACCATTGTTAACCTAATCTGCGGGAAACCGAAATGCCACTATCACGTGCGTGACATTTGCCAATTGCTGCGAAATTGCGCGCAAATTATATCAATCTCCCCGCGTAATCATTGAAAACTTATCAATTTTCCAGAAGCCAAACCGAGCCAGACGGAGTTCGCAATCGCAATCGCAATCGCAGGGACCTTGGAAAAATGAAAGAAAATCAAATATTTATGATATGTTTGAGCAACATTTTGCTGCCGCTGTTGCCTGGCGGCAAAAGTAAACTACAAATTTTTCCTTTTCGGCTGCATTTTTCGTTTGGCTTGGCGTTTGGATTTATGTGCGTGGCGTTTGAAAATTCAATTTAATTCTAATTTTTTTTTTCGTACCACCGCGGCTGGTGCTGTGGGATATCCTATGAATTTTTCAGGCACTCTTGCTGAGGCCTTCTCCAGTTTTCTCCTTTGCATATCGAGCAAGTTATGGTTCGGCGGGAATTGTGTTAGCTGTGGCGGGATTCAGATTTCTGTTAGCAGCCATAAAGTGTTCTTGCTGGGCTGCAGTTTTCTTGGGAGAAGACCAGGCCAAAGGCTTATTACAAACTTATATCTATCTGAACGCTACTGGTTAGAATGTATAATCTATCAATAAACTGATATATATCAGCTTGATTACCTTTATTAGATTTATTTCAAAATATTGAACTATTTGGAAAAGAAATTGAAAAATATAAATTAGTTCTCAAAAATCCCTCTGAAAAAGGAAACTTTCATCCACATGTTGGTCATCCACTTGACTTTGTGCCCTTGCAGTATAAATGACCAACTTCGTGCCACAGAGAGAGGTTCATAGCTCGCAGCTCAGCCTTGTACATCTCAGCGTCCCTTTGGAAAAGTGCGATCATCTGAATTTTCCTCACCTTTGCAATCACCTTCTGCATACAACTCAATTCCGTATTGATTGGGGCTACAACGGAATCGATTGGACTGCCCTTTCCGCCGCATTGGCAATCGAGTTTCGCCGCGAGTCTGGAAGGGAAAATGATGAAGTTTTTCAGCCTTTAATTGTATTTGCAGATCTTACATATGAGACATATTGGTTATGGATATTAAGATTATATATGTTAGAGTTATTTTGTTAGTGATAGTTTGTTCAATGCTAACTAGTTTGTAGTGTTTATCAGTATTAAAGATATTAAATTACAAGATATCAGCCGTCTTGTGTGAGTCATGAGTAACCTAATTACCTCTTTAATACGCAAAACAACATATATCACAGATATAAATAAAGTCTTTATTAATGATTAAGTACCTTATCAAAAGTAAATATTGAACTCATGTTCAGTGTGATTCCTTAACAATCGATAGACCCTATTGATGTTAAAATATGTTGCATTGTTAGCCCAAGCAAGCCGAGTCATTCCGCCGATCCAAGTGCCGGATTGTGTGTCCCGGGATAACGATGAGGAGGAGCCGTAGCCGTGGCTCAGTGGCAATGCATTATGCTAAAATGTCTCCGGTTCCATCCATTCGATTGTCTGCCTGTCTCTCTGTCGGTCTGTCCGTCCGGCAGTATGTCTGCTCCTCCGATTCCTATTCCGATTTCCATTCCGATTCTCCGGATGCTTCGGCTGCTCTGCCTGCTGCTGGCTGCTCCGGCAATGCAATGTCGTGGCCTGTTGTTGGATGTCGGTGCGGGATTAAATTGCGACTTATGCTAAGCGAACTGATGGCGAGGGGCAAATTGAATGGAAGCTCGTTTATATTGCTCGAATTGCGGCAAAGTATTGATGCTGTCGCTGGATTTGTCACTGTCGCCGGGAGTTTCCCCAGCTAACCGGCAAGAAGACAGGACCAAGTTTATAAATGCCTGGCAATTGGCAGTACAAAAGAATCCCGGCCAGGCAATTTCCATTACCAACTGGCACATTCCTCAGGCAGTGCATGAAACAGCCATTATCGGTTTTCTAGGGCCCAATTACACATGCCTCGGCAGTTTATTGATGATGGTCTGACCTCCTGCTTAGTTCGGACTGGAAAGGGTCATATTCAAAAAGACTTTTCCAATATGAACTTTACAGTTTCATTTTAAAGTAATACGTGCATTTATTGGAACTACTCATTCAAATATAAAAAGGGTTTTATAATTCAACTTCGATTAGGTTGCAGCTCCCACTGAACCAGCAAAATAGAATGAGTAATAATTGAGTTCAGCATGGCTATCAATCGACCACGTTCCATTTTAAAAAGTCCAAGGACATAGAATTCATAGGGGTCACGGGCGAACTGCAACTGGAAGTTCTCAAACTGTAAGGCAGAAATAATGTTACTAAGAATAACAAACTATGATCAACCTACTGTTGTCTCCAATCGTTTATCCAATTCTCGAGTAAATAAAGTGCGTTCTGCCAATATTCGGTTAACCTCTTCTTGCTGATCGAGAATATTAAATCCAATATTTATTGAAACCCAGTTGTCTGCATAGAAGAAAGCCGTTGATAATCCAATCAAAACCAATCCCCAATGCGAGGAACCAAATCCTGTTGTATTGTACAAAACCGAACAGAAGGTGAAGTAAATCGAGCCCATGGTAGAGAGATAGTAGACCAAGCTCATGCTAAAGCTTTGTATCTGGAAAATCTCCGACATTTTGTTGATTGTTTTATGCAAGGTTGAATGTCGTTCAGCTAAGTGGTCCAGTTTATCTGCCAAAGAGCAACATTTGACAGAGAAAACTCCTCCGCGACGATTGCGAATTGAGCAAATGGTTTCAGCCTCACGAACTAAGTGCCGCAGATCTCGATGTAGAATATTATAGAGGCCAAGAACTTGCAGTATAGCCAAATAATACTGAAACACTATCATGTTGAATATGGTGGTAAACACAGTCCACATAACGAGATTGATAGCCAGGTCGAAAGTAATTCTTTTCCGCTGAGCACTTATATCCAAAATCGTGTGCATGGAGTCCGATAGAACACAAACAACAAATTTCAAAAGTATGCTCTTGCGGTACTCGTGTACCACCTTTGGCTTTTCGCTAATCATTCGAATTAATTGATTCCACAATCTAATGATCCTGTAACGCTGAAACCATCTAGTAATCAGAGAGAGCAGCACAGCGAAGTTCCGAACCACCGTCATAAGCATGAAGAAGTACTCATGGAGATGCTTGGCGTTTGTAAAATTCGATTTCAAAGAGTTATCTTTGAGACTAATCAAGCACAGCATAGTTATTAGACTTATATTATGGACTGCTGCATATATCGTAACTCGTCGGGTGACAATGGCTTTCCCCGTTGGCCAATCCACTTCAAAGTTGAGTACTCCCACCAGAAGACCATAAAAATAAGCTAAGCGCAGAATCGGCTTCACAAACTCGACCATGGTTCACGACTGAATTGGAACACCCGTAAGCGCCGACTCAGTGATGAACACGTACGCAATTCAATCAATATGATTGGGGGCCAATGGGGAAAAGCTATTAGTCAATGATTGATTTCAATAGAAACTAGAAAAGACTATTATTTGCCCACTACTCACTTATTATCAAAAAGGGTAGCTGTACTGATATCTAGATTCATTGGACAGTAGTATCTAATGGGGCACTTATTATACTATAATTAATAATATTTTAATAGATATATTTATTATTGACTCATGTTAAGTCGATAAGAATGATAAAAAGACTTTATGACTTATTATTCGTGTGCTCAATCCACTTATTTTTACTTTCCATATTTTTTAATAAGAATAATAAGTAAAGAACTTTGATAAAGGGAATCCGTGAGTGAAAAGCCCACTAAGCCCGGAATATCTAATATCTCAATCTTACAAAACACGGTATGAACTATTCTATTTGCTGGAATTTTTTTTTGTTTAATTACACCCGTGACTCGGGGAGTAAAAGGGTCTAATGTATTCGTTAAAGAGCATGTGACAGGTAGAAGGAACTATAAGAGGCACAAAGTTCAAATTAATCATGAAGCTTCTTAAGCTTCTTGAGATATGAGGAAGCGCAAGTTTGTTTCGGATGGACGCCTACTCTTAGACTTATATGACCACCCACAAAGCGGGAAAAACGATATCATCCATAAAATAAATAAGTATGTTTCGTTTGATTACTTGTAAATACCTGTAGATTTTTCAACAATTTATTTTTAAAGACCTCACAAGGACATTGATGAATGTGCCATATATAGTTCTGGCATATGTAAGGATTTTCCTCGGTGTCAATATGTTTAAGAAATATTATTCTTTTAAAATTGGTTAACACAGTAACCTTATCTCCCAGGAGCGGAACTCGAATATAGCGTTTCTTCTTGTTGTCAGGTAGAAGGAAGTACCATTACCCCGCCAAGTCTACTATTAAGCTCACCAAGCTCGAAAGGCGGTTTTCGCTTTTTGAAGAAAGGCTGATAATTTGGTAACTATAAGTGATGGAAAGTTGGGTTAAGAGTGTGGTTTTTTATGATGCCCCCAATGCGAATTAGTCTTTTCCCATCTAGCCAAGCTCAGAGTTCACGCCAAAAGAACTCGGAAAACCAAAAATTAAAAATTTTGGGAACTATTACAGCTAGAAAGTTAGGCTTAGGAATACTTATTTTGGAAATGCCACTGCAACTCGACGTGAGTTTTCATCCGGCCCGGGCCACTCTAACGCCCACATGCCGCGGAAAACTGTGGCTTCCAAAATATTATAATGAATGTCTTCGTTTGACCTTGTATAACAAGTTTAATAACTATCGTTTACCAAAGATTTTGCAAATCGGAACATTATTTTGCCATTTATGAAGAAATTTAGCTGATAAGGCCTCACATGGTCAGTGAGTCAGCACCAGTTAGTAAACATGATTTTCTGACAAAAAGGAGGTGCTTTGGCAAAATGAATATTTTAAAATTGTGTAAAACAGTAAGCCTTAAGCTGTAGTTGCGTCACTCGACTATAGCGCTTCTTGTTGTTTTTTAATACAATAGATTCACTTCCCTTTAAATAAAAAAAACAATAAAGCCTTTGATAAACATTCATATTATTCGAGCATTTGGTTCTTTAAAAAAAAGTCTATTTGGTGTTGTGGTAATGTTACCATTAAGTTAAATACACTTTTTCATTGCGTTATCTTTACAAATTTAGAAGTATTCAATATCATATTGTATTAGTATTACAAGGTGAGCTAAAAAGACGTTAAGCAAGGAAAAGCATTCGGGTCGATCAATTTTAAATAAGCCCAGAAAACGCAGCTGTAGTGGATTTCGGGCGAGGTTCAGAGTGAAGGTGTCTATCTGAAAAAAAACTAGAAAGCATAAAATGAGTAAAATTGTTTTCGACTCACAACTGCCTCCAATCTTCGGTCCAAACTTCGATGAAATAGGGTCCGCTCACTTAGAATATCGACCGTCTCTTTGTGGGCGTCCAGCAGGTAAAATATACAACTTAAGTTTAGCCAACAATCAATGGAGTAGGCAACGATGAATGGAGGGAAAATCGCGACGGATGTCCAATCCGTTTTATTAAAGCTGAACAGCAAGTAGAAATTTGCAAGCATGTTTAAATAATAAATGATCACCATGCAAACGATCTGGACCTGGTAGGTTCCTAAAAGTCGATCGATGATCGCCTGCAAATCCGACTGGCATTGAGCTAATCGTTCCAAGCGATCGGCAAGATTGCAACATGAAGTTATAAATTCTTCACGTTGGACTGGATCCAGAGATAGGGTTTCTTCTACAATTGATCGCAAGTCCTTATTAAGGAGAATGTAGCGTCCACGAATAATCGCCATTGCATAAAAGTACTCTGTAATAATACCATTTATTATGGCCGTTAGGCTTAAGACGGCCCACATGCGTATAAAAAAGTTCACACTAATTTCTTCCCACATCATAACAAAGGTGATTATGCCTTGAAATGTTTCCGTAATTGAGATTATGATGCATTTGCTAACGATGCTTCTTTGGCAGTACTGTCCTATTTTTGGATTGTGTTGATAGAGGCGGCAGATTGAGTTAAACAAGCCAATAAATTTCCGGCGTTGAGTCCAGCGACTAACCAAAGCCAGGAAACAAAAAGTAATTCGGGAAATTGATATAACCAGATATATGTATTCGTGAAAACCATTTGCGTATTTCCAAGCAGCGGCCTTAGGAATAAACGTGACGAGATGGTAAGTAAGAGTGGTAAATAGGAGTAAGTGCGAGCAGGCCGCATATATTGTAGCCAGTTTGGTAACTTTCGTTCGACCCGTTTTCAAATCGATCTCGAAGTTTAAAATGCCAGTAAAACGGTCGTAAAAATATGAGGAGTAAAGACACCATTTCACTAGTCTAGCCATTGTGGGCTACTGAACCATAAAATGTGTCAGTTTGTTACTCAGCTCTCTGACTTCGATACTATGTCGCGTATGACTAATTGGCAGATATATCGTTTCATCTTGTATCTTCTTATTTATTGACTGTGTGATACATCAGTCTCTTAAACTAATTTCTATTACTTCAAAATGAAATTATTTTCTGATAAGGGCTTAAGGCGTTTGCTGTTATTAAAATTATTTTAAAACATTTTACAAATTTAAAAATATATATGATATCTGCCAATGACTCTGTCAAATGCAATTTAATATATTAATTCCCCAATTCCAGTTTGGCAATTAGTTTAGTTTTGAAGATTGTTGTCGATTATTTTGCCAATCGCCAATTTAGCGAGGTTTCGATCCTGGAAAATCGGTGTTCACGCTGTTTCCTAAAAATACTAAAAAACCAATTTTTTAGGGACATCAAAAACAATCTTTTTTTTAACAATATAAAGCTTTATATCTTAAGCTAAAACAAGCAATTGGCCTAGGCCAAGACAAATATTAATGAAAATATAATCTTCCTTAGAAATGGAATATGGAATTGAATAGGGCAAATAATGTAGATCGATTAATTCTAAAGAGCCCAAGAAATCGAAGCTCTAATGGATTCCGGGCCAGGTTCAGAGCGAAGCTATCGATCTAGAAATATATTTCTTAGCTTAAAAATATGATTATATCTATCCTTTTAGACTTACAAATGCCTCTAATCTAGCAATTTCACCATGTCTTCGTGGGCGTCTAGCAAGTTCAATATGTTTTAAGCGTTTAACATGAAATCAAGACAATGAACTATTATGAAGGCAATGTAGACCCCCCTTAATCATCATGGGCAGCTGAATATGATGTAAAAGCTTTCTACCAAATATAAATAGTTTGTGATAAGCAAGCAGACCACCTGACCTTTAAAAGCTTTTGTAAATCGTTCAATAAGTGCTTGTAAATCCGACTGGGATTGAGCTAATTTTCCCAAACGGTCGGCAAGGTTGCAACATGATGTTATGAATACTCCACGTCCATTTGGATTCAGGGACATTGTTTCAGCCATAATCGCTTTCAAATCTTTATTAAGGAGGATGTAGCGCGCTCACATTGATAATGGATGTCTGACTTAGGATTGCCCACATGCCCAAAGCCTGCATAATATTAAAATGTTTTCTTCCCTTTAGCAAAGCTGAAAATATATTAATGTCAGAGTTCAGTGGGTAACACTGACTCTGACTCTGACATGTGTGAATTATTTGTAAATGTGATATCTAGAATCACCTTATTTATTGTCACCCACTGGGCCCCCATGACATTATTTGTACTAAGATGGGTCTTCTGCAGTTTTACTACTAATTGAGTTAAAAGGAACTTTTTAATATTTATTTTATTAAGCGATTCTAATATAAAGCTCCGGGTGAAGCTGAAGATAATAAAAACAAATTTATCCAACTAAACAAAGAATTTATTACCATCGATTGTTAAGTTAATTTGTTGTAATTTGAGCTATTTAATTGAGCTAAGTACCAATACAGTTTGGGAGTCAGCTCATTTTTAAGGCAAGCCTCCAATTTAGCGAGGATCCGATCCTGTTGAATCGGCATTCGGGGTATTCCTCAAAAATACTAAAATTACTCTTTTTAAATATATTTTTAAATATATTAAATTATTATTTTTTTTAAATATATTAAGTTGTTGAGCTTGTCTGATCTCTTTTCTATGAGCTCAATTTCTGTTTAATTTTCTTAAGGACTTAGAAGTATCAGAATTCTTCGGATTAACTTTATAAGTGTAGTGTTTCCACTATTTATAATTAATAGGCAACGATGAATGGAGGGAAAATCACGTCGGATGTCAAATCCAAAGCCCAAACCATGCTTATTTCACGCAATGCTCATCTGTATTTAATTTTTCACTATTCAGGGCACCTGCTGCAACTGACTTCAATTCTTGGTGGATATACTACAAATTCTCCTACACAACTGAACGATGCTGCTTCCAAGTTAAAGGTTGGCAAAAAGAATCTTATGTACAACAGGACGAAACTACTATCCTCATCTGGATCACCCTCAGCTGCAATCAGCAAGGCAAGTTCCAGCAGATTGGTTGGTATGGGCTATTGATTAATTAAAAGTCTCCTACCTGCTCCCTTCCATGGACTTTTAGGATCTTATCTGGAAGATCGAGAGCTTAAGGTCAAAGTTAGAGATATATTCTCGAATAACTATCGAATGAGACCAGGCGTTCCTCAGAAGTTCCACTCTATTCGTTGTATACTTCTGGTATACCCAGCCCTAACGGTCAACATATGTTAGACCCCTTAAAAGCACATATTGCGACCTATGCGAATGACATTGCAGTCATGTTCAACTCCAGCTGTTAAAGAAAAGCAGCGAATGGACTACAGGAGTATCTTGTCACTATTGCAGCTTGGTGGAACCTGAAGATCAATCCGTTGAATACAACGAACACCTGTTTTACACTGAAAACGCCAATAATCAATACTCCTCTAATCCTAGAGCTAGAGGGAGTTAATCTAGAGCAGCAGTGGCAAGCGAAATATCTTGGCATTACCCTGGACAAACGCCTTAACTTTCATTCCACATCTCAAGAACACCGTTAATGCAATCTGGGGATCCAGCAAGTATGCTGGCTTGTAAATAGAAGGAGCAAGTTACCACTTAGATGCAAATTAGATTTGGGGGATTGCAGATAAATCCAATTACCAAAGGATTCAGGTGTTGCAACATCGAACCGAATCGAAGAATCATGACAAACTGTCCCTGGTAAGTGCGTGGCACCTTCATAGAGATTTGAAGTTGTTCAATGTGGAAGAGCAGATTGTAAGACACACAAGCAGATACAGTGACAGACTGGAAAAACATCGCTGCCTACTTGCTGGAAATATACTTCCAGCTAGACCACCGAGGCGTCTGAAACGGCAATGTTTTTCCACAACAATTAGGAGTCAATGAGGCTGCCATTTTCACATTTGTAAACCTTTTTAGGTAACTTAGGTTTCGTTTAGTTTTCCATTTGTGTTTAATGTGATGTAAACGTATTTTGAACACGTACTGATTCTTCACCTAACAAATGATTATGAATATAAAAAGAAAAATAAATAAAAAGAGAAACAAAAAACTTCACATTTATGTTTTATTTTCATCTGTTATTAACAATGTAAATTACAGCTTTATATCTTAGGCTTGAACAAGCAATCGGTCCTTCGAGGCCAAGACAAATATTAATGAAAAGATAATCTTTTGTTTTTGTATGCTTCAATATCATATTGAATGAGGATTATTGTGTGGGGCAATAGGTAGTTGCAGCTCGATAAATTTTAAAAAGTCTAAGAAATAGAAGCTCTAATGGGTTCCTGGCCAAGTTCAGAGAAAAGCTATCGGTCTGAAAATATATTTCATAACTTAGAAATGTATTTTATTTTTATCTTTTAAAACATACAAATGCCTACTGATCCAGGCACGGTCGAAAAATAGTCCGCTGAGCTAGCAATGTCACCATGTCTTCGTGGGCATCTATCTAGCAGGTTCAATATGTTGTAAGCGTTTAACATGAAATCGGGGCAATGGACCATTACGAAAGCAACATGGACCCCCATAATTATCTTGGGAAAATTATTTGTTATGGCCTCATATTTATAATAGATGAATATTAAGTAAAAGCTTCCTTCCAAGGATAAATTGTAAGTTACAATCAAGCACACCACTTCACCTTGGTAGGTTTTTGTGAATCATTCAATTAGAGCTTGTAAATCGGCAACGTTGCAACATGTTGTTATAAATACTCCACGTCGATTGGGATTCAGGGATAGTGCTTTAGCTATAATCATTTCCAAATCCTTGTTATGGAGGATGAAGTACGCCATTCTAACAAAATACTGTATTTACGACGATTCTGTAGAACTGCCAAAATTGACGTTACAGTTTGAGAGTCAGAATATTTTCGAATATAGTTAGTACTGTTAAATACAATTGTGTATTTTTCTAGCCACCAATTTAGCGAAGATCCGATCCTCTTAAATCGGTATTTATGGCATTTCCTACAAATACCAAAACAGTTTTTTAATGCAACGTTTGCATTAGGGTTTCTAGAAGAAAGGTGTATTCTTTAAAAAATTTAAAATTAAATTAATTAAAAATTAAAAGAAAAAAGTCATAAAGAAAGTATCAAGAAAATGTTATTTGAAAAGTTCGACAAATTTATTGAAATTAATAAAAACGTCTTAACTGCAATTTTAAATAATTTAAAAGAAACAAATGGAAAACAGGACTAACCATTTTTGTTTATTTTAAAATATTGCAGGTTACAATCTTAAATATTGAAACTAAACCAAAAAAAGGATTACATAAATTGACCAATAATGTCAAGTTTCAAACTTATAACTATATTATATTTTGAATTTTTATGCTCCTTTAAAATTTTTCAATATCATATTGAATTAGGGTTATTGTGTGGGCCAATAGAGAGTTGAACAGGGCAAATAATCCAAATCGATTAATTTTAAAAAGGCCAAGATATCGAAGCTCTAATGGATTCCGGGCCAAGCTTAGAGCGAAGCTATCGATCTGAAACAATATTTATTAGCTTAAAAAGTTTATGCACATATTCCTCGTTTCACTTACAACTTCCTCTAGTCTCGGATCCAAGCATGGTCGAAAAGTAGTCCGCTGAGCTAGCGTTTTGACCAAGTCTTCATGGGCATCCAGCAGGTGAAATATATTGTAAGCGCTTATCAAAAAATTGAGGCATTCAAATATTATGAAGGCAATATAAACCGGGGCGAGGACCTGGATGTAATTGCCTGCTAGAATTGTACATTTACTTAAGATGAATAATAGGTAAAAACGTCCCAGAAAGCTTAAATAGAAATTGATAATCAAACAGACCACTTGGCCTTGATCGGTTCTTGTAAATCTTTCAATAAGTGCTTGTAAATCCGACTGGGATTGAGCTAATTTTTCCAAACGGTCGGCAAGGTTGCAACATGATGTTATAAATACTCCACGTCGTTTGGGATTTAGCGACAATGTTTCAGCCATAATCCCTTTCAAATCTTTATTAAGAAGGATGTAGCGCGCTCTCAAGCTTGCAAAGGCAATGAAATAATGCATAATAATGACATTTACTATGGCTATCTGGCTGAGGATTGCACACATGTCCAGGGATAATATAATATGTTTTCCTGCCGAATACAGAACTAAGATGATATGTAGAATCTGGGATATTGTCATACAGAAGAATTTGCTGACAATGCTTCTGCGGCAGTAGGGAATTATATCTGGAGTGTAAAAGCACATAAAGGAGTTGATCAGCCGCATAAATGACTTACGTCTAGTCCACCGACTGACCAAAGTCAGAAAAACGCAAGTGGTTTGAAGCACTGACATAACCACAAACACATAGTCCTGAAGACTATTCGTGTTTTTCCATACACTGGGCGAAAAGTTGAAGTGTCTGAAATGGTAGGCCAGTAGAATAAATACTCCTAAATTAAGGCAAGCTGCACTTATTGTAGCCCTTTTGGTAACTGTCGTTCGACCCTTTTTAAAATCGATCTCGTAGTTTATCACGCCAGTTGCACGTCCGTAAAAATATAAGATGGACAGACACCATTTTGCTAGATCCACCATTTTGCTCTACTAAAAATATATTAAAGTCAGGGTTCAATGGGAAACTAATTCGCTGACTCTGAAACTCGGACACTCCTTGTGAATTATTACTTCCGGATAAATATGGTATCTGGCATCACCTTATTTATTGCCTCTGCGACCCTCATGACATTCTGTGTAGTGAAATGCATGCTTCTACAGAGTTACTCCTCATTGAGTTAAAAGTAGTTTTTAATTTTGATTTTATTAGGAGATAATTCCATTCAATTTAGGTATTTAGGTATGTTCTATATCATATTGAATTAGAAGTAAGGAATGTGTTAGCAAAGAGTTTCCCAAAGCAAATGACGACACCCGATCGATTTCGAATAGGCCATAGAATTGCAGCTTTAGAGGATTTCTCGCCAAGTTCAAGTTAAAGTTGTCGAACTGGAAAAAGGATTTTATAATAAAATGGAGGATAGTTTCTATGATCTCCCATTCATTACAACTTACAGCGCTTTCAAGTGTACTATCCAAGCCTGGCTGAAAGAGAGTCCATTTACTCACTAATTTGACCATGTTATTGTGTGTGTCCAGAAGGTAAAACACGTTAAAACAGTTTAGCCAGCAATCGAGATAGTAAAAGAGGAAGTAGGCTGCGCTTGAAACTGTAATGAGCATTGGCCAATTATCCGTTGATCCTCCATACTTGTGCAAGCTAAACAATAGGTAAACGCTTCCCACCGCGTTTAGATAGTAACTGATGGACATGCAGACGACTTCTCCTTGGTAGGCTTTCGACAACTGTTCGATGAGCTCTTGTAGGTCAGATTGACTCCGGGCGATCCTCTCCAGGCGATCGGCGAGAAGGCAACTTTTGCTACCAAAAAGTCCACTCCCGTTGGGAACCAGCGCTTGGGTTTCGGCAATAATTGCTTGAAGATCCTTATTTATCAGGATATATCGCCCTCGAATAATTGCCATGGCTATGAAAAACTGCGTAATGATCACGTTCATAATGGCCGTTAGGCACGATATGGCCCAAATGCGTAAGCCCAAAAAAAGTGTTAACCGATTTCCCATAAGAGCAAGGATAACAATGAGCTGTAACGTCTCCACCATCGTGACACACAAGCATTTGCTAACAATACTTCTATGACAGTACTTGATTATATCTGGATTATGCTGAAAAAGACGGTGGAATGAGTTGAAGATCCGAATAAATGTCCTACGTTGAGACCACCGACTGAGCAAAGCCAGGAGAACACAAACTATCCGAAAACTGGCTATGACCATGAAAACGTATTCGTGTAGATAATTAGCACTTTTCCAAGTATTACTCATAACATTTCTAGTCATTGAGTGGTAAATAAGTAAGACGAACATAACTGAATGCAAGCCAGCTGCCCATATTGTAGCTCTCCTAGTGACCTCCGGTCGACCCGTTCGTAAATCAATCTCAAAGTTCAGTACACCGGTGACACGTCCGTAAAAATACGACATTTTCAGACACCATTTCGCTATTCTGTCCATTGTGGATAACTGAAATAAAGCTAGTGTGATTGCCTGGTTCTAGTTTCCCTTATTTTGATATCTGGAAGTAATTTGCTTGGGTTTTGTTTGATAACGTTTCATCAGATCTAGGTAATGTAATAACTCTATAAAATCGATGGGTGCCCCAGTATTTCTATACTATGGTTAATTCAGGATGAATAGTAGTTGAGGTGAATCAGTCGAGTAATCAGCAGATGTGGGGAATCGAATTAATAATAAAAATAAATATTTTCCCAATATAGACTAGATTTGTTTTTGGGGTTTCTTGATTTTTAAAGTGCATGCATTAAGGTAATTTCAGGAACTCTTATTTTATAGTTTAAACTTCTGTAATCATCGGATAGCATAAGTTAAAACATTCTTCTTTGATGTGTTAAAATTTTAAAAATAAAATTGAGTGTGCCAATATTGGCCGCAGCATATGATGCGTTGCAATCGACTCCGAATAATCGCAAGAAAGTAAGTTTAAATGGATTTCGGGCCAGGCTGAGGACGAAGCTGTCAAACTGCAGTTGTGTTCATTTTAATATAAAATCTCTATAGATTTTATACTACTTTCAAAAGCTCCCAATCTGTGATCTAATCCTGGCCGATAGATACAGCAATGGGAACATTTTATCATGGCTATCAATAAGGTAAAAACTCAAACTGAAACTGAAACTGAAATTGAGCCAGCAGTCGAGGTAATAAAAGGGTAAGTATGTTAAGACACTAATAATAGTTATTTGGGCCAATCCACTCTGAACGGTTGTTATTTCTTTATATTGAAAATAAAGTAAAAATTTCCAATTAAATTGAAATAGAGAATGATGATCAATGATCAATAAAGATGATCCGAACTCTGTAGGCTTTCGATAACGCTTTAGTGCGTGCTTGTAAATGCAATTGGGTTCGAGCTTTTCCTTCAATAGTAACATTTGGTTGGGATTTAATGATTGACACGGTTGCGAAATACTGGTTGATGATAAGTGTAAGCAGTGTTACATCCTGATTGCTCACATAGAGAAGGTACATCGAGTTATTTAACCTCATAAAGGTGAAGCATTGAGACTATCGACTAGCCAAGAAGATGAAAACAAATGCTACCAGAACGACCGACATAATAATAAATATATGTGGGATATGGGTATATTAAGGTATTAAGCTGCCTATTAAATTTCATATGGGGACACACTGTTCGGAATTCCACAAGCTCGTAGCTTTTTTCCATTAGCCAAAACGCCATATAGAACTGTCTCTTTTCATCAAAGAATGTCTACACCCATCACCCTCTTCCTAATAGAAATTGCGCCTTACTAATTTAAGTTGAAGTCAGTCGATTGCGAATATTGAAGAGAGCAAGTGTCATCCATAGAATGAAGTCATGAAGTTTAATACAAAACCTTTGTTTCTTTAATTTACCTTTATATATATCCGAAATAAACATTATCAATTTGTACTACCCTACATATAGTTTGAAGAGAGTTGGTTCTTATCCATATCTTTTTAGCTAATGAATTTGAATTCATCTGATACCAGACTAAAATGAACAGAAGAAGGCCGTTTGGTAATACTTTACATACCTTTAAAGGTAACAAGAATGACAGCTAGAAACTATTAATTTTCCCTAAGTTCCAAATTTTAGCTAAATTCAAAGACTTTGTGGCTTAAGAAATAATATAAAGCTTTCAGAATATACATTTATAGATGGGATTTATAAATTTCTGTTGTGAGTTTTTCATTATTGTATTTCTTTCATTTTAATAATGTTCAACATCATATTGAATTAACAGAATTGAGTGAGACAGTATGGAATTAACCACGACAAATGTTGCTGCGCGATCAATTCTAAATAAGCCGAAGAAGGATAGCTTTAAAGGATTGCGGGCTATGTTAAGGATGAAGGCGTCAAACTGCAAATGAAATTACTTTAAAAATGTTCTTAATGATTTCATTATTGACAACTTACAACTGCTTCCAATCTGTGGTCTAGTCCTGGAGGGAAAAGCGTCCGCTGATTCAGCAGTTGGACCGTTTTCTCATGACTGTTGATGAGGTAAAAAATGTTAAACAAGTTCAGCCAGCAGTCGACGTAAAAAAATGTTAGGTAAGTTGCGGCTCCAACTATTATAACTAAAGGAGAGTCCAAAGTCAAAAAGGTGTACTTTTGTATGCCGAACATTAGGTAAAAATTTCCAATTAAATTGAAATAGTACGTGATGATCAAGCAGACGATCTCAACTTGGTAGCCTTTAGATAGACAGTCAGTAAGGGCTTGTAAATGAGTTTGGGTTCGAAAAAGTTCTTCCAATTTATCAGCCAGATAGCAACATTTAGTTGCATACACTCCACTTCGGCTGGGCCTCAGTGATTGAGTTTCGGCCATAACCGATCGGAGGTCCATATTCAAAAGGTTGTAGCGTCCTCTTATTATGGCCAATGCTGCGAAATACTGACTGACCATAAAATTTATTATAGCAGTGAAGTTTGAAATGGCAAAATGGCTTAAAGCCAGCCATAAAGTTAATCGTTTTGAAGTGAGCATTAGAAGCATTATACACTGCAATGTGTTGCTCACTAAGACGCACAAGCACTTGCTAACGATACTTCTTCGGCAAAGTCGTATTACATTTGGATTGCTTCGATATAGGCCGTAGATTGAGTTAAACAGACTCATAAATGTGCGGCGTTGAGACCAACGATTGGCCAAAGATATAAAAACACATGTAATACGAACGAACGACATGGTTATAAAAATTGTATCTTGCAGAGAGTTAGTCTTTATCCATATTTTGATTAGAAAAGGTACGGTTTTCACCTGTAAGCCCATAAGAAAAAACAGAAATATGTGGAAAACGGCCGCAGATATTGTAGCTCGATTGGTTACACGAGTTTGACCAGTCTTAAAATCGATTTCGAAGTTCAGAACTCCCGAGTAACGTCCGAAATAATATGATATGAAAAGACACCATTTTACCAGGTCAACCATTGCGGTATTACTGAAATTCATTTTAAAATACGCCTTCCATAATATCCTGATATATGAAAGGAGATTCGATTTTTATCAGTAATGTCCTTGAAAGTTATCGCATCAGCAAATATAATTACTTACAGGCAGCACTAACTTATATATTATCCATTTCATTCTCCCTCAATGATACTTCAACTTAAAGTCACGCTATTTAATGACAATTTTTATTTAGTAATTTTGCACATCATACTGAATAAGGAATATGGAGTTGGCAATCATAGAGTTGCACCAAGAGAAGCAGGTTGTACGATCAGCTTCGAAAAATCCAAAAAAGCGAAGCCTAAATGGATTGCGCGCCAGGTTGAGTTCGAAACTTTCAAACTGGAATTAAGTTAAAATTAAAAAGAATTTCATTATTTAGTTTGGTTAACAGTACTCACTGCTGTCAACAAACGCTTGTCCAAGCCTGGAAAAAGCAGAGTTCGCTGTTCCATCAGATTTACCATTTCACGATGGACATCCAAAAGATGGAACAAGTTGTATGCAGTTAACCAGATATCGAGGTAGAAAAATATGAAGTACGCTGCTGCTAAATACTTTGCTACCTGAGGCCAATCCTCAATCATGTTCTTGTACTTCCCAACGCTGAACATGATGTAGATGCTTCCGATTGAGTTTAAGTAGAAAGTGAGGGCCATGCAAAGAAGCTGCACCTCGTAGGTCTTTGAAAGGCGATCTGTTAGTTCCTGTAGTTCCGATTGTGTTTTAGCAATCTCGTCCAAACGATCAGCCAGAAAGCAACATTTAGTCACAAAAACTCCACGTCGGCTGGGAACCAGCGACTTAGCTTTGTATAATATCGATTCCAACTCCTTATTCAAGGTCATATAGCAGCCACGTATATGTGCAATTGCTATATAATATTGGGTAATGATCACATTGACAATGCCTGTCAGGGCTAGCACTGACCACATGCCCAGAGCCATGCGTATTGTTAGGTATTTTCGGACGAGTATAAATGCCATTGAAATCTGCACCATCTCCGTTGCTGTGGCGCACAGATACTTGCTTACAATCCCTATACGACAGTATTGAATATTCTTTGGATTGTTGAGAAAAAGACGCCGAAACGAGTTGAACAATCGCATAAATCGTTTACGCATAAGCCACCGACTTATTAAGGCCAATGCCACACAAAGGACCCGAAACACTGACATAATCATAAATACATTTTCATGTAGCAAATTGACCTTGGCCCATATTCTAGTCATATCCCGCGTTTCATACATATGATATACCAAAAAGATGAATACAAATACTTGGATACAGGCTGCATAAATGGTGGCCCATTTGGTTGTACGAGTTTTACCCGTTTTCAGATCGATCTCAAAGTTCAGTACTCCCGAAATACGTCCGTAAATGTACGAGATGTACAGACACCATTTGACCAAGTCAGCCATCGCTTAACACTAAACAGGAGCGGTCAGAAAGTAACTGGTCTTATTTGAACTAACCCAATATGCTGATATCTGTAAGTAATATCTTAGCCAAAGCGTTGACAATGAAATCATTTAATCTGCCATCAATTAATTTCCTGAGTGGGTATGAAGAAGCCATTCGCTTGTATAGAACGGTTATTTTAATGACACAACTTGGTGTTGCACGTGTTTATTTGATGGTCCCAGTAGAGACCTAAATGCTAGTCTAATACAACCGAGTGCATAATAAAATTTATAATTATATATTTCTAGATCCCAAATGTAAAGTATTGGGATCATAACAATCTGAAGATCACTTTAATTAAGTTATTCTACATTTTATAAACTTAATTTTCACTTTTCTTTGGAACAGTTTCTAAACCCATCTGTGGCGTAATCCAACGAAAGTAATAAACCTGTAAAAATATTGGTAAATTATACAGATTGGAGACCTGTCTACATTCTACATACATATGCATAAATATCTACACAAAAGTGGCCAAAGCTTCTTCATGATATACGACAATATCTTTGTATGACTTGCTAACCCTATCCCTTCACTTATCTTATTCAACAGGCAACCCCATGACCTACCCACTGGGCAAGGATCTGGGCAAAAGTGTTAAATATCTTGCACTGCATTCTTGTTTGCAGTGAAATTCCGCAGCTCATGGCTTGACAAACATGGCCCTGTTTCGAGAGGACAAAGCTGGTGGAGATGATGCTGATGTGGCAGAGGCGAACTTCCATGCCCGCAGAATGTTTGCTCAACACTTATTTTCAGTGAAAGGTTTGGAGGCGTGCGCGAAGATAGGAGGTCTAGGTATAAGCCTGCGAATTCCTTACATAGTTACACAGAGAAAAAGTTATCTAAATTCATTGTTATTTATTTCCTTGATATTAAAAAATATAATAATACATTTTTTATATAGTTAATCTTCTAAGATGCTAATTTTCATCTCATTTACAAGTTTTCAAGCTCGTTTAGAACAAAGTACCATTTGCATAAATTACATAACGTAGTTTTTGTGAGTGTTGCTGCAGCTGAAACTGAAACTTCGACGTTCTCAAGTGCATATTAAACAGCGGATGGCCCTCAGGTCGTCATCTGTGGCTGATGCCGTCGAATGTCTCGAGAGTTTTGTTAACGTCCCTTGGATACTGGCTGTATCGCATCCATAATGCAAGTTCCGCTTACAAAACTCACTTTAAAATGCACCGTGCACGAAGCTATTTCTCTCTTTCATTTAAATTTGTTATTGTCGAGAAGGGAATGAATTTTTATAGTTTTGCATTTGTCATTCTGTCAAATACCAGGCTACAACAAAAACTACTGCTGCCGTGGAATTCCGCGACCGACGGGTGTCAAAAATGTTGTTGAATTTAGGCGACAAATCAAATTGCAAAAAAGCTCACGCTTTTAACTCAAAAATGCAAACCGCCATGCAAAAACGGAAGCTGATGCGGATGCGTTCAAAATGGTTTCTGATTGTATGAAAATCCAATGCCGCACTCAGCCAGAAACTGTTGCATACTTTGGGGCTTTGCCTGTCATAGGAAACTGAACTTTGAGAATAATGCGAACGAATAACAGAGTTGATTAAGTATTGTATTGTACTATAGAAGCCTAGGTTTATCTGTGGGATACAGTTGATATTGTTAAGCTTAACAGTTGGAAGCTCACTTGGAATTCAAGTCCAAACCCAACGGTTAATCACTGACACACAATGCTTCTTTAAACTTTTGAACATTTAATGTGGTATAAGTATACGTATTTTTATGCTTCTTGCATTTTTAAATCAAATAAAAACTTTACTACTCAGCCTAATTTGCTTTAAAATGTCTTTGCAATTTGAAAAACCATCTTAGCATTTTCCCTATTAGTGTAAAGTTTCAAAAGTCATCTAGAAAGTTTTACTCCCTGCAACTCAAGTGCAGACGCCATTAATTAATATAAATGACGACAGTTTCTAATGTTTGTCTTGGGGCCGCGGTGCTAATCACTTGGACCCAGACCCATAGCCAGACCCACAGCCATCCGTCGTTCACGAGAACATGTCGCGTTTGCTGGATGTCATTAAAAAACTGAAGCAAAAGTGCCTCTTACATTACAACCCATAATTTTCGCATATTAGTCGTGGCTGACTGAGGGCCTGGGGCTCTTGCCAAGTGGAAACATTGCGGGAATCGGAATCATATGCACTTAACATGCAATTGCGTGCCGAGTACGAAGGTGCGGGCCAAGGAATCGTTGGCAAATTCGCTGGGCTGAAAATGAAAACATTATTCATAAGCAGTCCACGGCATCGGCATTGGCATCGGCATCGGTGGGCCCAAGGATCCCGGGATTTTCCCACCAAAACACAACTTGGTAGCAGGAGGTCCTTCGTCTGGTCGTTGCTTTCACTACCCACACACACACACGAGTACTAACGAGTCCAGTGCTTCGGTAACTGTAAACTTTACGTGCCCACATTTCCAGTTTGCATACACAAAGGAAAAATTGATATCATCTTGAAAGGAAAACATTATTCTGAACTTAAGCTTAAGCTTAACTTTGTTAAAATCAGAATAAATAATAGATATTTTTAGGTGGCTTTGGCATGTACTTGGTTGATTATATTACTCCGAACTTTATTGGGAACTTTTTGTCTTTAATCTTACTAGGAATTATAGTTGACATATCCCCATTGTGCTCAGTGTCATAAGAGTGTGAGCTACGAGTGGCCTCGTCATCTTAAACGTAATCAGAGGCGATATCAAAATCCCCCGTGTGAGTTTCTAATGAACTGGCGTGCCCGGAGTTCTTTGCCTTTGGTCCAATTTATTGAGCCATAAAGGTGTCAAAATGTTCTCGTTCTGGCCGCACCATTCCGCTAGCATATTCGTTCATTGTGAATAATTAGGAAGACGTTTGCGTGTTGGCCATCCTCACTCACCTCCGCTGCCACCTTTGGCATCACCATAAAAAAATCTCATTAGGCCAAATGTGTATCATAATGACTTTCCATTTACCTTTGCTTCCTTCGCACTCCTTTCCCAGGCTTATTTCCCTTCTGCTTTTTTTGCCCGGTACCTTGTTTGAATTCGGTTTGCTAATTCATTAGAGCTGGTAAATGAATGGACACGGAGTTGGGGGGATAGATTTCTTCAGTTAATCATTGACTGTAGATTAGAGTTACCCCTCCCTGGGATGGTAATTAAAGGGCTTCGATATGCCGGACATTCTTTCTTTGAATTAAGCTTGAATAATGTTGCTATTCCTACATGAAAAGTAGCACCAACTTCAATATCAAACTGAACATAAGTTAGCTTTAATTACTTTTAAAAATATTACAATCGTTTCTAAACTGTAAAATAGAAAACACATTTAAATTCCAACCAAACAAGGCTAAAAATAACCTTTGAAGATTGCTTAGCGAATTTTTATGCATTAGCCGACAGTTACTTCATCATCATTAGGAAAAGTCCCCGCTGTTTTTCCCACCCATGAGGCGTATTCGCTTTAATTACATGCTAATTATCAAGGAATGACTTTCCAGAATCGAGCTGAATGAATTGCATTTCTGTCTGTTATTCGTTCTGTGGCTGTGTGCCTGATTAATTTCCTTAGGAAAATCCCTTCGCTTTCTCAGTCTCTACCACAAAAAAATCGAAACTGCAAAAAACGAATTGAAGTTTATTTGCGGCGAAGGAGCAGGGAGGAAATTGTCAGCTGTGAGCAAAATTCACAGCCAAATTGGGATCAAGTTGTGGTTGGACTTGGGCTTGAGTTGTTCTTGAGTGCTTGTCGGACATGGCTTCTGTTCGATTTCGATGCTTTTGTGGTCAGTGTGGGATGGGAGTGGGCTTGTGGGTAGACGGAAATCCCCACTTTTCCACCTCCCAACACCCCAAGGATGCTCTGCGGACCCTTTTCATGCATCGTGTGAAATATGCGGAGCACTCAGAACAGAGAGCTCTCTGCCCGGGGGCAACTTTTGTTGTTTGTTGGTCAAATTGTCGTAAATTAGTTTTAACACCTGACTGAGTGGCTTTTCGAGTATATACTAGTGTGTGCAGGTGTGTGTAGGTGAGTTTTCCGATTTACTCTCAACAAGTTTCTGGCCACTTTGTCTGTGGGTGAACCCTTTTCCTCAGTCTACAGTCGAACTTCCCTAATTTACACTTTCCAACTACTAAATCCAAAAATTGAGCTAAAGCTTTATGTTTATTTGCCATCCCAGACTTACAGGCTTAACATATTGCTAATAACTTATACATAAACAAATAGCACAGAAAATTAAAGAGCTTTTAATGTAAAGTTTGGCCTTTCCAGAAGTTTAGGCTTTCCTAAGTTCAATATACAGAAGTCTGGCTGTTGCTAAGCCCTGACCTTGCCGTTCGGTTTGTGGTGTTTGAAATTAATGTAATCGGCTTTGTTTAGCCGTAAACTATGTGCGAACATAGATTTTCAATTAAATTGAATGGTGAAAATGCCGGAAAACTCATTCGGCCATTGACTTAAGTGGAAGGTGTTTTTGAACGAGCCTGAGGTTTTGTCCCATTTCAAGTGGTTTGGTTTTCTTACATGGGCTAGGTCTTAACCGAAGGCAGCTTAAAGTCACTTCCTGGCCTTATCCCCCGGTGTGCCATTTAAGTATTCACATGGAAATTCCATCTGTGCGAGAACAGCCAGAGCCAGCATCTCGATTATGCGCTTTATGCCTCATCATTAATTACAATGTACTCACTGGTTGGGTCTGACTTTCTCAATGGCTGACTTTCTTGGGTTTTTGTGTGCGGCTTTTCCCACCCGGCGCCCTTGTTTTCCCATTTTACATTTTACATTTTCCATTGCTTTCTGATTTTGGCTCTTCAAGCGCTGAGGTAGCCGCCATTTTCCCGGGTATTCACATTCATGTGAGTATATGTGTGTGCATGTGTGTTTGTGTGCATTTTTCATTTCCGCTTTGTCGCTGCGGCATTTCCGTTCATTTTTC